CCTTGATCGACACGTGTCCCACTATGTCAAAATTTGAAATTTTCATAAGCAAACTCGTAAAATCACGAGACGACGTTCTAAGGTTTGGTCCGAAAATCCTTGAGAATTCGACACTAAAATCATATCGTAATTCGTGGCCAAATTCGATCAATTATAATTATAGTAAATCTTAAACTAACGAGTGCCTTTTAGAAATAAATCCTCAATAGCTTTTTTCCTTTGGTTAATATTCTCTAGGTGATTAGGCCAGAGCAAAAATTACTAATAGAGCAATCGATGAAATCACTATTTTATATATCACCAAAATGTTTCGAATTTTCAGGATATTACAGATACCACGTACAATCAAGCCACCATACTTGAAAATGGAGAAGGGTCAAGCCATGCTCAGTGCATTGGTCATTCTATTAGTGATTGCATCTAGCAGGTTTGTCTCATCTCTCGTTTGTTGTTATTATTAATTCTAAATGGAGTACTGAACCTAATGAACTTTACAAACTTCCCTTCTTTTAAGATCTTGATGTCTCACAAGCAAGGAACAGCGTACTGTCTCCTAGACAGCCAGGGCAAAGCTGATGTATGTCCTGTCGGGTCTCATCCCGTCCTTATAAAAGACCAATGTTTCTGTCCTCCGTCACAGCGCCGGGATGTCTCGGAGGCTTTTGTATTCCAGAGGCGTGTCCTATCGGGTTTAAAGCCATCTATGTAGACGGCAAAAGTAAATGTTTTCCGATAAAGCGCCAGGATGCCTCGGATAGTTGCTCCAACGATCACGATTGTGTCTCTGTCTGTGGCTATCCGAAGGATCCGAAATGCTCGGTGTGTGCCGAGGGCAAATGTGCATGCGTGTGTATCCAATGATTGACGCGCGTCGCGAGCGTGTTTGTGAGAGGAAGCAAGAATAAAAGGGAATAAGAGAAAGGTGTGTTGCATGTGTCCAAGGATTTTATGAATACATTTGGCTCTTATTAAAATGGGTTGATGCTATTGAGTATTCGACTTATCTTTTTTGGCGGTCTTGAAAATTTCCAATGTTCGAAATCGATGGATTTTGGGCATTGCCATTAGGTTGCACTGTTATATTAGATAATTTGACACTAAAAAATGATGATCGTATGCCTCATATGCTAGGCAAACGATTGAAGATCGGTAAGAGAATATAAATTTTATGTTTGGTCATAAAGACGAAGTGCAGAAAGAGTGGCACACTCGATATGTTCGCGTTTTCGGAGTTGATGGCAAATAAATTCAGATGTATTTAGAACATTCTAACTACATTTACTCTAGATTGACAGGAAAAATAAAATGCTGAAAATGAAGATGAAAGGAGAAATGAGAAAGAAATCAGAGATGCTTTCCGGCTTACATTCATGTCTGATCATCGTTCAACAATGAAGTGATAACTTACATATTTCCATTAAAATAACTAATTACCTATTAATATAAAATCTCTATCCTAATAAGAGATCCATAAATTAGGGTATATGCTATTAAAGGGGAAATTTGACTAAAAAGTACTAAAACTATTATACAGCGGCCAATTCAGTCCTAAATCTTTCAATTGTGCCAATTAATTCTTAAGCCTGTTTGGCCATTTGCTAATTTACTCCTAAACCTTTTAAAGATATGGTAATTTAGTCATTTCGGTTAATTTTGGCCGAATGTTGTAGACATGGATAATTGTTGCAAAATTTTTAAAAATTTTCCAATTTTTATATTAACGTTTTTTGTTTTCTTTTTTCCTTCTTTTTACATAGGGCTAGTGGGGCTACCAGCCACTGACCAAGGGATAGCAACCCCCACCAGCCTTTTGCCCCTGTCGGCCTTTTGTAAAAAGAAGGGGAAACAACAAGAAAGAAAAGAAAAGAGAAATAAAAAGAAAAGGAAAGGGACAAAAGATTAAAAAAAAATCGAAAACTTTTTAAAAAAATTTGCCCAAATTATACACACCAATCGTACTATGTGGCGGTCCAGTCAGCGCCGGTCGTCCTACATAGCATGGCCGTCGCTGAATAGACCGTTATACCATTGCCAAAATTAGCTGAAAATGCCACATTAGCAAATCGTTAAAAGATTTAGGACAATCTGTCAAAAGATTTATGACTAAATTAGCAAAATTAAAAGATTTAGGATTTAGTTTATTGTTGTGCAATATGTTTAGGACCAAACTGGCTCAATCGAATAGTTTAAGACTGAATTGGCTATCGTACAATATATTTAGGATTTTTGGGACAATTTTCTTCAGTTAAAGGTATGAAAAATTAAGTCTGTATAGCATGTCTAAACCACACGCTCACTTCGTTTCAATAGACACTTTATTTTGCATCACTTACATGCATATTAACATTACTTGAGAGGTTCGCAAATCACAATAGAGACAGAGAATGAATGCCTAAAGACAGCAATAGTTCAAATAAAGGGTCATGATAGCGCAAATAGATGAACTTTTATCAGTTTTATAATCACGTACCTTAACTTCTTTTTTATTCAATCAAGTACCTAAACTTCAAATTAGCTCAATATGTGGCCTTCATTAAATTAGAGAAGTTCTTTTTTTTGTTCAATGATCACCCAACAATTGCTAGTTTTTGTTCAATAAAGGCAACAACTAAATAAGTGCATTAGAAGTTTTGAAACTTATCCAAATGTGTAATTGAGTCTTAAAACTTACCAAAAATGTAATTGAGTAATAAAACTCGTCAAATTGGTGCAATCAAATCCTTCCGTTAACTCCATCAAATTAAACTAACGAAAAATGCAGATGTGGCTTTTTAAAATATTTTCTCTCTCCTACGTGGCATTACCTTACTAAAATATGATTATAAAACTAAAACGATAAATCAATTGTAGCTAAAACAAAAAATGCTGATGTGTCTTGCTCTTTACTCTCTAATGCTGAATTAAGTGAAGATTTCTAGCTAAAACAGTGAACACTGCTAGTTGGTTAGTCGATAGACCACCATCACCAGCGATTGATTTGGAAAAGCTCTAAAGAAAATGTGGTCAAGTAAGCCTGCTGACTACATCAGACCAAGAATTTTCAATTGCCCTACTTATGCTCTTGTGAGTGATGATGCACTAAAGCCGGCAAGGAAGTACAAATTCCTTGGCTATGAACATGGGATGAAGGGATATAGACTATGGTGCACTGAGAAAGATTCGCTCGGGCTTTTTTCAATAAAAATATACCTTTGACAAATCTGCTATATTTCAAAACTTAAGTGACGAATCAATTGTAGTGAAAGATTGAGACAGTATTTAGAAATAGGTGAAGCTTTTGGGAGAGTCGAGATGTGCTCTTAGTGTAGTAGATGTGACAGTGTTTTCAAAGTCTCTAGATTCCATAGTAGCTTACAATTGTTTCAAGGTCATAGTGGATGAGGCTTCGAGGTGGTTATTGAAGGTGGATGAGATAGAGAAATATTTGTATGCAAATATAGAAAAAGATAATTTGAGTGCAATAGAGACAACTTCAAATTTGTAGATGCATGGAGTGAAAATATAGAAATGTTGCAAGTGGCTTGAAGGAGTTATGTCGAGAAAGTGTCGAGGCTCTTCAACGTGCAATTGAGAAATTTTATAAGTAACCCACTTGCTGCATATCATAAATTGTCTAAACCATCACTGTATGCTTGCATGGAGGTGGAGCACTTGTACCATGCTTCACATGTTAGATCTACTCATTGACTGATATGTAGTCAAGAGAATGTATAGAATTAATTCATATATACCTTGTGATGCTATGAAGTGGATCTTCTTGATTTTATCGGGGATGATATATGTTGGGGTATGTTTCCAAGGATGCAATCCAGATAATGTGGGAGTAACTGGGTTTGTGAACCTAGGTTATCCATGGAACTTGAAGGATGGTCTATTTCTTAGCGGTTATGTCTTTACAATTTTTAGTTGTGCGGTGAGTTGGAAGGCATTATTGAGAGACACAATAGTTTCGTCAACGACTAAGCTTGAAAACATGGTGACAACAAAAGGAACTTAAGAGGCAACGAGGTCTAATGACTTAGTGATGTTGGTATGGAAAATCGAGTTTATGCGGTGTTTAGTGGAAGCTGGAGATATCATTGGTGACCAATATCTCTGTGTCAAAAACAGCAGGTCAAGAGAAGATGTGACAGCAAGAAGCTTTTTGCAGTGGAAAATCCCACGGACATGTGGACCGAGTTCATTACTCTAGAATGGTCCAACTTCAACTTGGGCTTGTTAGAAGTTTGTAATGGTTGAGTGCCAGGCATCGGGAGAGCCGGCATAGATAATGGGCACAATGACTAAACATCGGACCAAGGTAGAGAATTGTAAAATTATGTCTCGAATTTGAGCCCGTGAACGAAACCGTATCCAAAACCCAACCGCGTGATTTACATTAAGAAAGTCTTGATTGGACTTTTGGTTGACCGAACATATGAAACAACAACAGCCCAACCTTGTTGGACTTTTTGCTTCCTTTTAACCTACTTCTAATGGACTGTAAGGGACTTCACTGCGGACTGCTGGAGTTTTGGAGATATTGTCCGTACATCCTCCACGGTGAACGTGTCCCTGAAAGGAAGTCCAGGCGGATTTGCTGGAACTTCTGAACGAGCATCGTAATAAAGGCTTTAGATCAATGTCAATTTTGGATAGACGTCTTGACACTTTTTCGTGCCTTAGTGCAGAAGTAGAATTTCGTCATTTGTTTTTGACTTTAGGGGTGCTGTATCAATGTATAGTCTTATTAGATGTTCACGACTTCTGCTAGTGGAGCGCACAAATTGCATACTTCACGTAATGAGTACTGATAGATTCTCCAGTTTCTTTATGTTGTTGAAATGAAACCATTACTCGTACAATTGGAAAACAACCATCATGTGGTTTTTGCATTAAATAAGGAAAGCATATTGTTTAGTATCATGCCGTCTCTTATCTTGTCTCTCTTCCATAGCTTTATTAGAGAAATTTAACAGGAAAACAACTTTAGTGGCCCCGATGACGGCTTTCTTCTTCAATTAATATCCTGAACCCGGTGCCAGCGCAGGTGCCGGTGGGTTGCCTCCATATTGTAGTTTGTAGTCATCCCACAATTCGTACACAGACTTCCCGAGCAGCTGCACGAAGAAAGCATCGCTATAGTAATACTTCATCATGGCATTTAGGTCGGCAATGAATCCGTCTCTGAGTCCGCTACAGTACTCCAGAAAGTATGCTGTAACAGCATATCCTTCGTCCCAACTCGAGCCCGACCCCCTTGGTACCCAATTCTTCGACGGCCATCCCGAGGTCAACCTGATGTAATCAGCAATGCCAGTGATAAGGCCGCTCGGGGCGGCACCATTGGCAGTCCATTGCCAAACGCGCGTGCTTTCATGATACAGAATTCCAGTGAACTCGGCTTTTACGTCACCAATATAAGCCTCAACATAGTCGGCGTTTAGAAGAATCTGGTTGCCTCCGGTAATGGCGACTTGGAGGGGGTAGCTTCCGAGTCCACTTCCCTGAAAGCTCGTGACGGTTGCCTCTATAAACGTGTAGTTCTGCCCTCCTCCTAGGGTTTGCTTGAAAGTCTTCAAAACGAAGTTCGAAGCCTCAAAAAGAGTTAAGCCAGCGTAAGACACCCCGATCTCATGCTTGAACCTAGTGTCCGGGGTGCCGCTGGTGTTGTCAAATACAACAGATTCGATCCCGACCACATGGGTTGGTTTGAGAGCAATCAGGGTGATGAGAAGAACAAAGAGCTTCATGGGGCTCATGTTGAAGAGGAGCTACAACTGAGTTGGTACTTTGTGGTCTTGCACATTGCCCTTAACGAGCGTACTGCTGTCTTTTTATAAGGTGTCTCAGCAATGAAAAGTCCGGAAGTCAGTTGAACTTTAGTGTTGACTTAGGCCATCCTCGAAGTTTTTTGAGAGCTGGCAGGCCTCATTGGTTCTGTCGCATAGTTTGGACATCTCTGATGTAACAAGGAGGGGGTAACTTCAATTAATATGCAGGAAACACAACTGTTAACTATGAATAATCACCGAAATATGTTAAATCAGTAACAATTTGCCTAATCCTTTTTATATTCTGTCGTGGAGTTTGACCTCTAACACAAAGGGAGTATCCTTAATAAGTAAAAAAATTTGCGAGAGACATGGAGACCACTCGATACCTTTATCCAAGAGAGTCGAGAGTGTGAGAAAACTCTTTTCTTATGATTGGTTCTTATGGATGCGGGTTTAATCTAGGATTGGGAAATACTAATGAAAGAGCATGATTGAGCAATTATAATATCATCTTTGCCCATTATAAGGAAACCATCTCGTCGATCTCTTTCATAGAGCATGCACGCAGCGAAACTACGTAAATCTGCTCTATTCACGTTTTATTTCAGCAACACATTTCTTACTCAAATCGTTTCGATTGCACACGCTTCCACGCTAGTTGTAACAAACTCAATGATCCTTTTAAGGTTAGTCAAGATACAAAAGTGAGCCAGGTCAAGCCAGTATAGATACTATGCTTATCCAGATTCGACCCAAATGTAGAATTTACCTGCTGTACATACCACCTCAACTTAACAACGAGTACCCAAAATTACCATCTCATATCCACACACTTGCCTCATTTAGATCCTTTATACATGGATCGAAAATTTCCTGGAAACATGATACCTTATATATGCATCGAAATGAAGTTGATTTGGGTTGCCAATGAACAATATTTTGCGACACAAATAAATTGCAGTGCTATTGGTAATAAGAGGATCCATTGAAAATTTGTATATATTGTTTACATCGATAGTTAGATAACTAAGAAAATTAACTCTTCTTGACAATTAATGAGGGGTAGTGATTCTTGTATATTCTTACCGTAATCTTAATTTCAGTCGAATGTAAACAAAAGCCTATTGAGGATTAAAAATACCCACGGTTGTATGGAAGGAGGGAGACTCATTTCGGTTATGATTTCTTCTTGTGATCTCACATGATGAGTGCTTATCTAAGCACTTAACTGTGTACTAACTACTAAGCATATTCGTATTCCTTCGTGTCGTACGTCCAACGTCTGTGATGAAGAGTTTAGGGTTTTACATAATACCCTCAACCGTCTGCCATCAAGAGTTCAACGCAAGCGACAGTGTCACTGATGCGATACGTGATCATAAGTTTTCGACATATTTAAGGTTGTACGGAAGGAGGAAGACTTATTTTTATTATTACTATGCTCCAAAAACCGAAATCATTACAATAATTCATGAACCGATAATTTTCCTCATTGACAGACCAACTATCATGTATAAATCAAGCAGAAGCATCATATTCTTTGTGTTATACGATAGGACTACTTGTGCTTATGTTGACGATGATAACAACAAGCGAGCAAGGTTTATATACAATATAAAAAGATGACTGAATAGTAGATATGTCAATAAATCTGAAAAAATTATCGTATTAATTAACTACCTATGTAGAATCCGGCACTAACAAAGGAAGGAAAAAGATATATAATATTTTCATTGGTATATAATTTAAAGTTGGACGGGAGTAATGTTTTTTTTTTTTGGTAACCGAGGTGTCCGGGCCAACTTGCGCGCACCTCGACTATTCCTCGGGAGAGACTAGCACAGCAACCCACCGCCATGGCCCCCCACTTAAATCATAAGTGCTCAGCTGGGGAATCGAACCTGGGACCAGTGCGCCTAACCACACAATCCCAAGTACACCCTAACCAACTGAGCTACCCATGGGTGGGTGGACGGGAGTAATGTTTATTGCATAAAATCTCGAAAAATAAATTGCTTTACTATTACTTGAATTCAATGTATGCATAAATTATAAATCAACACATTTCTCATAGAAAAAGATTTATATGTTATTATGTTGACCCCAAAAAATGACCAACTCTTGAAATCATCGAGAATGAAATTCGGCCGACAAGGGGGCCTTCCGGAGTTAAGTTGGTTGATGAAGCCATCGACAGAATTATAGACAACAAGCATTAACAAATTGTTGCCAAGTGTTGAAGCAGAATGATCGATTAATGGAACGGATATCTTCTAGCATGTCGGTACAAAGATATAGCTGCCAAGTAGTGGTGCCGATAAATTTGATTGTAACTTTTTATATATAACTTTCGCTAAATAATTGGAGCCACATACGGCATGTGTAACTCAATAACACTACTTGTAAGTATCCGTCGACAAAGGGCTATATAAACCCACATTGTATTTTACTTGCCCAATCGATTACAAAACAATTATTGTTTCTTACTTTCTAAATTTTATATTTTCCAATATCATTTGCTTTTCTGTCAACGATTGTTCCTAGTATTCATACGTTTAAATTCCTATCATATACTTTTTCTATCCAAGATCAACAAGGACCCACTCCAGAACCTTTGTCAATTAAGTCGATCCATCAAATTTAAAGGACATTTCACTTTCTTGGAGAAATATCTTTCGGCACGATGGTGGGACGGCTTTTGTTATGATTGAGGACATTGCCATGGCAACAATTAGGGTTTCGGATCATTGTCAAACTTTGTTAGATGTCTAACCCTTTTTTCATTGCTTAAGTGTAGAAGTAGCATTCTGTTATTCGTTCGACTCCTAGGGTGTTGTATCAATGTACAGTTTTGTGAGATGTTCAAGACTCTTGCTAGTCCATAGCACGAATTGCATACTTTTCTTGATGAGAATTCTGTATTCATGTTTTTTGGATAGATTCTCTAGTGTCTTTATCTTTCTGAAATGAAACCGTGTCTAGAACAATTACATCCATCATGTGGTTATAATTCTAGCATATGTTTTATTTCCATAACCGGAAAATTAGAGAAATTTAACAGGAAAACAACTTTAGTATCCCCAATGACGGCTTTCTTCTTCAATTAACATCCTGAACCCGGTGCCGGTGCAGGTGCCGATTGTAGTTTGTAGTCGTCCCACAATTCGTACACAGACTTCCCGAGTAGCTGCACGAAGAAAGCATCACTATAGTAATACCTCATCATGGCATTTAGGTCGGCAATGAATCCGTCTCTGAGCCCGTTACAGTACTCCAGAAAGTATGCCGTAACAGCATATCCTTCGTCCCACCTTGAGCCCGACCCCTTCGCAACCCAGCCTTTCGATGGCCATCCGGAGGTCAACCTGATGTAATCAGCAATGCCGGTGATAAGGCCGCTCGTGCGCTTTCATGATACAGAATTCCAGTGAACTCGGCTTTTACATCACCAATATAAGCCTGAACGTAGTCCGCATTTAGAAGAATCTGGTTGCCTCCGGTAATGGCAACTTGGAGGGGTTGCCATCCGATTCCATTTGCCCTAAAGCTCTCGATGATTGCATCTATAGACGTGTAGTTCTTCCCTCCTCCATAAGTTTGTCTGAAAGTCTTCAAAAAGAAGTCTGAAGCCTCTAACAGAACTATGCCGGTGTAAGACGCCCCGATTTCTTGCTTGAACCTTGTGTCCGGGGTGCCGGTGGTGTTGTCAAATACAACAGATTCGATCGGACCGAACCCGATCACATGGGTTGGTTCGAGAGCAATAAGGGTGATGAGAAGAACAAAGAGCTTCATGGGGTTCATGTTGTAGAGGAGATACAACTGAGTTGGTACTTTGTGGTCTTGCACATTGCCCTTAACCACCCTACTGCTTTCTATTTATAAGGTGTCTTAACAATGGAAAGTCCCGGAAGTCAGTTGAACTTTAGTGTTGACTGAGGCCGTCCGCGAAGTTTCTTGAGAGCCTGCAGTTCTGTGGCTGCTGTCCTTTTCGAGGGTCAAACAAAGCCTTACATGCGGCGTTGCTTATGTACATTGTTTGAACCCTTCGAAGGGAACAAGATAGAGGTGGTAATACATATGTTCAACTATGAATAATGACCTATGACCAAAAAAAAAACTATGAATAATGACCAAAACTAAGTTAAATCAGTAACAATTTGCCTCCATCATTTCAGTTGTTGCAATTACAACTTTTGACATGTCAATTGCTTATCCTCAAATAAGAAATATCAAGATTGATCTAAGTAGAAGTGAATTAAATAGATCAGGCTGCGTTTTTTTCAAGGAAAATGATTTACCGGAAAATGTTTTCATCGCCGTGTTTATTTGGGAGAGAATAAGCTAATCTAGGAACATGATTTCGCTAGCGATTCTTCTAGCTCCAGCCTCCGAAGTGCATGTTCTTCTTGCCCTCACCTATCGAAAGAATCTGTCATGGATGGTGCTTTCCATCTTGGTACAACTAACAAGTTGCAAAGGCCTTAGGGTTGTCTGTGGCTGGGATTTTATCTCATTTGGAATCCGATTGATAATGAAAATGCAAGGAAATCCGACCAATACTAGAAAAGTCCAATTCGAACTCTTGGCAACAAGATTGTGGGTGATGCAAAATAGAGAAACTAATTTTCCCCAAAGACTTCTTTTCCTTATTGAAGTTGCAGTCCATGTTAACGTCGGAGGAGGGCTCATAGTTTCTGCATATAAATATTTTGTTATTGAGTTTGGTTTTTGGTGCATAGATGTGTGAAAACTAGAAAGAGTCAAAGAGAGCACTGAGAGTTGTCGATCCAGAGAGTTGAAAGTGTGAGAAAACTTCTCACATTTCAATACCTACATATTGCATCTCCCCAATCTAGAAAAATCTCATTTGCCTTATGCACACTCAAAATCTACACCCAAAAGCCTCTCACACTTGCCCTTTCTGTCTCCTCACACGTAGTAGCTACACCCTTGCCCTCAGCCGACAATGACACCCTTGCGACTGCGAGACCACACGAGCTCAACCATTGCTCGTGGCTCACAATCACCATGCCCATGCGAGATTGGCGTTGAACTAACGAGGGTCGTGGCCAGCTACAAAGCTCGGTCAGCGACCATGGCAGCCAGATTGAGGTTGTTCGACCATGATATGGCCTTGAACATGCGTTGCGACCTAAGTGGTCTCAAATCTAAGGTCGATGCCAGCCTCTGAAGGAGCGAAGAGGGGTTAGACATGGTGACGGTGGGTAAAAGTTGGGTTTTTGGAGATATCCGTAGAAGATGAATTGCTGGTTGTCCAAAGAGGTTATGAATGCTAACATTTGTAGACTACATTATCTTGGCAAGTGTCACGAAAGTTGAACAATGTCAAATAACGTTTTTTTTTCAGTCTGTTTGCACCTAAAGAGCTTGACCTAAAGCATAATCAACGTGTCGACACCTTCTGATAGGAGGTTTACAGTAGACAGCTATCAAAAAAAGAGAGATCATTACCATATGCACAACTCTCTCATTTGGTTATAATGTTTCCATACAATCTATGGAGTATTAGGCATCAAAATTCAGAGATTAAATGCATATGGATAGATACATTACTATATATTTATTTTCCCAGTTGAGATGCTTCAAAAGGTTATGTTCATAAGTAGTCGAAACAAATTGTCTTGAATTGACAGGAGTAGTACGATGTGAAACAACGCGACACTTTATAAAAAACTAAATAAATTTTTGGTAACTTTTTTCGTTTACAATCTGTTGTAAAAATAAATGGCTTCGAATCAAAAGAGCAATCAAGTCAGACTTTGAGGCGTGATATCACTTTCCTTAAGGATTTATTTGCCTCACAATGTTGCTAATGGTCACCGACAAAAATCCTCCAGGATACAACAAAGTCTCAAAATGAGAATACTAGATAGCAATTCTAGTATTTCTCCAGGGTCTCTCTAGGAAACAATTGAAAATGATGGTTGTAGTTTTCGAAAGAAGACTTGAAAAATTGATTTCTATTCTCCTTATTGCCAAAAACTGACATATATAGAAATCGGTCTTAAAGAACATAGGCAACTCTTCACGAAAGGTTGCAAAGCTAACAAAGATATTCCTTCGGAAGAAGTTGCAAACTGAACAAATACAACCCTTCGGGAAAGATTGAAAACTGAATAAGTATAATCTCCAAAAGTTGTCTTGAAAAGACACATGTAAAATTCGGAATAAAATAAAATAAATATATAAATAAAATTCCGAATTTTCATAATTTCAAAAATTATTTAATAAACAAAAACAACCTTTCAACTAATAAAGATTAATGAGATAACCTTACGAAATAAAATAAAAAATAAAGGAATTAGTGCTAATTAAACCGCGGCCGCGCAAGCGTGCTAAGTGCGCCTAATAATCGCGCAATTATTCGCGCACCTGCGCGCGGGTATTGTGTGGACTAGCACACATCTCATTGTCTTCACTCTAAGGAGCAAGAAGATATTCACAGTTATAAAGTGGCCCACTTTCTCAAAACTTTCCTATGTGGGACAAAGGAAAGAGCATTATTTTATTTATTTTACAAACAAACATCCAACACAATCAACCTCACCCAGATTTTATCATTTCTCCGCTGAGCAATCGATACAGTTTGCAGAGCAACTTTGGCTATAGCTCTTACTAACTCGTCATTTTGGAATCGAATTCTCAATCTAAATAGAGACACGCGTTGCTTAAGCACCCTTAGCAAAACTGAGGTAATCACGACTTTTACTTCCTTTGCTAGTTTTGCACTCATCGATCTTCAATTTTTCTCCAGAATATACTTCTTGATTTCCATTAGCAAATTGAGTTATAGTACATGTGTTGAGTTGAAGGTAATAGACTTGAGTTTCTTAAGCCACTAGCAATCTAATTTTTAAATGTTGAAAAATCTGGAGAAAATTTCCAAAAAAGTCCTAAATATATTGCACTTGTGCCAATTTGGTTATAAACCTTTCAATTTGGTCAATTTAGTCCTAAATATTTTGATAATTCTCCAATTAAATCCTTCCGGCCAATTTTCACCAACAATCACTAACGCGGATGTTGGCCATCCTACATGGCACAGCCAACACTAATGTAGACAATTATTGCAATTTTTTTGAATTTTGAATTATTCTTTTTGTATTTGTTGAATTTTCATCTTTTCTTTTCTTTTTTTCTCTTTGTTTTTTTTCATTGTGAAGGCCTCGTACGCGGCTAGTGGGGGCCACAAAGGACCTGGGCAAGGCCATCGCCGCCTCACTGGCCACGGGTGAGGCCTTCATAGCCACAATTAAAAAAAAAGCAAGAAAATAAAGAAAAGAAAATTTAAAAAAATTATAAAATTATCCACGTTAGTGCCTGCTGTGCCACGTAAGACAGTCGGCATCCACATCAACAATTTCTAGCCAAAGTTGGGTAGAATGATTAAATTGGCAAATTATTAAAATGATTAGAACTAAATTTGCTAAATTGAAAAGTTTAAGACTGAATAGGCACAAGTGCCATATGTTTAGAACATTTTCGTAATTTCCCCTTGAAAAATCAATTAACAATACCCTATGCACTTAAGCAAATAGTCAATGCAATAATTATATATGTTGCCTTTTAATTTTTGAAACTAACTTCCATTCTCCTCCGATTGGGCGGGTATTCTCTAATTCTATAACTTAACGTGTGGTCCATTTCCTAAAGTATTAGTTCACTCTGATGAATCCTTCGAAATTTCTATTTGAATAAGAGCAAAAGTCCTAAAACTCGTCATGACAATATACTGGAGTTGCAAAAGTTTCATTTTGTGCATTTAAGTCCCAAAATTTATCGCATCCCATTTAATCTCTCTTCAACTCCGTCAGCTTTTCTTAGATGGAGAATCGTGAGGAATTTCATCTTAAATTTTACTTTAGCTTTGGCAGAGGTGATGCTGCCAGCTCTTTATCCCTCCAAAGTTTGATCACTCTCTTTTTTTTACTTTTAGTTTATTCCTTATATTTACAAATTCTTTTCCTAAATTTTAAGCTTTTTCTTAATTTTTCTTTCTTTTTTTCAATGTGGCACTAGGAGAAACAACGTCCTTTTGTGTCAACAGCACTGTTTTGGGTTTTAGCTAGCTCCGTCTGCTTATTAGCAGTCACATTGGATGAAAAAATTAATAGAAAAAGGTCAGCTCAGAACATTTTGTCTACCAAAAGCTAAAGTGGGACTACCATGACAAATTTAGGACTTAAATGCATAAAAGGAAAGTTATAAAAGTGAAGTGCATTATCGTAACAAGTTTCAGGACTCTAGATATAATTATCACCTATATCCAGAGCTAGCAAAGCTAATTGTGCAGTTGCTGAAAACTTGCTTGTATCACGCATGAAAGTTTCGTGCACCATATGTAGTCAAGCCAAACACATGAGAGTCATCTAATTATAGGAAAATAAACTTCAAAACTAATAACTTGCCGTTGTCAATTGTGGTCTCAAGAATAATGGGTCATTTGTTCATTACAAAGTTGACCAAGGATTGACTCAACAAATGGTTTCCATTCAGAAAGAACTTTCTACACTCGGCTCAATGCAAATAGAACTTTCCACACCTGGTCTTCTTTAATGGGAAAATTGTCCCAAAAGTCCTAAACCTATTGTGTGGCGGTCAATTCAGTCCTAATCTTTTCAATTATGCCAATTTCATCCTAAAATTTTTCATGATCAACCAATTTAGTGGTAAACATTTTAACGATTTGTCAAATTAGTCTTTCTAGCCAATTTTGACTAGAAATCGCTAATGTGGCGGTCTTGTCAACTTTGTCCATGTAACATGGCCAATGCGAATGTGGACAATTTTTTTCCTTTTCTTTTCTTCTCTTTCTTTCCTTTTTTTTTTCCCTTTTTCCATCCTTCGACCATCGACAAGGCGATGGCCAGCGAAGGGAAACAGAAAAAAATAAAAAGAATAGAAAAGAAAAGGGAAAAAAGAAAAAAGTCATAAAATTAAAAAAAATTGTAAAAATTATCCATATCGGCGCCATCCACGCCATGTAGGACAACCAACACAGACTAGACCGCCACGTCAACGATTTCTGGTCAAAATTGGCGGAATAACTAAAATGGGAAATCATTAAAAGGTTTAGGACTAAATTGACAAATCATCAAAAGTTTTAAAACTAAATTAACACAATTAAAAGGTTTAGGCCTAAATTGACAAATTATGAAAAGGTGTAGGACTAAATTGGCACAACTAAAAGGCTTAGGACTGAATTGGCCACTATACATTAGGTTTAGGATATTTTGGACAATTTTCTCCTTCTTTATGTGAAAAATGAATAGGCTAAAATGCATTAGGTTTACGACTGAAATGCATTATTCGGATTTTTGAAATAATTAACCTAGTAACACATAGTATTTTTTTAAAAGTGGTCATGCCTTCACCTATATCGAGAACTAGTAATAGGCTGGTTGTGCATTTTCTGAAAACTTGCTTGTTTCACACATAAAGGTTTTGTGCATCGTATGTAGTCAAGCCAAACACATAACAGTCGCATAATTTACGGTAACTAAACGTCAAAACTAATTACATGTCTTTGTCGGATATGGTGAATTAATTATAAAGGAAACTCCATTCTTCACGAGAACAATGATTTCTTTCGGTGCCAAAGTTGCCCAAGAATTGACACGTTAGATGGTTTCCATGCAGAAAGAACTTTAGACACCTAGCTCGATGCAAACAAAACTTTCCACAACTAACTTCTTTAAATGAAAAATGACTAAGTTGAAATTAATTGGTTAAATATAGGACTTAAATTTATGAAAAGAAAGCTTAAAGAATGAAGTGCATTATTCGGACTCTTGAAACAATTAACCTAGTAACACGTAATATATTTTAAGGTGGTCACGCCTTCACCTATATGGAGACCTAGTAAGGCTGATTGTGCATTTTTTGAAAGCGTCCTTGTTTCACACATGAAGGTTTTGTGCACCATATACAGTCAAGCCAAACACATGACAGTCGCATAATTTACGGTAACTAGATGTGAAAACTAATTACTTGCCTTTGTCACAAATGTTGAATTAATTATGAAGGAAACACCATTATTCACAAGAAAAACGATTCCTTTCAATTCTAAAGTGGACCAAGAGTTGACGCAACAGTATGGTTTCCATGCAGAAAGAACTTTAAACATCGAGCTTGGTGCAAACAAAACTTTCCACAGCTGGCCTTATTTAAATGAAAAATGAATAAGTTGAAATTTATTGGTTAAATATAAGGCTTAAATGTATGAAAAGAAAGTTTTAAAACTAAAGCACATTATTCAAACTTTTGAAATAATTGTCCTTGTAACGCGTAGTATTTTTTAAAGTGGTTACGCCGTCACCTATATCAAGGGCTAGCAAGGCTGGTTGTGCATTTTCTAGAAAACTTGCTTGTTTCACACATGAAGGTTTTGTGCACCTTATGTAGTCAAGCCAAACACATGACAGTTGCATAATTTATGGTAACTAGACGTCAAAACTAATTGCTTTTCTTATTAGAATATGGTGAATTAATTATGAAGGAAACACCATTTTTCATGAGAAAAACAATTCCTTTCGGTTCCAAAGTTGACCAAGAATTGACACGGCAAATGGTTTCCGTGCAGAAAGAACTTTAAACACCTAGCTCGATGCAAACAAACTTTCCACACCTGGCCTTCTTTTAATGAAAAATGAATAAGCTGAAAGTTATTGCTTAAATGAATGAAAAGAAGGCTTAAAGAATGAAGTGCATTATTGGACTCTTGAAACAATTAACCTAGTAACATGTAGTATATTTTAAAGTGGTCACGCCTTCATCTATATCAAAAGCTAGTAAGGTTGATTGTGCATTTTTTGAAAGCTTCCTTATTTAACACATGAAGGTTTTGTGCACTTTATGTAGTCAAGCCAAACACATGACAGTCGCATAATTTACGGTAACTAGACATCAAAACTAATTACTTGCCTTTGTCGCAAATGTTGAATTAATTATGAAGGAAACGCCATTATTCACGAGAAAAACAATTCCTTTCAGTTCCAAAGTTGACCAAGAGTTGACACGACATATGGTTCCCATGCAGAAAGAACTTTAAACACTTAGCTTGGTGCAAACCAAACTTTCCACACCTGGCCTTATTTAAATGAAAAATGAATAAGTTGAAATTTATTGGTTAAATATAAGACTTAAATGCATGAAAAGAAAGCTTTAAGGCTGAAGTGCATTATTCGAACTTTTGAAATAATTAACCTTGTAACACATAGTATTTTTTAAAGTGGTCACACCTTCACCTATATCGAGAGCTAGCGAGGCTGGTTGTGCATTTTTCGAAAACTTGCTTGTTTCGCACATGAAGGTTTTGTGCACCATATGTAGTCAAGCCAAACACATGACAGCCGCATAATTTACAGAAACTAGAAGTTAAAACTAGTTCCTTGCCTCATTAGAATATGGTGAATTAATCATGAAGGAAACACCATTCTTCTCGAGAATAACAATTCCTTTCAGTTTCAAAGTTGACCAAAAATTGACGCGACAGTATGGTTTCCATGCAGAAAGAACTTAAACACCTAGCTCGATGCAAACAAAACTTTCCACACCAAGCCTTCTTAAAATGAAAAATGAATAAGCCGAAATTTATTGGTTAAATAAAAGGCTTAAATGTATGAAAAGAAAGCTTTAAGACTGAAGTGCAATATTTGAACTTCTGAAATAATTAACCTAGTAGCGCATAGTATTTTTTTAAAGTGGTCATGCCTTCACCTATATCGAGAGCCAGCAAGGCTGGTTGTGCATTTTCTGAAAACTTACTTGTTTGACACATGAAAGTTTTGTGCACCATATGTAGTTAAGCAAAACACATGGTGGTTGCATGATTTGCGGTAACTACACGTCAAAACTAATTACTTGCCTTTGTCGAATATGGTGAATTAATTATGAAGGAAACGCCATTCTTCACGAGAAAAGCGACTCCTTTCGGTTCCAAAGTTGACCAAGGATTGACGCTACAGATGGTTTCCATGCAGAAAGAACCTTCTACACTTGGCTCAACGCAGATAGAAATTTCCACACCTAGCCATTTTTACCGTACCTCCCGTGCACATCGACGCGTAGTTTTAAGTTGCCGTGCAACTGCGCAAGTTTTTTTACCTATGTAAGTCCTTCCATTCCAGACTAAAGCGCATTGTTTCTCTCCTCCAATTTTTTCCGTAAACACTTCTTTTCCTCCAATCTCTAAACATGTAGAATCATCCTTTTGCGAGCAATCAAATCTAAGGGTTAATTTTCTGTGAGTGCTCAGGAGGAAGATTTCAATTATAGGCTTGGTAAGCAACTCAGATAAGCGCATTCACCTGAAAAGGTTCACTTTTTCTATAGAAGATACTTTGATCTTTTCTTCTTGTACTTTGAAAATTACTTATGTCTCTACGCCCTTAATAAAAAAAAATTGTAATAAAATAAGTTACAATAAGTTCATAATTGAAATGAGCAACTCCTTAACTGCTTATAAAAGCAAGATTCACCTATTTATGATTCATAAATTTTCTCAAGAAAATGTAACTCTTAAAGCTGTAAAAAAAAATCACTATTTTCTCAATGCGGTCATCTATGACCACCAAATTTTCCCTCCCGAATATCGGGCTCGATGGGGGAGTGAACCGGGGTGATGGAAACGACGTGATCGTCCATTCCATCTTTGCCATTTTCTAGTCCAATTTCCCTCCAAAGCAGTCTCGCTCTCTTCCCGAGTTTCTCACGTTTGAGGGTGGTGTCTCGCGCACCATTTGAGAAGAGAAGCGTCTCCCCGGTAACCAGTTCTTGCTTATCAGTCCCTTTCAGTTCCTCTGCTTGTTCATCACATCATGGATGCTTGACTCCGATTTGCTTTTCTTTGATTACCCTTTTCTTTCCTGCGATACGTGGGTTCTGAGTTTTCAGTGGTTCTGTGTGGCGATTTCGTGGAAAGGTCTCAGTGACCCTTTATGAACGACGGTTACCGTTTGGAGTAGAACAATAATCTACCATACTTCATTACTGAGTGAATTCGCTGACTTTCAATTTAAATTTATCCTACTGGGTCAACTGTTCCTGAGGAGACATTGCCTTGTTGTCTTATGATAGGTCCTGTTTTGATGAGGCTTGTTATGGTTTGATATGCAATATGAACGCCAATGTGACTCGTTGGAGTTTTTACTATTAATCTAATTATGTTTAAGGGCATCGAATTCGAAAATAGAAGAGGTTCTTGTTAACAGATTTTGACGAAATGGGTACTACTTTTTTCGGTTTCTGACTTATTCGATTAGTGCGCTGCGAGTGTCTTATTGACTACTGAGTCGCTGACCAGTTAATATTTATTTATTAAGAATTTGAGATGCCAGTTTTCCAACTTCTTTCTAGATTGAACATAAACTCTGGGAGAGATTGGGAAGCTGATGGATGCGAGGCTTCCGGTTCACCAAGCTAAATGCCCGCGCTGGAACGACACCCGAGATGTTGGCAGTCATACGCATATATGTGACCTACCTGATGAAATTCTTCTGCGCATCCTGGGTCTTCTGCCGTTAAAAGAAGTTGTTCGAACAAGTGCGCTGTCGAAAAGGTGGGAGTATCTGTGGACGTCAATTTCTAGTCTTGTCTTCAGAGAAGATGAAAGCAATGGGAGGATGGTTTTCATGAACTTTGTGGAGAGAGCATTGTTACTCTGCCAGTCGTCTCCTCTGAAAGTATTTTCTCTTAATTATGTGATTGATGGTGACGAATATGTTGCTGGTGATGAGTCTCGTATAAATTCGTGGATTACTGCTGCAATAAGGCGCAATGTTCAGGAGCTTCGATTGCACCTTGGAATAGAACATCCTTCTTTTAATTACAGTTTACCGAGTTGTATATTTAGATGCGAGACGCTGACAGAATTCCATCTACTATTGAACGGTACCCTCAGACTTCCTTCTTCAGTACGTCTCAAGAATCTGAAGGTCTTAGCTCTTGAGTATCTACATCTCGATGATGATAGGTCGGTCGAGCAGCTGTTTTCATGCTCTTCCCTTGAGACGTTGTCTCTGGACTATTGCACTTGGCCAGAGGATATGACTATGCATATTTCTGCTCCTAAACTTTTGAGTTTGTCCATAGTTGAACGCGACTCTTTTCTAGATATTGGAAGTCACGCGCATATCAAGATCCTTTGCCCCTGTTTGAAGTCCTTTGAATATTATGGTGAATTTTTGGATGATTATGCCATATCTGGCTCACCCTCTCTGGAAGAGGCTATCATCCATGTGTTTCATCCATCTGACGTAGAGAGAAAGCCAGATCAATGTGCACGCCATGCATATAAGCTTGTGAAGGAGCTTTCTCGTGTTAAACTCCTGACTTTATCTGAGGACATCCTTGAGGTACACTATTCTATTTGCATCTTCAATGCCATGTCTAAATCTTCCATTCATTGGATCTACCTATTCCCAGAGCCTTGAGGGGCACTTTATCTTTTCGTTACCTAAGGTACACTTATCTGAACCATAGTGTGTGCTGCCATTTTTTGGCTTTGTTAACAGGACTTGGATGAAAATAAGAGGATTCTTGATCTTGGCTCCGTTCCCTTCTTTGGTTATCTTACCAAACTGAAATTGACAACTCGCAACGTGGACCTAGAATCTGTAGCGTTTCAGGTTTTGCTCAGGAAATGCTCCATTCTAAGGAGTCTAAAGTTTGATGTGGTAACCGTTCTATCGCTGTCCTTTGCCCCCTCCTCCTCTTACTGCAGATATCAAAGTGACACTGATTGAATGTGATTGTGTATCAGGGTGTTTCCATCGAGTCTGAAACGGCCGAAGGGATATTGGACCCGGCACCTCACTGTTTTCTGACCTCGCTCAAGGAGATCACAATTGGTTACTTCGATGCGGCTGACTATGAACTCCTGGCCGTCATGATTTTGCTCAGGGCTGCTTCGGTTTTGGAGGAACTAGTTATACATTGTACGGAGCAGTGTTTCGTGACTTTCCCAGGGGACTTGATGGAAGCATTGCTGGCACTCCCGAGGGCTTCAAGTCGATGCGCAATTACCTTTTTGGCGTGCAAAATGCAGACTGCATCAAATGTGTAGGTTCCTTCTTTGTTTTGCTGAAACGAACAGCTCCCTGTGACATCCATAATTTAGAGTCGTATTTGGAGATTTATATGTTCTGAGAATGAATTGCTGGCTTTCGGATTGGCTGATAAATTTCTATCGATGTCCTTCTACTAGTACATGCCTAATTGCCTATACTATTATATTCAGGAACAGGATCATCTGTTAACAGATCATAAGCTTTTTCTTTTGATTCTTCTACTTTTTCAATCTCGAGTATTTGAAACTTTTGAAATATATCGATATGGATTACTATTCGATCTACCGCCACGGTTGAGTGACGTGTGTGTTTGCACTTAGTTTGTTAATTGAATTTTTGCAGATGTCAACCATTCAGTGGTAGACGTATAACCATACCGGAAGTTGCTTTAACGAAAATACGATAAAATATTAATGCATAAATTGACGTAAAAGATTTTTTGTAGCGTTTTTTTTTTTAAATTTTGAATGTTACTTTAGATGTCCCACCAAATAAATCCTCAATCTTTAGGTCTTTCAACTCTTCAGAACGTTGATCTCGAAGGTGATTCAGTGGAGAAGCTGCTGCTTTCGTGGCTTTTCCCCTTGAGAAGTTGTTTCTCGACTCTATTGCATGTGGCCAACGTACAAATCTCCGAATGTTCTTGCTCGCCAGCTTTTGATGTTTTCTGTAGTTAGCACGTAACAAGGGTGATTGTGAAAGTGCCTCGGCTCCGTTTGTTTCGCAGAAGATTTGACATATCTAAATAATGTTTTCCAAGTTTCCAGAAAAATGACAAAATTTTTCGATATTTAACTCAAGTCTAAAAATAAATTGAAAATTATTTTCTATTGTTTGGAAAAGAAAACCTGCTCACTATTCGAGTGCTAGTGATATGGGCAATGGCAGGTGGGGAACTGGCCACGGGCTGGCCTTGATGGTCCTAGGTTCGAGAGCCAAGGACTGGCGACACAAGCACAGGCACCGGTCTCAGGTCCATAGAAGCTGGTCCCGGGTCCATCGAGCCCTGACCTTGGCCTAGCTCCTTCATGCTTGAGTCCGGTCTCACAAAGGCCGAGCCCGGACCCCAACACCCATGCCCGAGTCCCCGACACCCGGCCTGTATTCATTGAGGCAGGGCCCAAGTCCATGAAAAACCGGGCTCGAGACCCTCATACCCATGCCTAGATCCCCAACCCAAGTCCATCGTACATCGTTCACTAGAGGGAGAGAGAAACTCTGATCACTATGCTTACCACGGGTTTAAGCATATAGCCGACCATAAGCTATCCAAGAAGGAGAGGCGCACTCAAATATAACTCGTGGGCAAGAGATTTAGGATGCCACATGGACAACTTTTAAGTGACGTGTAGGTAACGTTAGGTATTATTCATCGGAAAGATTTGATTATACCTTTTGAAAAAAAAATTATTACTTAGCTGAACTAATTGAAAAGTTTAGAAAGTAACTGCATTTCATACACAAGATTTAAGACTTCTAGTATAATTTTCTAAGGGAAAATTTCAAATCAGTACCCAAAGTGAGGTCATTTTCTCAAAAAAAGATTCAAAGTGGACATAGTATCAAATAAGGGTTTGAAATGCCTAATCAGTCTCAAATAAGGGCCCGAAGTGCCCAATTAGTCTTAAGTAAGGGTCTGGGTTCGCCGGCCGGTCAAATGCTCACCGGCTGACAAGCACGTCACTGTTCCGATCGCTGGAATAAAGGCAATTTCATCTTTTACTTTTTAAAATTTTTTGTTTCTTTTTTCCTTTTACTGTTTTTTTCTTTCCCTTTTCTTTTTTTTTTTTCCTCTTTCCCTTTAGCCGGCCTATGGCCGGCGGAGGTTGCCGGCCTCAGGCGGAAGCCGGCGAGGGCGGCCCTGGGTTTCCCTCATACATGAAGTCACAAAATAGAAGCTCCTGCCCTATATTACCAAATCCTGAATAATCCTCCTCCTTTTATAACCAAAAAAAGAAAACGAATAATCAAAAGCAGCATGGCATCGCCATACTAATTTTTTCATCATACATTTTAAACTTCGGTAAAATATTAATGACCATTTGCCAAATAACTTTCAAAATGAAATTAATTAATTTTTTTTGTCTTTTTTTTGCGAAGGAAAAATGACACAAACAGTCCTTGAACTTTTAATTTGTTCAATGTCATCAATGAATTTTTTGTACATGTTCAATTTAGTCCTTGAATTATATAAATGTTCAATGTAGTCCTTCCATTAATTCAAATTCGGGAATTACATTGAATATTTTCATATAGTTCAAGAACTATATTGAGCATGTACCAAAAGTCCATGGACCACACCGAATAAATTAAAAGTTCAGGGACCACATATAATATTAGACAAAAATTTATGGACCACATTAAATAAATTAAAAATTTAAATATTATATTACATATTGAGTTAAATTTCAGGTACCGTCTGTGTAATTATCCGTTCTGCGAACTTTAGTTCTATACTATTTGCTTTTTCTTTGTTCCCTCCTTTCAAAAAGTTCACTCGACCCTGCCCCTTCCTCTCCTATCCACCCAAATCGCCGCTGCGTGGATTCCATCACCTGGACAAACCGGTGCTTCTTCGCTTATGGCTCGCTGGTTCTCTTTAATCTCCATGAACGCTTGACTTCAAATTTTTTTTTCTTCCACAGCCATGTTTTCTTGCTCTTTCTACTATGTATCATCCATGTGATCAGCTGCTTTCATTCATATCCATGTCATCCTCGGCTTTTCGCGGTTCCATGTGGTGATGTCTTTTCTGGGTTCTTGATGTTTGGAGGGTGGTCAGTCGTTTTCCACTAACCTGTGTAATAGTTGGTGAAACAATGGTACATGGGTGTTGTTGAAGAAATTTGCTGGCACCCCATGTGTTTGATGAAAAGCTTCAATGACCCGAAGTGCACACTCGTCCCGTGGGGTCGACATTTTATGTTCCGTTGCATATTTCATTGTCGAGTGAATTGGCTCATTTGTACACCCATGTCCCCGTTTGTTCTGGCTCTTGTCGTTTAGGCTGGTTTTGCGATGCTTGTTAAGGTTTATCATGAAATCGCAATGTGCCTGCCAATGGAACTCATTAGACTTATTTGACCCTGGTCATGTTGTAGCGATGCGCATCAGGTTCAAGAATTCCAGAGTTTTCTTTATTTTAAGCGTATCTTGAAGAGAGTTAATTATCTTACCACTTGGTATAGTCATTTTGACATTCAAAGTGTAATGAATGTGTTATGATTGGTGATTATCTTTATTTTAGATTTGACCTGCATTCTGGAGAGGTTGTGGATCTGATGGATAGGAACCCTCTGGTTCACAAGGCAAAATGCCAGCACTTGAATGATGCTCGAGATGTTAACCGCTGCAAGCAACTATGTGATCTACCCCATGCAATTCTTTTGCGCATCCTGGCTTTTCTACCAACAGAAGATGCTGTGCGAACGAGTGTGCTGTCGAGACGGTGGGAGTATTTGTGGACGTCCATTCCTTGTCTTGTCTTCATAGAAGAAAATATCGATGGGAGGATGCTTTTCAGGAACTTCGTGGAGAGAGCATTGTTACTTCGTGACTCGTCTTCTTTGAAAGCTTTTTCTCTCACGTGCAAGGTTGACAGTGAAGAATATCTTGACGGCAACGAATCTCGTGTCAATCTGTGGATTACTGCTGCAATACGCCGCAATGTTGAAGACCTCCGCCTGCACCTTAAACTTGGTCATGGTGCTACTGTGTACATGTTACCTCGTTGCATATTTAGGTGTGAAACTCTGAGAGAACTCCATCTAGAAATGAACCATGACCTCAAGCTTCCTTCCTTAGTTTGTCTTACAAATCTAAAGGTCTTAACTCTTACGGGAGTTCAGTTTAGAGATGATAATTCAGTGGAGAAGCTGCTTTCGTGCCCTTCCCTTGAGAAATTGTCTCTTTACAGCTGCGAGTGGAATCTTGAGGTTTTGGAAATTTCTGCTCCCAACCTTTTGTACTTGACTATTGTAGAAGATGTCTTGGCTTCTGGTATCCGGAACTCCCAAGTAAGGATCCATGGAGCTTGTATCAAGTCCTTCGACTATTTTGGTGAATTATTTTATGACTATGTTATATTGAGCTCCAGCTCATTAGTTGAGGCTTCCATTGGGTGTCATCATGACGAGACTGAGAAAAATATCGATCAAGGCGCCTGCCATTTATATAAGCTCTTGAAGGCTGTTTCTAACGTAAAACAAATGTTTTTATCCATCGAATTTCTTGAGGTACGCTTTGCTGCTCGGTTCCTCGATTTCGTCTTTATCCCCCTCCTCCTTGGATCCATTTATTGGGACAATCTTGAGGTACGCCTCATCTTGATTCCCGATGTTAGTCTAAGTTGCTATTGTATGGCTTTGTCATCAGGATTTGGATGAGAGAGAGGATATTCTCAATCTCAACTCCCTTCCAATCTTCCATAGTCTAACGAAATTGATATTAGACGACTGTCACGTGAATTTAGAATCTAGAGCACTTTTGTTGTTGCTCAGTGGATGCCCTATTTTGAAGAGTCTTGAGTTCTCTGGGGTAATTACTCAATCCTTAGTCCTCTTTCCTCCCATTCTTTTGTTCTGCATTAGTGGTGCTATTGTTGAGATCAATGTTAAAGCTCATTGATACGTTGTTGTGAATCAGAGCATTCTTGTGGTCTCTAAAAATGAAGACTGGACATTGGACCCCATGCCTCCGTGTCTTCCTTTGTCGCTCAAGGAGATTACGATTCGTTGCTTCCAGGGGACTGATTTGGAATTGTTGGCTGTAAGGATTTTGCTCAGGACAGCTGCAGTTTTGGAGAAAATGTTGATTCACTGTTCAAGGCGCTGTTCGAGGACTTTTCAAGGGAACTTGACGGAACACTTGAATGAGCTCCCTACAGCTTCAAATCAATGTACGATCTTTGTCAAAGCGTGGGCACCTGGAATTCTATAGCATTTGACATCCGTAATTTGGTTAAATTCAAACTTGTGTTCTGATGACTCAGATTTTGTAATTGTTTTGAGTCGATGGACATGTGAATTTCAAGTTCTGTTCTACTAATCATCGATGCATCCATTGTCATAGCTGGACTACTTCAATCATCCTACTTGACAAGTCAATATTCACGGTATGTGTTGGGCTATCCATTGCTTCTCTTCTACTTCTCCACAGTGAGCATAGGCATTAAACATTGTCCAAAGACAATGGATGAAACTTGTAAGAGTATGAATTAATTATTTTTATCGTTTCGTCGTAATTCGAAAAGTTTATCCTACGTAGTAGATTAATCACTTAATTCTTTCTACTATGTCCTCCGGTCGTCTGTTTCCGTCCTTGAGTCCCCTTTGCAAATACTCGAGTGTCCCGAGAAACATCAGACTAATGTCGATTTCAAATCAATCGGGATTAACTTTGAGCCATAACCGACACTAAATGCTATTCTTGTGATAACTTTTCCTTCCTTGGAGGCTTTGACAGTCGACAGCACTAAAATGGAATGATATGGACAACTTTCATCCGCAAAAGTTGCTTGCAATTGAGGGATGCTTTTACATCGGTATGAAGGTGAGGGTCTGCACACCAGTTTGCACATCAATGTCATCAATCCTGTTCTTTTTTGGTAGAATTCACTTAGCTAGACGATGATGAACGCTCTTTTATGCAATGGTGTGTATTCATGTGTTCGTCTAGGATGAGATGTTGTCGAAAATGGTCACGTCTCAACTCATAGAATTCGAATTCTGACAAAAAAAAAACTCATGGAATTCGAAATGCAAACCGTCCTTAAGACACCATTTTCAATCTCACGGGAGAAATGTTCTGATCCATGACACCTTGCATTCAATCTCAACCTAATTCCCTAAAAAAATCTCCAACTTTAGGTTCAAACCCTATTCTCCCCACCCATCCGAAAATCGCCACTAAATTCTCTAAGATTATCAACATCGAGTCAGTTACAAGTTCGTTATCACAACCTGTGTTTTCATCGACACCCTCACTATGTTTTGGAATAGTAACAACAACCTGATGTCGATAATCTTGAAAAAGTTGGTGCGATTTTTTTACGCGTAGGCATATTGGAACTAGAACGAAAGTTAGGAGCTTTTTTTTTTTAAGATTAATACCATGAAAAACCCCAAACTGCTACATCTATGACAAATTTACTCCAAACTAATTGTTTGACCACGAAAAATCTCAAACTAGTACACCTGTGTTAAATTTACCCAAAAAAAAGTTTTGACTACCAAAAACCCCCAAGTGATACACTTGTGACAAATTTACCCTTGGTTAAATTGGATTACCACCACGAAAAACTACAAATTGATACACCTGTGATAAATGAAGGGGTAAAACCCTAAACCGGTACACCCGCCAGCTGTCACGTGTCATCCAACTCAACAATTTGACGAAAAAATTTAACGAAAACTGACCGAAGGTAAAATTTATCATAGGTGTATCACTTTGAAGTTTTTTGCGTTATTAAACCTTTTTCTTTAAATCTAAAGTTGATAATTTTTTAATGGAACGAGCCCCTTCAGTCTCATTCGGAAACAAAAGAGTCGTGCGCGTTCCCAGTTGAAAGGAACGAGCCGACAGGCCCACACGCAGTTGACCTCGACGAGTCCACGTCCAGTCCCGCCATTGTCGCCTGTCTGGCTTTATACATCTTGTTCCGGGCAAGACACGTCGATCCTCGCCCTCTTCGGTGTCTCCGATTTCTCGTTTCTCCGCCGCTTCTGAAGTCGCTCTCCGGCGAAACCAAACAGGTATGGTTCAACCCGTCGCTCATTTACGACTTGGGTGATGTTCTTTTTCTGGATCTTCGTTCTTCATCCTTAGTTGTTTCGTGGGTGCGTTTTATGGTTCTGTATAGAGTAAAGTTTTGGCGCTTTTGAGGGTACGAGGCGAACTGGATGGTGAATTACTTGTGATCTGTTATCAATCGATCAATTGGGTTTTACTTACCAGAAAAAAACAAGAAGAGATGGATTGATCAATTGGGTTTCAATAGGGAGAGAAGTTTCACTCACCAGTTGTAGGTATGAGTGGCATGGTAAGCACTTGTTGGTTGACGCACGAAGCGTTTGATGAAGTGCTTGAATGACATTGACATTGACACGCTGTGAACTACCAACACTGCTGAGGTTTAAATGAGAGCTTGTACCCGCCATTCGTAATGCTTCTGTGCTGTGTTTGGTTGAATAGTGGCTCATAAAAAAAATTTAAAGTGTCATCATTCGTGGTTCCTGCTTACAAGAGCACTTGTTTAAATATGCATGATTTGAATTTTCTCGGGATATTGTGTTAGCTTGTTAGTCTGCCTAGAGTTGTCTAATATATCTTCATTTAGTTTCCTCCTTCATGCTCTGACTCTGAGTAGATTACTGGAGCAATGGACAACAAGTTTGATGCCGGTAGCTGCAACCGATTATGTGATCTACCTGATGCACTGCTCCAACACATCCTTGGTTTTCTTCCTTTAAAAGATGTTGTGAGAACGAGTGCATTGTCGAGAAGGTGGGAGTACATGTGGGCGTCGGTTCCTAATCTCAACTTCAATGAGTTAGAGTTCCCCGATAGAATGGAATTCTTGGGCTTTGTGGAGAGGGCATTGTTGCTTAGTGATTCATCCCCTCTGAAATCTCTCTCTCTCTTGTGTTTTGTTGATCGAGAGGCATCTCGCATAAATTCTTGGATTACTACTGCCATAAGGCGCAAGGTTCAGAAGCTCCAAGTGTGCCTTTGTTTCCAGACTGAGCCGGATATCAATTACATGTTACCATCACGCACGTTCAGGAGCGAAACATTGACAGAATTCTGTCTAGCAATGCACTGTCATGTCAGACTTCCTTCTTCATTTTCTCTTCCGAAGCTAAAGGTCTTAACTCTAATGGAAGTTACTTTCGAGGATGATGGTTCAATCGAAAAGCTGCTTTCAGTTCCTTCCCTTCAGACTTTGACTCTTCAGAAATGCATCTGGTGGCATCTCAAAGCTCTGTATATTTCTGCTCCGAAGCTTTGGCGTTTGTGCATCATGGAAAAGGTATTTCCTACGGATATCCGAAGCAATTGCCCAGTATTGATTAATGCACCTAATCTCCTGTACTTTCGCTATAGTGGTGGGCTCTTCTCTGAGTATACCATATCTGGCGCTTCCGTGCTACTTAAAGCTCTTGTCGGAGTACATGATCCGGTCGAGGGAATTTCTGACCAGTTTGCCTCTCACACATATAAGCTTTTGAAGGATCTATCTGTTGTAAAACATCTTACTGTGACTTACAACATCCTTGAGGTATACTTGTCGATATCTATCCTATTTCTTGTCTTTTGGTATGAATAGATTGCACTATGACGCTTGATGCTTTGAAATTTTGGATTGGCTTTGGCCGTCTAACGAACCATTCTTTGGATTTGTTATTAGGATTTCAACTTGAGACAGAATTTCCTTGACTCCTTCCCACTCTTCTCTTGCCTTCTATATTTGGAATTCAACTCGGGTCGCGTAAATTTAGATTGTAAAGCACTTGTAGCAATGCTCACCAACTCTTCTTCTTTGATCAGCATTTATTTTGGCGGGGTAACTATTCTGTCAGTATAGTTTCCTCTTACTGCATTCAGCGTTATTGACAAATTCTGTGATCAAGCGCGGAAGTTGATTGATATGTAATTGTGAATTAGGGCTTGCTTGTGGACTCCGGAAAAGATGAAGGGATATTGGACCCAGCGCCTCGGTGTTTCCTGTCGTCGCTCCAGCAGATCACAATTTGCAAATTTGATGCCACTGATAACCAACTCTTAGCCGTGGGTATCATGCTCAGGGCCGCAAAGGTTTTGGATGAGCTGTGCATTAACTGCTCAGAGCATTGCTCGGAGAATTTTTCAGGACACCTTTTGCAACACATTATGGAGCTTCCTAGGAGCTCACGTCAATGTACTATTAGGCTAGTCACCTAGAACTTTTAGTGCATTCGGTTCAGTAGTCGCCTTGTGTACTTACCTAGGACTTCTTGATCGATTGTAATTACTTTAGTTTGCGATGCGCAGTAACCAATCGAAAGTTTAAGCATGCTAATCATTTTGTGCATGTCTCATTTGACAAAACAAGTCAACAAAGCCTCACCTAAAAGCTGGAGAAGCATGATGTAAGTAACCTTGAGGATGTGATTGAAGTTTAGATTCTGCATTAATACAGGTTTGAACGCGTAATTAGTTTTTAAGCTAGTTTATCGGCAATGCATAGCGCGGTTTTGTTTATAGAAGTACATTTTAATATTCAATTGATTTCAACTGTGAAACTCCTAAGACATTAAAGGGATAATGACACAACTGGTTTCTGGACTTATAACATGGATGATGGAAAACAATCGAGACATACCTTGAAGCGATGGAAGTTTACAACGACGGATTCGATTCAACCTACATTTTTCACATCTCATATGGACGATGCGTCCTCTAATTATATATGCATGTTTATCGTACTTTTGATTCTTTTTCTTTTTGTTTTATTTTTACTAAATCTTGTAGTATCGACCTTTTATTTAATCTTAAGATTCGAAACTTTAGCCTATGGATTATTGCACATGTAGAAAATCTTTACACACGTACCGTCGGATGATTGACAAGGGTGTTTGTTTGTACTTAGTTTTCTAACTGAATTCTTTCACGTGTCAACCGGCCCAATGGTGAATGTATATCTTTTTCTCTATACAGGCGATATTTTAATAAACACACTGTGAATATCGATGTATAAATTCACACATAAACTTACATCCACGATCTCTTGCATTTCAAGGTAGTATAGATGTTTCGTCCCAATACATATCGACATTGGCGGTCAGGTCGCCGTACACAGAAAGGTCGAGGGTGCTTGATGCCACACTCGCGTAAGCTCCCCGGAGCTTCAAATCGACGTACGACCTCGTCAAAGCGCGACCACGGGTCGATGTTCGCAGTTTGGTTGAATTCGGGTTCGTGTCCTGAGAACTCAGATTCTGTTGTCGTTCGAGTCGAGGGACACGTGAATTATGAGTTCTGTCCTAGCTAAGCTTTCATGATTTTGTCTTAATAAAATAGTTTTTGCTAGGGTTAATAGTGGCAATCTTGCCTTTATCAAAATTTTACTAATCATAATCCGTACTTATCAAATGACTGTTTTTTTTGTCTTATCACCATGGTTCTTCCTCTATTTACGCAATGTGCATGTCTGAATATTTTGATTTTTTTTTTCTCTCGGGGTTTCTTATGAGCATTGGTTTGTCAAATTCTGGCTCTATTTATTAATAGTGAGAGGAAGATTATTAGGGCATTTTCCTATCTTATGGACATTAGGGTGATTATGCTAAAGAGAAATCAAGGAAAAAAAAAACTGCGGAAATGAAATATGTACAACACGAATTTTCGTGATTCAACAATGTGCCTACTCTATGAGGATAAATCGACAAGATGGCTCTAGTGTAATTGATAAAGAGAATATTACGGTTACTTAAACGCTCAACTTTCAAGTGTTTCACAATCCTAGATAATAACTAAACCAACAAGAAACAATTACAAAAAAGGAGAGTTTTCGGACACTTTTTACTCTCTTGGATGACAACTCTCAAAAGCTCTGACTTCAAAATATGGCTTAAAACATGTCTGGATTGAGTCCACGTCGAGCCCAGACAGGACTATGTGCCGGAAACAACAATTAGGCTCTGGAGATTTGCCGGGTGTCCTACTAGTCTAGGCAGGCCGACCCACGATGACCAAATTGTCAAAAGAATTCGTTTGATTCGATCACGTCTGCTTACTTTCTTCCTTTGTCCTGGTACGTTCAATCCTGGCGTTTAGGAAGTCCCTGGATCATATTCCATTGTACCCTAATCATGGATGTGCTTAAAATTCTCTTCGTCACTCGAAGACCAAAAAAAAAAAAAGGGTTGAATAGAGATTCACTTATGACTCAATGGTAAGGGCAACAAGAGATGGATTCGAGATAAAGCGACACTGGACTATTCAACTCATATACTTCCTCGTCAACATTAACTTTCGGACGGATTCCCGGACACGTCAAAGCGCTATCTAATTCCTCCTTGTTTTAGAGACCCTCTTTTCGTCCGAAGCTATGCAATTTCGGGTTTATAAGGTATAAGGTGCAAGCTAGCGAAGTTCTTTTGGTTCGGCTCTGTTCTACAAAAGTTTCCTTGCTCTTATGTCACACCCCCACCTCCATACTCTTTGTATACTTCATTTTCCTGACCGAGCTCAGCCACTTCTTGATCGGAGAGGGCCATCTTCTCACGCCCTCCGATCGTCCATCTCAATCTTCAAGCCCCCTCTCCAGATATTTCGAGGGTCCCGAAAAACAACAAATTCATGCAATTCCAAATCAATCGAGATTAACTTCGAGCCGTAATCAACAAATAAGAACGTCTAATTACCAGCCCTATGAATTGTTTGAGTTGTCGTTCTTGCAATGTCATTCCCTGCTTAGCGGCTTCGATTGTCTACAGCACTAGATGGAATGATATGGTCAAATTTCTTCAAGAGGGATGCTTTTACACCGGTCTGTACACCAGTTTGCACATCAATATCATCAAATCATTGTCTTTTTCGGTAGAAATCACCCTAGCTATACGATATGTAGAGCGCACTCGTGCAATGGTCTGTTCATAACTTCATACCTTCATCTCGGACGAAAAACGAGCAAGTGATGTTATAGAAAATGGTCACGTCTCAACTAGGGGTGATCGGTTTTTGGTCCGATTTGATTTCAAGGTAAAATCGAGAATCGGACAGGGAGGACCGATTCCCAATTTTGGGAACCGGGGACCGGACTAGACCAAATCAGTCCAATGGAACCAGACCAATCCACTAATTGCATTATTTCTTCAATTTCTTGCACTCACTATTACGTCAAACAGTCGATGCATATACCGAAACTTTTGAACCTTGCTGATTTATTTCCCTTGGAACATTGAAATGAAGAGTTATCAATAAACATGGGATCAGGATTTGGAAATTTCGAATTCATTTTCTTAACGATAAAAAAAAAGTATATATATAGTCGGTCCAGGAACAGAACCGTCCAGACACCGGTTCTACTTTTAAGAATTAGGGACCGGACCAACACTTCCAGAAATCAGACCCGACTAGTTCGGTCCAATCCGGGAGGTTTCCCGTTTGAACGGCCCGTTTTGCACGCCCCTAGTCTCAGCTCATAGAATTTGAAATGCGAACGGCCCTTAGACGCCATTTTTCCAATGTCATGGGGGGAGTCCCGCCATTCTCGTCTGTCTTGCTTTGTCCATCTTTTCCCGGCGACGCGTGCGACTCCTCACTCTCTCTTCTCTGTGCCTCCAAATTCCTCATTTCTCCGCCATTTCTGAAGTCTCTGCGGCGAGACCAAACAGGTATGGTTCAAATCGTCGCTCGTTTATGACTTGGGATCTTCTTTCTTCATCCTTAGTTATTCGTGGGTACGTCTTGCGGTTCTGTATCGCGTGAAGTTCTCTGCTTTTTCTGGGGTACGAGGCTAACTGGATGGTGAATTGGAAGAGAGAGAGAGAGAGAGAGAGAGAGAGAGAGAGAGAGAGAGAGATCAATCAATTGGGTTTCAAGTGGGAGAGAAGTTTCACTCACGAAAAGCTTCAATGACCGGACGTGCACACTCATCCCATGGGGTCAACACATTATGTTCGGTTGCATATTTCACTGTCAAGTGAATTGGCTCATTTCTAGACCCATGTCCCAGTTGTTCTGGCTCTCGTCATACAGGCAGGTCCCATGACACTTGTTAAGGCTTATCATAAAATTGCAAGGTCCTGTGACGATTTTGGCCCGAATTTTTTTTTTGTCTTAATAAAAATACCAATTTTTACTCGAGTCCCAAATCTGGCCCCCGTGATGTGAAATTTTCAAATTATTCTGGTCAAATTTGGGATTTAAGTGAAAGTTTGTGATTTTTTATGAAAAAAAAAAGTTCGGACCAGAATTGTTACTCAAGGTGAATTTGGTGTTTTTTTTTTTGGAATTAGGCCTAAAATTGCAATGTGCCTGCCTGTGGAATTCATTGGACTTAGTTAACCCTTGTCATGTTGTGCGGACGCGCATCAGGTCCATATTATAATGGGATCTTGGAGAAAGTTGATTATCTTACCACTTGGTATTATCATTTTTACATTCAAAGTTTAATTAATGTAATATGAGTGGTCATTATCTTCATTTTAGATTTAACCTGTACTCCGGACAGGCCGTGGATATGATGGATGCGAGCGCGCTGGTTCATAAAGCTAAATGCCAGCACTTGAATGATGCTCTCGACACACGAACAGCTGCAAGCAACTATGTGATCTCCCCGATGCAATTCTTTTACACATCCTGGCTTTTTTACCAACAGAAGATGTCGTGCAAACCAGTGTGCTGTCGAGATGGTGGGAGTATTTGTGGACTTCCATTCCTAGTCTTGTCTTCAGAGAAGAAAACAACCGTGGGAGGATGCTCTTCAGGAACTTCGTGGACAGAGCATTGTTACTTCGTGACTCGTCTTCTATGAAAGCTTTTTCTCTCTCATGCATTGTTGACAGTGAAGAATATTTTGACGGCAATGAATCTCGTGTCAATACTTGGATACTGCTGCAATACACCACAATGTTCAGGACCTGTGCTTGCACCTTGAATTTCGTCATCTTCGTACTGTTTACATGTTACCTTGTTGCATATTTAGCTGTGGAACCTTGATGCGTTATTGCGAATCAGGGTGTTCTTATGGACTCTGAAAGGGATGACGGGATATTGGACCCCATACCTCCGTGTTTTACTTCATCGCTTAAGGAGATCGTGATCCATTGCTTTCACTGGACTGATTGTGAAATCTTAGCTGCAAGGAATTTGGTCAGTGCTGCTCCGGTCTTGGATAAAGTGTTTTTATCCCGGTCAGATGGTCCACCGAAATGGCAAGGGCGCTTGATGCCACACTCAAGTAAGCTCCCCGGAGCTTCAGATCAATGTCCAACCTCGTCAGAGCACGACCACTGGGACTACATCTTAGATGTAGTCGACGTCGGTGGTTTGGTTAAATTTGGGTTTGTGTCCTGAGAACTCGGGTTCTGTTATTGTTCGAGCCGATGGACACATGAATTTCGAGTTCTGTCCTACTAATCAATTATGCATTTGGCTTGGAGGAACGACTTCATCATCCTACTTAACAAGTGAATATTCACAGGACCTGTTGGGCTATGTATTGCTTCTCCCCTATCCCTCTTCGGTGAGCATCGGTGATACTTGTAATACTTTTATTATTTCGTCGTATTTGAAAAGTTTGTCCTAGGTAAGTTTTCATGATTTTGTCTTAATTTAATGGTTTTTACTAGGGTTAATAGTGGCAATTTTGCCATTAATGATTTATCTATGGAACTCCAAATTGCATTCGAGTTCACTAATCACTTCAGCATTATTTTTGCAAAATATGTTTGGCTTGAATGATCTAATCTCGTGATCATATTGGACAATGCATAATCCGTATTTAACAAATTGACTTTTTTTTATGACCATGGTTCTTCTTCTATTTACTCAATGTGCTTATCTGAATATTTTGATTTTTTTTTTTCTCTTGGGGTTTCGTATGAGCATTGGCTTGTCAAATTCTGGCTCTATTTATTTATTGTGAGAGGAAGAGATTATAAGGGCATTTTCCCATCTTATGGGATTACAGTGATTATGCTAAAGAGACTAAAAGTAGTGAATAATATTACGGCTAATGTGGCAAGATGATCAAACGAAATGATCCAAGCGAAGAAAAAACAGAAAGAACGAAACTGTAGAACGAAACGTGAGCACAACGGATTTTGAGTGATTCGACGATGTGCCTACTCCACGGGGAAAAATCGACGGGATGGTTTCCCTGCAATTAATAAAGAGAACATAACGGTTGCTTCAATGCTCAACAGATGACAACCAAACCGACAAGAAACAATCACAAAGAAAAAAGAGTTTTCAGACCGACCGACCCACCATGACCCGCAACTCAGCCACTTCTTGGTCGAGTGCTCGCCTAGCGGTCTTGTCTAGTAGGCGCTACGCGGGACGATCTTCTCACGCCCTCCGATCGTCCATCTCCATCTTCGAGCCGCCTCTGCAAATATTTTAGAGTGTCCCAAAAAACATCAAACTCATCCAATTCCAAATTAACCGAGATTTCGACCCAAAAAAAAAAAAATTAACCGACATTAACTTCGAGCCATATTCAACAAATAAGAACATGCAATTACCGGCCATTTGATTAGGGGTGTGCAAAACGGACCGCCCAAATCGGGAATCGCCCGGACTGGGACCGAATCAGCCCCGGGAGTGTCGGTCCGGTTCCCGATTTTTAAAAGTGGAACCGGTGTCGGTGGTCAGGTTCCCGGTTCCAAGGGAGAACCGAACCAGACCGGACGGACTACACATATTTTTTTTTATTTCTTATTTCTTAATAAAAATTAGTAAAATGTTAACTAAACCCACATACAACACTTTCTATTTATCGCCGCACCACAATGACTCTTCCCTCATCGTTATTTCCATCAATATCTTGAGAATTGTCACTCTCTCTCGTTGTGATGGGAAAAAAACAAAAAAGTAACCGATTCCGTTGGATGAAACTAGAACCGGACCAAAGGCCTAGTCCGGTTGGAACCGGGAACCAGGGACCGGACCGTGAACCGATCACCCTTACATTTGATAACTAAGGCTGCGCATGGCAATCATTATGTGCCCGGGAACATATTCTGCTCAGAAATGATTCTTTTTTATTCTGTGCTCGGAACCAATTTCTAAACATTTGAAGGCGTTTGGTAATTGCCCAAAATTTATATTCTTAGAATAGAAAAAGAAAAGAAATGCGTTTGGTAACTACACAAAATTTCATTTTATTAATAATATTTTTATTAATATTTTGAATTTTTTAATATTTCTTTCTTTTTTTTTCTTTTTTTTTTATTTCTTTCCCTTCCCTTCCTTGGCCAAGGCTGGTCTCTGGCGCCGGCGACCGACCCCAGGCCAGGGCCGGTGAGGGCGTTACGGCCCTCGCCGCCCCCCTCGCAGCCGGCGTCGCCAGTAGCGACAGACCTGGGCGGTGACGGCGAGGTCGGCCTCGCCCAGCCAAGGCGAGGCCGGCCTCGCCGTCGCCACCCAGGTCGGGGCTGGGCGAGGCCTCGCCATCACCGCCTCACCGTCGCGGTTGCGAGCCGCCCTCGCCAGCCACCGGCGAGGGCCGCGATGCCCTCGCCGGCAGCCGGTGGCCTACGTCCAGTCGCCGGTGGCCTACGGCCGGTGGGCGGCAGGTCGAAGAACAACAACAAACCAAAAAAAAGAAGAAAATGAAGAAGAATCAGAAATGGAAAAACTATTCAAGAATCAATAAGCTACTTTTTTTTGCTTCTTGATTATGTTCCAAAACTGATTCTGAGAATAATTTTTTGTAAAATTATGTCCGGGCATAAAAAGTTTAACTAACGGATTTCTGCTCCCAAATTGATTCTGGAAATAAAAGAACGAAAATTTTTACTATTTGGTAAATTGTCAAACAGGCCCTAAAATGTCGATCTTGCGATATCTTCTCCTTGTTAAATGGAATTACATGCACGTATTTCACAGTCCCGCCGTTCTAGCCCGTCTTGCTTCCTACATCTTTTCCCGGCAAGGCACGTCCATCCTCTCTCTCTCTCTCTTCAGTGTCTCCGCTTTCTCACTTCTCCGCCATCTCCGACGTCGCTCTCCGGCGAAACCAAATAGGTACGGTTCAATCCGTCGCTCACTTGTGACTTGGGTGATCCTCTTTTTCGAAATCTTCGTTCTCCGCTCTTGTTTATTTTTGTGGGTACGTTCTGTGGTTCTGTATCGCGTAAAGTTTTCAGCTTTTTCGGGGTAGGAGGCGAACTGGATGGTGAATTGGGAAAAAAGAGATGGATCGATCAATTGGGTTTTCACTCACTAGTTGTAAGGTATGAGTGGCGAGAGATTCATGGTAAGGAATTTGGTGCTTTGGGCACTTACTGTTTGACACGCGAGGCGTTTGATGAAATGCTTGAATGAGATTGACATTGACACGCTGTGGACTACCAATACTGCAGAGCCTGTACCCATCATTCGTTAAGTTTGTGCTGCGTTTAGTTGAAGGGTGGAATCTTGAAAAAAATCTTTTGAGTGTCATCATCCGTGGTTCCTGCTCATGAGGGCCCTCGTCAAGTTCATCAGGCTAATTAGTTCACATTGAAGTCGTTACTTGGATAAAAGGAGCTTTCAATCTGCGTGATTTGAAAGTTTTTGGGATATCGTGTTAGTTTGTTGGTTTGCCTAGAGTTGTCTAACGGAACGTCACTTGATCTTCGTTTAGTTTCCTCCTTCGTGCTTTGACGGTGAGTAATTGCCGGAGCAATGGACAAAAGACCAGCTGTTAAGAAAGCTAGGCGCCATGACTCGAAGAACAATGACAGTAGCTGCAACCGATTGGGTGATCTACCTGATGCACTGCTCCAACACATCCTTGGTTTTCTTCCTTTAAAAGATGTTGTGAGAACAAGTGCATTGTCGAGAAGGTGGGAGTCCTTGTGGGCGTCGGTCCCTAATCTCTACTTCAATGAGTTAGAGTTCCCTGATAGATTGTGTTTCTTGGGCTTTGTGGAGAGAGCATTGTTGCTTCGTGATTCATCCCCTCTGAAATCTTTCTCTCTACTGTGTTTTGTTGATCGAGAGGCATCTCGCATAAATTCTTGGATATGCACTGCCATGAGGTGCAAGGTTCAGAATCTTCGAGTGTGCCTTTGGTTGCCATCTGAGCCAGATATCAATTTTGTGTTTCCTTCATGCACGTTTAGGAGCGAAACCTTGACAGAATTCTATCTAGACATGCACAATTATGCCAGACTTCCTCCTTCCATTTGTCTTCCAAAGCTAAAGATCTTAACTCTCGTGGGAGTTACTTTTGAGGATGATGGGTCAATCGAAAAGCTGTTTTCAGTTCCTTCCCTCCAGAAGTTGACTCTTCTGGATTGCATCTGGTCTCATCTGAAAGCTCTGAATATTTCTGCTCCGAAGCTTGGAAGTTTGTACATTACGGAAAAGGTAGTTTCTACAGATATCATAAACAACTGCCCAGTATTGATCAATGCACCTAATCTCCTGTACTTTTACTATACTGGTGGGTTCTTCTCCAAGTATGCCATATATGGCGCATCCGTGCTAGTTCAGGCTCTTGTGGGAGTGCATGGTCCGGTCGAGGGAATTTCTGACCAATTTGGTTCCCACGGATATAAGCTTTTAAAGGATCTATCTTCTGTAAAACATCTTACTGTGACTTACAACATCCTTGAGGTATACTTGTCGATATCTGTCCTATTTCTTGTCTTTTGGGTCGCAAGCATTGCATTATGCACAAATGCTGTATGACTTTTGGATTGACTTTGGCAGTCTAATTAGTTGTTCTTTGGATTTGTCATCAGGTGTTCAATGTGAGAAAGGATTTCCTTGACTCCTTCCCAGTCTTCTCTTGCCTCCTAGTCTTGGCATTCAACTTGGATCGCGTGAAGTTAGATTCTAAAGCACTTCTTGCAATGCTCAGCAACTCTTCTTGTTTGATCAGCATTAGCTTTGGCGGGGTAACTATTGTGTCGTTATTGTTCTTTCTTACTGCATTTGGTGTTATTTACAAATTCTGTGGTCAAGTGTGGAAGTTGATTGTTATGTAATTGTGAACTAGGGCTTGGTTGTGGACTCCGAAAAAGATGAAGGGATATTGGACCCGGCGCCTCAGTGTTTCATGTCGTCACTCAAGTTCATCACAATTTGCAAATTTGATGCCACTGATGACCAACTCTTAGCCGTGAGTATCATGCTTAGGGCCGCTAAAGTTTTGGATAGGATATGCATAAAGTGCTCAGAGCATTGGTCGGAGAATTTTTCAGGGAACCTTTTGCAACACATTATGGAGCTTCCTAGGAGTTCAGATCAATGTACTATTTCGCTAGTCACCTAGAACTTTTAGTGCATTCGGTTCAGTAGTTGCATTGTTTACTCACCTAGGACTTCTTGAGGGATTGTAGTTATCTATGTTTTGTATTATAATCTGGCAATGTTCTTTTCATAGAGATAAGCGACAGATCATTTTTTACCTTGGCGGTCGCCCCTGCTCCTACCGATGAATGGTGTGGGAGATCAAATGGATTCCTAAACAAGAATGATGCTAGGAACACAATATCATTTACCATCTGAACTTTAGTTTGCGATATGCAATAACCAATTGAACGTTTAAACATGCTAATCAGTTTGTGCGTGTCTCATTTGCCAAAAGAAGTCAAGAAACCCTCACCCAAAAGCTAGGGAACCATGATGCAGCTAACCTTGAGGTTGTGATTGAAGTTTGGATTGTGCATTAATTCGGGTTTGAACGCATATTTAGTTTTTAAACTAGTTTATGGCCCATGCGTTGTGCGGATTTGTTTATAGAGAGGGAAAGCCTCGCTTCCGGATGCAACATAAGCCTGAATAAGGGCATCAGCTTGAATTAATTTCTTCTGTGAAACTCCAAAGACAGCAAATATAGAATGAATTGAAGAAAAGTAGGCAAATTAGTGAAGGTAACTGAGTCACTTCCCGCCCTATCCCAACCTTCACTCCTCTAGAGTTAATCATATGCATGTAAAAGCCAGGGAAATCAGCTGTACCCAAAATCTATGTTATGATGAAGATGTGAACTAAGGTTTGGATCCTGCACTAATTCAAATCTGAATAAACAAGACTAGATTTTTAATTAGAAAACAAGAAAATTTTGTTACAGATAATAACTAATCACCATACTAAGTGTTTTAAGCGATTGGTACTATTGAAGAAACGATGTTAAAAGAGGTAACTTCCCATATTGAAGAGCTCGAAATAATTTCTATACTAGATTTCAAGCACACGCTATGTGCCTGCGCTGTTGCTTTTAAATGTTTCCAGTTTGTAATCATTGTAAAATTAAGTCTTAACAAAGCTCTTCTAGCTCTCTTCCGAAGTGAAGGTGCGAATAGTACTGAGAATGTGTGTGTTTAAGTATAATTATGCCCTTATTATTTGACTTCATATAATTTGGGGAAGCTTAAAAGTGAGACGAAACTCACTTTTGCCTAATATGAATAGATATATCTTCACATATCATACTAGACATACATCTTATATGATTACTAGTTTATATATATAAAGTTCGAGCTGATTATCGTAGATTTTTTTCCCGATGTAAACTCTGCTGATCAGGAAAAACTTAGGGTCCTGGAATATTTACTTCCACCAGGAATTCAATGGCGAAATGGACAGAATTCCCTAGAGATCTTCTAGAATCTCGTCACCCGGCAATTTCTTGTAGGCAATTTCTTGTAGAAGACTCCATAGCCTTTGGGCAGCATGCATGTCGTGGTGGTCGACCGCCACCAAAGCGAAGTACAACGCGAAAACTTAAGCCACTTGGCTCGTAATTCATCGAGGCACTGCCATTCGAGTGCCTCTCCTTGGATAGCTTATGGTTCACTATGCTCAACCTCCTTTCACGTGCTCTCATCGAACTTCCCAGCTTGGATAAGTTCTTCCGCAACAGCTACACCTCCTCTAAAGGATCTATCTGCTGTAAAACATCTTATTTTGACTTACAACAGTGTACTTGTCGATTTCTGTCCTATTTCTTGTGTTTTGGGTCGGAAGGATTGCATTATGCTCGAATGCTTTTGGAATTTTGGATTGGCTTTGGCAGTCTAATTAGCTGATCATTGGATTTGTTATCAAGAGTTCAACGTGAGAAACATGTCATTCAACTTAAATCGCGTGAAGATAGATTCTAAAGCACTTATTGCAATGCTCTGCAATTCTTCTTGTTTGATCAGCATTAGATTTGGCGGATAACTCTTCTATGGTCAAGTGCGGAAGTTGTGTGTATTTGTGAACTAGGGCTTGGTTGTGGACTCCGAAAAAGATGAAGGGATGTTGGACCTCAGTGTTTCGTGTCGTCACTCAAGCTCATCACGATTTGCAAGATGCCACTGACTCTTTGATTATTGGTTTTTTTAGGGCATTTATTATTTTTTATTTTCTATTACCAAAAATGCATATTTGAATTATTGGCAAAAATTTAGATGTCAACCGCAAGTGAGACTGAGATAGAGGCTGACAGATAGAGAGGACTCATCTTTGGTCCCGACAGCGGCGCGACCGGAGGTGATGACAGGGGAGGCAGCAACAGCGAGCACGAGGTGGCTTCAAAGAAACAAGGGATACGATTTTTTGGAGGAGCGCAAGGACGGAGACAGGCGAGGCAAGGCGCGGCGGCCGGCCGGCAAGGCAAGACGGTGAACTGGTCGATGAAGGGGTGACTAAACTGAAATACTGAGGATAGAGAATTGAGGATAACACGAGACAAAGAGCTCTAGGTTTTTGAGTTTTGTTAATAGATTATATTTATGAAATTAATTTTAATGAAATTTCTTATCAAAAAGATGATAAGATTTCTAATAATTCTTTTCTTCTTGTTAAAACCTATTTTTTTTAACTTATTAAGTACATAAATTTAGATTTGATCATCAAAGATGAAGTTGAAGCGCAAAACATTGAGGATGACTCATTGAAGGATACAAGTCAAATCCAAATCAAGTCACGGTGTCACGAGAAACACGATTGAAAAGGTCAAGAGTGAGAGATACTCTTGGATGGATTAAAGGCCCTGTTTGGTTCAACTTTCCCAAGGCCCTAAAGCCCCTTGAGGAAAATATGAGGTGTTTGGCAAGTATTTTTGGGACTTCATTGGCCAAATTCTAGCATTAGAAATGCTGACAGAATTCTCGAAATGCTATCGTTGGTTCGTTGTTGAGGGTTTCTTCCTTAAGCTCGCTGGTTCGTTGTTGAGGTCCAGGTCGCCCATCATCGAGGTTGAGGGCTGCACATGCCGTCAAGCCGCTGTCTTCGCCGGAGCAGCTGTCTTTGCCTAAGCTGCTATGGATCGAGGTCAGGATCGAGGCTCAAGCGACCCAGATCTAGCTATGCGACCATCGCCTGGGTTGCGGACGGTTGAAGAGCCCGAATGGTTTGCGAGATGGTCGCCGGTGAAGCTCCATTGCAAATCCAGGATCAGAAAACCCTAGAATCAACATTGCAAATCGCCGGTGAAGCCTCTTCACCTTGCCGAGGTCACTCGTGACCGCAGGTCACCTCGTATGGGTTCACGCGACGACCAACGGTCACCTCTGGTCCTCGTCGATGCTCATCGGTGAAGCTCGCTCAGTGCCTGCTTCTGCCAATACTCGTCCAGATTTGTTTTTCTTTTTTTTCTTTTTCTTTTTTTTTTGTCTTCACTTCAAAGTTGTTTTACAAAATATGCACCAAAATGAGTTATCTAAACACTATTACTTTCACCAAATGCCCCTTCATTCAAAGATACTTGGGGAAATGCAAAGCCATTTCCTCAAAGTTAAACCAAACAGGGGCTAAATAACTAGCCATGATTATTTTGTAACTACTCAATACTTTTATAAAAGGTCGCTGTCATCCTTATTATAGTTTATATTAATGTAATAAGGTTTGGTTCAACATTCAAACCCGGTCTTACTCACCCTTAGCAATATCAAACAAGTATATATAGAGCTCGTTACATCAGCTCCAATATATCTCTACTCAAAAAAGCACTTTCAACTTTTAACTTTGGTCCATATGAAAATTATCAATCTATCTATATATAATAAAAAGACCGGATAGAATGGCATTCCATGATTGTATCAAATGTCAAAATCTTATCAATCCCCAATTTTACCTAAACGGACATGATTGATCCACATGACATGTGAGGGCCACAAGAAGGGAACAAAGTTCTTTTCTCGAGCTCTTTCCTTTACCCATATGGCTGCACTTGTGCTATTACACATGACCTTTTCAAGACGTGGTGTGTTTTTTTTTTTTAAGTCTTTTGATGTGAAGCCAAGCTAGTTATATACCCATTTAAGCCAAGCCAAAAAGTAACATTTTTTGGGCAATCAAAAGGGTAAAAAAAGCCAGGCTAATAACTTTTTTTTAAGGTAAGGTTCTTGTAAAAGAGCGATGTGTTGAGTTGATTTAATGTAACGAACTTGATGCTAAAGCCACATGTTCTGGAGGTCTCCAAGGCAACGAGAATGCAAAGGATGAATACCCTTTATTAGAGTTAAGTGAGATGTTGGCATTTGTTTTGTTTTTTGAGTTTTTGGTGGTTGTCTTTGTATGAACTCAGAATGGAAATGATGCTCAGTTTAAATAAATGCAGCAGCTATTGTATACATTTGGCACAGATTCTCATATCTCTCTATTTAATACACTTTTTAGAAGTAGAAACACCACCAAGTTAGTGATCAACATTTACTGTGATCTCCCTTTTCAAAATCAACTTAAATCAAGCAAAAAGCACTTAGGATGCCCAATAATGACTGGATGGTTGCGTCAGCGATTTCCAGCGAAAATTGACGAGGACTACATTAGAATTTTGTGCGAAACATTTATAACTAAATTAGATAAGTCGAAAAGTTTATGACCGGACAAGTTAGGAGAAAAGAAGGGGTTCCTTTCGCATTCCCTCCTCCCCTGTGTCTTCGACATCAATGTCGCGATAATGGGTTTCTCAGGAGTACTTCGAACGTGGGGAGGCTCTCTCCATCGTCTCCGCTCCAAATGTGCAGCTAAAGCGTCGAGCCGAGATGCCCACGGTCGGGGCATTTGGCTTCGCTCAGCCAAGTTTGCTGCCTCGCGATGAAGTTTGGGCACCACGACGGCGATGCATGTGTGGTGATTTCTCTGATAAGCTGTATCCACTCGTATTGGCATGGAGCTGTGAGTGTTGCTCGCCGTCTGTTTGATAAAAGTTCAATCCCGGAATGTAGTTTGCTGGACAAGCCTGTCGGTATCATCATAGTCGAACTGACAAGATTAATAGTTAGATATGTCTTGTGACCTGGCCATCCGATTATTAATTGATACTAATAGCTAAAATTGGAACATGAGCTGAAAGATAGAAGGGAGCCGGTCTCCCCGGAGACATCCGATAAAATTGAAAAGATACAGAGATGATTAGCACAGGCCCTTGCGCAAGGATGATGGGCGCAAATTGAGAAACGGTTTCATTTTTTTCTTTACCGATTTGGCTATGACTTACGAGTACAATTGCTCGTGTTGAAAGATAAGGAGGATTTACGATCTCATTGACACTTCATGAGATGCACCTTTTTGTTTATAGCTCTTAGCTGTGATTCCATAAAAATAGTTAATCGAAGCTTGAAAGCTCCTTTAAGGCTTCTCCCACCGGAGACATCGTTATCAAATATCTATCCCGAGAAAAACCGATTCTTGAATCCCTTTCATGCTCACGTCACGTCGAGGTACTGCAAATTACAATCCAATTTATCGTAATCAATTAGTTAACATGTTGGTTAACCGTATTCTAAAATACGAAAAGAAAATCATTGACTTATCAAATTATCTATCGAGTCACGAAAAAAATTCGAACAGAAGACATTTTTGTATGAAATGGAAAGACGAACCGATGCGGGGTAAGGGCGGATGAAGCCAAGTGTGCATCTTCTCTCCACATCATTGTGTGAAGTCAAATGTATTATTCCAAAACAAATATTATATGTCGACGGAGTTTCCGAAGCACTTATCCGAAGCAGACCTTCTTGATGCAATGCAATTGAAGTCATCTCCTATTCAAGAATTCATGCTGCTTTCTTGGGAAAAAAAAAAGTTAATATCACGAAAAACCTTTGACAAATTTACTCCTAATTAATTTTTTTACTACAAAAAACCCCAAACTGATATACCTGTGACAAATTTATCCTCCATTAGTTTCCGTTAAATTTTACGATCAAATTACTGAGTTGAATGGCACGTGGCAGTTAATGGGTGTATCAGTTTGGGGTTTTACTCTTTGTTTGTCACAGGTGTACTAGTTTGTAATTTTTCATGGTATTAATCCAATTTAATGGAAACTAACGGAGAGTAAATTTGTAACAAATGTACCAGTTTTGGGTTTTTTGTGATCAAAAAATTAGTTTTGAATAAATTTGTCCGGTTTAGGATCTTCTATGGTATTAACCAAAAAAAAAAGAGAAAAATAAAATAAAATAAAAAATTATTAAAAAATTAAAAAAGACTTGCACAAATTATACACGTCAACTCTGCACATGCCACATACAACGGCCAACGGCCATGTTATCGATTTCCGGTCAAAATTAACAGGAAGAACTAATTAGCGAATCGTCAAAAGATTTAAAATTAAATTTGTCAAATTGGAAAGTTTAGTATTGAATTTGTTGTCATACAATAAGTTTAAGTATTTGCTACTATGTAACAATTGGCTTAAAAGTTAATTCGGTATAGAGATTTAAATTTTTTTTCATTGATCCCATATCTTTAGTTATGTATTTAATATTATTTGAATATTTTCAATATTAGCATTGTAGGGATGAGACCTTAATTTGAATTTACCTACTTTTTGATGTCATGCGTATTTTAGTTGTATTGATAATAATTAGGGCTAATACTACAAAAAATTCCAAATTAGTACATTCATGTCACATTTACTACAAACTAATTTTCATGTCACAAAAAATCCTAAAATAATATATCCGTGCCACATTTACTCCAAAATTTGAGATTTTTCAGTGACACAGTAATCAATTTTGGGTAAATGCGGCACAAATGCACTAGTTTGAGAACTTTTTCAACACAAAATGTAGTTTGGGTAAATGTAATACAAATTTACCAGTTTGGAATTTTTTATAGTTTGACACTAATAACTATCCCTGTATGATTTTCTTGTGATGGTCAACTTTCAAGTTTAAATCAATATTGTTTTACATACTAAGATTCATGATGCTCTCGTATCATGAATATACTATTAAAGATATAATATTCTATGTGTACATTATTACTACCCTTAAGTCGATTTAAAATTAAGAGTTTAATGTATTTAGATTAGGGTTAATACCACGAAAATCTCAAACTGGTACACCTATAATAAATTTACCACAAACTAATTTTTTATCACAAAAAACCTCAAACTGGTATATTTGTAACAATTTACCCTCCGTTAGTTTCCGTTAAATTTTATCGTCAAATTTCTGAGTTAGATGACACGTGGCAGTTGACGGGTATATCAGATTGGGGTTTTACTCTCCGTTTGTCACAAGTGTACCAGTCTGTGGCTTTTCATAGCATTAATTCAATTTAACGGAGGGTAAATTTGTTGCAAATTTACCAGTTTGGGGTTTTTAGTGGACAAAAAATTAGTTTAAGGTAAATTTATCACACGTATACCAGTTTGGGACTTTTCGTGATCAAAAAATTAATTTTTTGTAAATTTATCACAGATATACCCGTTTGGGATTTTTCGTGATATTAACCCCTTAGAATATTTAACTTCAACATGTAATGGAATAGCAAAAAAGCACCTATTTCTACATATTTTTTTTAAAAAAAAAAGGAATATCATCACAATTAAATTAGATTAAATTATCCAAACTATAAAAAATATTATTTAAGTAAAAGAAATAAAGAGAAAGATCATGAAGACCTCTTTCCTAGGTATTATTTGTAGGGATGAGCGGTTTCCGGTCCGGTCCGGTCCAACCCAAGAACCGGGAACAGGACCGATTCCCAATTTCTAGGATCAGGGACCGGACTGGCTAGTCTTGGGACCGTGAACCGAACCGGACCACGGACCGATGGTCCGTTTTTTCCTTTATAGTTTTGATTTGATCCCACAAGGACATGGAAAAAAATTGGAAAATATATATAATATATGAAAAAATTGAATAATCGGTTTCAATGGGATCAATATTAAATATTTTTCATACATATATATTATATATTATATATATGAAAAAATTAGAAAAATATATATTTATCGGTCCGGTCCGATTGCCACCCTAGAACGGGGAACTGGACCGCCCGAAAACCGATTCTACTTTTAAGAACCTGGAACTGGACCGATATTCCCGAGAACCGGACCAAACTGGTCGGTCCGATGCAATCTGGTCCCGATTTGGGCGGTACATTTTGCTCACCCCTAATTATTTGAGAGTACAATTTAATCAATGGTGGCCAACTTGAGAAGTACAAATCTTTCACTAAGGACTTACTTAGTCGGGATAAACTAAAAATTTTATTAGTCAAGAGGAAAATAAATGTATTTATCAAATGGGTATTAACGGCGTAAGATATAAATAGTACTGAAATTTATCAATTTCGTGCATTTGAGCCGTTCCGTCAACTCTCTTGACTTCTTGTAACCCCACATCCCCGGTTTTGTTTCTGTTTTTTTTTTTTTAATTTGAGATTACTTTCAGATTTTTAGTGTTATTTATATACATTTTTTTTCTAAATTTCTAGTGTTGCATTGAAACGATGTCGTCTTTTTTTGTTTAGATGATCTAGGGGCACAGGCGTGAAGACTCGGTTATCTGAAGGCCCATCAAACACCATATAAGCCCTAACAGCCGGTTAAGTTTAGGTATTTTGGCCTTTTGCACATGGTCCTAACTCAGAACAATTTGTATGTAGTCGGTAAGATTCATGGAAGTGACCTCCAATTCGAATGTTGAAGAGCTCGGGAGTTAAATGATGTCGTTCTTTAATTGAAAAGCCATGTAATATAAAAAATAATTAATAAAATCACATAGCATTTTCCGTCCACCGAAAAAACCGGCGGAGTTGACGGAATGATTTGAATTGCGATCGGTTTTCGGTCCAATTCCAAGGTGAAACTGAGAACCGGAGTAGGAGGATCGGTTCCCAAAATTAGGAACCGGGGACCAGACCGGTTGGTCCTAGACTGAGAACCGAACTGGACCACCGTCCAATCTGGTTCCAGTTCGATCCAATGGAACTGGTCACTTTTTTTTTCCACTACTTAATTCCATCTTTTCGTGTTGAATTAAGTGTTATGTATGCAAAGATACTCAAATTGAAAAGATGAATAAAAAAACGTGCTTCACTTAGGATTTAGTTTACATTTTACTAATTTCTTTGAAGAAATAAAAAAAAAAAAAGGTATATGTAGTCGGTCCGATCCGGTTCCCTTTGGAACTAGGAACCAAACTACCCGGACACCGGTTCCACCTTTAGGAATTGGGAATCGGACCAGCACTCTCGGGAACCGGACAAAATCGGACCAAACCGGCCAATTCGGTTCGGTCCGGGCGATTCCTGATTTGGGTGGTCCGTTTTGCACACTTCTAACTTGAATGCACAAAATTGAGAAGGTAGACGGGGCCAAAGGGGGGTCGAACGGCACCCAGAACTCAGACCTTCCTTTCCATTCCAGCACACCTAATCAATTCATATGAACGCCCAGGACGATCGAACCGCATTCAGAAAGGCGAAACCGATCCCACCTCTCTCCAAATCTAACGTGGTCACTCCAAAACTTAAATGCAAGAAACAGCGATTTCGAATATCAAACCGCACGAAGCCGACAGTTTTCAATACATCCGCACTGTAAAAAACAAATTTCCCTTAACCGAACCTATCGGTCCAGTCCGATCCCGTCGATTTTTCCAAAGTTATAAATCGAAACCAAAAACTAAAATCAAATCAAATTAAAAAAAATTCGAAAAATCCATCTCAATTTCGATTGGAAATATTTTTTTCGAAATCAAATTAAAAAAATAAAAAATGAATGTGGGAAAAAGAAAGGGAAAATACCATAAAAAACTCAAAACTATGTCACTTGTGACAAATTTACCCTGAACTTTTTTTTGACACGAAAAACCCCAAACTATGCCACCTGTGACACATTTTTACCCCACAATACTTTTGGCCCAAGGGCATTTTCGTCTTTTTCCTTTTTTATTTTTGTTTTTATTTTATTTTTTTCTTCGCTCTTCCCTCCGCCGGCCAGGGCTAAAGTATCATGGGGTAAATATTTCACAAATGGTGTAGTTTGGAATTTTTCGTATCATAAAAAAATTTTGGATAAATTTGTCATAAACGACGTAGTTTAGAGTTTTTGCTGGTGTTTTTCCAAAGAGAAATAAATAATCTTTCAGTTTCAGTTCGCTTCCTCCACGTCTTTCCTGCTCATTTTTTTGTCCGTACCGCTTCAGTTTCCCATCAAGCCGACGCGTTTCTCTCCTCCCTTTCGCGCCATTGCATCTCCTCCGCAATCGTCGTCGCCTTCCTCCTCTCTCCTCTTCGCCGGAACCCTAATCCCCCCTCGCTCGCATTTCGCTCCCGCCGTCTCCGATCGGCCGCCCCGTCCCTGCCGGAACCCTCCGATCCGGCGCCGCCAATGCCGCTTCGAACGAGAGGTCGGTGAAGCGCCCGCCCGTCCGCCGGGGCAGGCGGATCCGATCCGGGGAATGTCTTGGGTGGGATGGAACCGGGCGTCGGAGAGCTTCCACCTCGCCCTCGCGTACGGCGCCGAGGATCCGAGCCCCGCCGCCGAGGATCCGACGCGGGCGTCGGTCTCGTCGGCGTCGTCGTCGGGATCGGCGTCGGGGTCGGGGTCGGGGTCGGGGTCGGGGTCGTCGCTGAGCTCGATGGGGCCGCGGGATCAGGAGGCGGGGTCCGGGAGGATCGAGCTCGACTGGACGGCGGGGGATGACGAGGATCAGGTGGCGCTGAGGTTGCAGTCGCAGCTGATGGTCGCGATGCCGGCGCCGCAGGATACGGTGACCGTGGAATTGAGATGCCGAGGGGAGGATGAGAATGTGGGTGTCGACATGAGGGTGGTTAAGAGGAGGGAGCCGCTGAAGGCCGTGAAGATGAGTAAGACTAGTGGGTCTGGGCAGCAGAGCGATGGGATCGGAGTTTTGACTCGGCTGTTGCGGTGGAATTTCGCGAATTCGGTGGCTGCCGGCGTCGGCGAGGGTAGTCTGGTGTGCGGAGAGCATTGGAGGACCGTGACCGTGATCAGCCTCTTTGGTTGTGGTTTGTCGGTGAGTGGCTTATGCATGGTTTTCTTAAGATCTCTGATGATGTTCGTGGCTTAGAGTTTATGATTTGGACGGCATTAGGTAGGGTATGGGATGCTATATGATTCAGATAAAATCCAGGTGGCTTAAGTTGGAAGATGGTTCTGAGATTTGAATTTAAGTTATTTGATGGTGGAATGCCATCAGAGTTCAATCTGGGGATTTTTGTGCTCAGTTTAGCTTGTAGAAGACAAATCACAGCTGGTTAGCTTCTCAGAGAGCCTAAGTTTTGGGGCAAAAAGGAAAGAAACAAAATGTAGGACTTGTAGTATCTACGATTTACTGTTTCGTATCACTAATTGTGAGCATCAGTTCAACTGTAATATATAAAAAGAAAATTGACCATCTTTCAAATTTACCACATTTTCAATTAGTCTTCTTCCAAATTTACCACATTTTCAATAAGTCTTCTTCCAAAGGGCATTTTCTTTTTATTTCCTTTTGGAGGCATATCATTTTCTTTCTCAATTGGGGTGTTAATGTAATATTTTTGGCCCTAATTAAGTACTACTTGATGCATTGATAGGCTTTGCCAGTGGAGATAACTAGATTGCCGCTTGTTGAGAAGCTATACCTTGATAACAACAAGCTATCAGTTTTGCCACCTGAACTTGGTGAGCTGAAAAATTTGAGAGTTCTTGGGGCTGACAACAATATACTGATTTCTGTACCTGGTGAGCACAGAGGATTTTTCTCGTACATGTTCTGAATGGTAAAATTCATTACAAAGAACATAACGTAATCTTCTGGCTCATCAGTATTCATTTTGGTTGTTCACTGTAAGCAGTTGAATTGCGACAATGCGTGGAACTCGTGGAGTTGTCGTTAGAGCACAACAAGCTTGTTCGGCCTCTTCTTGATTTCAGGTCAATTTATTTGCAAATTCATGCGTCCGCTTACTTCATGCTTTTGTTTCCGTCTCTCGATTTGAGAAAAACTAGTATTTCTTTGTGTGCGACATTGCAACTTCAATTTATCTAATATGGCCTTTCAGTTTAAGTGCAGGGCTATGGCTGAACTACGAGTTCTTAGACTATTTGGGAATCCTCTTGAGTTCCTTCCTGAAATTCTACCGCTAAACAATCTTCGCCATTTGTCTCTGGCAAATATTAGGATCGTGGCAGATGAAAACCTAAGATCAGTGAATGTGCAAATAGAGGTAACACCTATGCTGGAAAAGGGAGTAAATTATTAACTTTTTTGCAGTATTTTCGGAGGAATGATTGGTAATTAGAGTACTTCTTCTGTGTGATTGCAGATGGAAAACAGTTCTTACTTCGGCGCATCTAGGCACAAGTTAAGTGCATTTTTCTCTCTTATATTCCGCTTTTCTTCATGTCATCATCCTTTGCTAGCATCTGCACTAGCAAAGATAATGCAAGACCAAGGGAATCGGACCTTTGTTGGTAAAGATGAGAATGCAGTGAGGCAGCTAATAAGTATGATAAGCAGTGACAACCGACATGTGGTATGTTTTTATTTTCTGGAGTTACCCTAACTTGGTTGGCCGTTGATCATTTCTGAAAACTTCTTACTTTGAGCAGGTGGAGCAAGCATGTTGTGCTCTTTCATCTCTTGCTGGAGATGTCTCTGTGGCCATGAAGTTGATGAAATGTGATATTATGCAGCATATTGAAACAGCATTAAGATTCATCACGGAAGAGGAAGTGATATCTGTTTTGCAAGTGGTTGTCAGTTTGGCTTTTGCCTCTGATGTTGTAGCTCAGAAGATGTTGACCAAGGATGTTCTGAAATCGCTAAAATCACTATGTGCTCGTAGAAATCCAGAGGCAAGTTCTCTTATTTGTGCTACTAGATTTTGTGTTTCTTAATTTTCTATAGTTGCTGAATATCTTAGTGGTTGACTGCTATCTTTGATTAGGTGCAAAGGCTAGCTCTGTTGGCAGTTGGAAATTTGGGCTTCTGTTTGGATAACCGCAAAATTCTTGTTACTTCTGAAAGCTTGAGAGAGCTTCTCTTGCGGTTAACCGTTGCCCCTGAACCACGTGTGAATAAAGCTGCTGCCCGGGCTTTGGCAATTCTTGGTGTGTTTCTGTTTCCCAGTTTTTATCTTCCAACCCCTCCTTTGATGAGATAAATGAAGGAACTAACAAACGTACTGAAATTATAGGGGAGAATGAAAATCTACGACGTGCAATAAGAGGGAGACAAGTCCCAAAGCAAGGATTGCGTATACTTGCAATGGATGGTGGAGGAATGAAAGGCCTTGCTACTGTTCAGATGCTTAAAGAGATTGAAAAGGGTACTGGAAAGAGGATACATGAGTTGTTTGATCTTATATGTGGCACATCAACTGGCGGCATGCTAGCAATTGCCCTGAGTATCAAGCAAATGACCCTGGATGAGTGCGAAGAAATATACAAAAATCTTGGTGAGGGTGATGCGATATAGAACAGAACTTGCATGGGAGTGCCTTTTGTCGTTTGCTTACATTAATTTCATTTGAATTTGTATTGGTCGGTTGTCCAGGAAAACTTGTATTTGCTGAACCTGGGCCAAAGGACAATGAAGCTGCAAGTTGGAGAGAAAAGTTGGATCAGCTTTACAAAAGTTCCTCCCAGAGTTTTAGGGTGGTTGTGCATGGATCTAAAGTAAGAGGATTATATTCTACTCTATATTGTTTTCTTTGACTCCTTTGCATATGCACTGTAAAGCAATATCATTTCTTAAGTGGATAGAAATAAACTTGAGCATCAAACCTTATCGGTATTAGAGATGGAGTCCTTTACGTTCCACAATTTTCTTTCACTGCCGGTGTTTCGGCCACAATTGCAGTGAATTGTGGATTTCTAAGTTAATTACTAAATGTTGTCATTCCGGTGGTTAATTTCCTGTAAGGTATCTTTCCCTTAAGTAGTGAAATTTGGAGAAATTAGCAATGTGAATGGATTTTTTCTTTTTCTTCAGTTTTTTCCTCATGCCTTAGATTATTGTTGTCTAGGCTTGTAGAAAAGCCACTCTAATATGTGATCTGGCAGCATAGTGCAGATCAGTTTGAGAGTTTGTTGAAAGAAATGTGTGCTGATGAAGATGGAGACCTATTAATAGAGTCTGCAGTTAAGAACATTCCCAAAGTCTTTGTCGTTTCAACTTTGGTTAGCATGATGCCAGCTCAGCCTTTCTTATTCCGCAATTATCAGGTTTGAGTACTCCGAACATCTTTGCACATTATTTTCTAGCCAAGAGTCATCTGCAATGGTTTTGACACAAAATTTTGAAGGATGTCATGCTTGTCGTAGCATATTACTGACTTAATTCCTTTTTGCCAAATTGCAGTACCCTGTCGGAACACCAGAAGTATCTCTTGCAATTTCCGAAAGTTCTGGCGTCGGTACATTAGGATCACCTACTACTGGGGCACAAGTTGGCTATAAACGCAGTGCTTTTATTGGAAGTTGTAAGCATCGAGTCTGGCAAGCCATAAGGGCCTCATCGGCCGCTCCATATTATCTTGATGATTACTCGGATGGTACTGCCCTCCTTTTTAGTTCTTCCTCTGGTTTTTTCTTCCTATGCTTCTTCTGTCTTCTGTCTACAGTTTTGCTGCTTATCCATCTAATTTTGTTGAGTATTCAAAATACTGCCCCAGATGTGCATCGTTGGCAAGATGGCGCGATAGTGGCTAACAATCCTACAGTTTTTGCCATAAGAGAAGCACAGCTTCTTTGGCCAGACACAAGAATCGATTGTTTAGTTTCCATTGGATGTGGCTCTGTTCCTGCAAAGGTATTCTTTTGTTGCCTGCTTGAAGAAGAAATGTAGAATGACTTATTTTCCCTCGACAAGGTCTCATGCCACTTTTGCTGTTTCCTCATAACATCGCACTATTTTAGATCTGATAAGATCATCATGGAAAAGTTACATTGCCCCATGGTAAAAAATGTGGGAGAGAGAGAGAGAGATTGCATTGAAACAGAGCGAAATGGAATTTCTTCGTGAACTAATGACAGCATTCTTCTATGACTTTGGTGGATGGAAGATAAATCATTCATGACCATTCTTACACCTTTATATGAAGCTTTCAGCTTTCTTCCGTCCTTAATTCCTGAAAGCCTAATGATACATGATTATCTCTTCTACATTTCCCTTCAGTCACAATGATTTAAAGATTCTTTTGCCATGCTTGCTTAATTTCCTTTTTACCCTTCATCCTGGTGAATGGCATGCTTGTTTTGCTTAAACACAACAAGCTGCTTTTCTAAGAAGGCAGCTGTGCTGTGACAGCAAAGAGAGTGCCGAGGGAGAAAATGCTCATCGCATTCCCTGTGCACTATGAATTCAAGCTTTCCTCTACATCGTCACAACATTTGATGTTCAGGATGGGTAAAAGTTTCGTCGTGGAAATATTCAGCCTTCGATACCTTCCATATACGCCTTTTTGAAACTTCTCTGTTTGGAATTTTGGGACCTAATCTGCAGTCTTTTTCTACCTATCACATGTAACTATTGCTGCACATGAATGTGGGTCGCACCGGGAGAATCTGAGCCCTGCAGTCATTGCAAACTGTATCTGATGTGTTATAAATTTCTGTCCTTAAGTTGAATGTGCTTGAGTTTATACTGCATTTTTTATTGAACTTACATAGAAATGCAAGAGAGCTTCACTATGCTCGATAGATTATGTACCAGTAGAAAATTCATAGAGAAATTCGGCACAGATGATGACAATTTATATCAAAGTAATGGCCCCTGGTTTTGAGACCACATATATGCCCAGTCTAAGGCATATTCTGAAGGATGTCGTCGCTATAACGTACTGTTAATTTGAGCACAGTAGAATCATATTTCTACTGTTTCACATAGGGAGAAATTTTTGGTTGTTTAGCAATATCCACCTTGTGGCTTTTAAGAACTTCTATTTAAGAGAAGCTTCACTAGGTATCTTGTAGAGCTATAACAGATGCAATAATCATGGATTCTTGTTTATTCAGGATTCAGACTCCTTTCGGTTAAACTTTGGGTTGGTCTTTATACCATCTTTTGTAAAAATTGTATGTGCTAAGTATAACGTTTTCCATTGTTATATAGGGATGTGCAATATCTTGTGCTTTTGAAGAGCCTTAGTAATTTTAGAACGTAATTTATGTATCAGAAGGACTCCAAAAGTCATTTTTCTACCTGCTAGTAACTTGAAATCCTCAATTGGTTTAGGTGAGGAAGGGTGGTTGGCGTTATCTTGATACTGGACAAGTTTTAATAGAGAGTGCATGTTCAGTGGATCGCGTGGAGGAAGCTCTGAGCACGTTGCTTCCCATGCTCCCTGAGATGCAGTATTTCCGGTTCAATCCAGGTAAACGTTTTATACGTGATTTTTTAGATGAATGGGTCTCCAAGACTTGCAGTTTTTCTCTTATTAGGAAACTGATATGATATGCTTTACTTTTCTGTTAAATATTTGGTTCACATATTGTATAAATCAGTAGCATCGTCTCGATTATAATGGGACGTTTGGTACTAAAGAGTTTTTCCAGTTGTCATTCTACAGAAAAATTTTGGAAATCTTTTTTTTTTTTCCTGTACCTTTTCGGTTTGCAAATTGTTTTTACCTTTTTATATATCACTTTTCATAATATCAACTCACATATTAATTAGAAATCAAAAAACGTGAAAAGAAAATGAATTTACAATATTTCATTTGTTTGCCTGGTGTCAGTTTAGAGAGAGGAACCTGTTATTATTCTTCATTAGAAAATCTTTTCGTGTTATAAAAAAGTTCGAAAACAATGGAGCATAACTTAATTGTTTTCTTCAGCTTTTGGTTTTCAGCTTACAATTAGCTTCATTGAACTTCACTAGAGATTCCCATTGAAGCTTCAGCAAAGCTTCCTTACTTTGAATAATTTTGACATAAGGAAAACAGAGAGAACAGCTTCTATGTTGATGGAAATTTAATCTAACCAAACCTGTCACAATTTTCATTTCTATACAATATCTTTCATTGAAGTGTATCAAGTAAAATTTCAAAAATACAGAAGGACCTCTGTTTTCATTCTTGTTTTGAGTGAAATCAAAAGGCACAACTAGTTTCTAAAACTGAACACTGCTCAAGTCTCGTTTGCAAGTTCTCAGTTAGTGAACTGTGTTTCTGGCCGCACAGTTGACGAGCGTTATGGTATGGAGCTGGATGAAACTGACCCTGCTGTATGGCTTAAGTTGGAGGCTGCAACCAACGAATACATCCAAAACAATTCGCAAGCTTTCAAAAATGCTTGTGAAAGATTGATCATGCCTTTCCAACTCGATGAGAAGTGGTCAGATAATTTAAAGCCTCAACATATCTCAAAAACAAAGGCATCTGATTCAGGCAAGTATTTACTGCAGATCTTCATATATTGCCATTACCTGTCCTCTTACTCTTCTTTCCTCATCTGCATTGTCTATGCAGCAACAGAAGTGCATGGCCCTTCTTTGGGTTGGAGACGCAATGTCCTTCTCATTGAAGCTTTGCATAGCCCAGATTCAGGAAGAACTGTTCATCACGTGCATGCGCTTGAGTCGTTTTGTGCCCGCAGCAGTATAAGGTTATCTTTTTTTGACAATTTATCGGGAAGTTCCAGGGCAGTACCTTCAACCGCATTGCCCACCCCCTTTACATCGCCTCTATTCACTGGAAGCTTTCCCTCAAGCCCTCTACTTTATAGTCCTGATATTGGTCATCAGAGGATTGGCAGAATTGACTTAGTCCCTCCTTTAAGCCTGGATGGATCCCACTTAGGAAAGATAACTGCCTCACCGCCGAAGTCTCCTTCAAGACCCAGAGAACTGTCTCTACTCGCTCGCTCATTACATGGGAAGTTGCAGAATTCACCGCAAGTGGGAATCGTACATTTGGCTCTCCAAAGCGATTCCAATGGTTTAATTTTAAGGTCAACATTATGTCCTACTTTACTGCATTCTTGTTTTTCATAGATATTATATAAGTTTTGACACGCTGAAAGTATGTTTCTCTAGTTGGCAAAATGATGTCTTTGTGGTGGCTGAACCTGGGGAACTGGCGGATAAGTTTCTACAGAGTGTCAAAATGAGTTTGTTGTCGACAATGCGGGGTCTTCACAGGAAAGGAATATCACTGCTTGCCAACATTTCGACAGTGGCTGACTTGGTTGCCTGTAGACGGCACTTCCAAATTGGATGTGTTGTCCACCATTACATCGGATGTCAAAAACAAGTAAGTTTTAGTTATTGCTGCTGCCGTCCAAATAGTTGCTTCAAGTTCTTCAAGCAGAACATTAAGAATCATGGTGGACTCCACTGAGATGCTCTGTTTTTGGAAGGTAATGGAAGATGATCAAGAAATCGGCGCATACATGTTTCGTAGAACAGTCCCTTGTACGCATTTGACACCTGATGATGTCCGTTGGATGGTATGCTTCCTTAGTCTTGGATGGTTCGCCACGTGCTGCTTTTCTTCTGCATTGCATTGACGATATTTAAGTAATTTATACAGCCATTATAGTATCCACATGACACTCTACATATATGAGACGAGCAGCTCGTTTTTAAATAAGCTTCAGGATAATTGATACTTTGTCTGTCTGCATCACTATAATGATTCGCATACATCTGTCCCTTCTCTTCTGTTGCTGAAATCCTATGGTTGGCGCTATCAGGTTGGAGCTTGGAGGGACAGAATCATAATTTGTACTGGCACATATGGGCCTAGTCCAACTCTTATTAAGGCCTTTCTAGATTCTGGTGCAAAAGCCGTTATCTGCTCGTCAGCCAAACCTTCAGAAGCACAGGTGACAGCATTCAATGGACAAGGTGTGTTTGGCAACTTGGAAAATGGGCGATTCGAGATTGGAGAAGAAGAAATGGAAGAAGAAGAAGAGGAAGAGGAAGCGGAAGCAGAACCAGCCAGCCCAGTGAGTGATTGGGAGGACAGCGACCCTGAGAAAAGCGCGGATCTCAAGGGATTCTGGGATGATGATGAAACAGACTTGTCTCAGTTTGTTTGCCAATTGTACGACTCCTTGTTCCGGGAAGGCACGAGTGTAGATGGTGCTTTGCAAAATGCTCTTGCCTCACATAGAAAGTTGAGGTACTCCTGCCATCTACCCAGCACAAAGTAGTCTAAATGTTAAAATTGTTGTATCATTCAGCCCATGCTCAGCTGTTAGCCATGTGTGATTGAGACATGAGGTTTACTGGAAAAAAAAAAGAAAAAGAAAAAAAATAAGTGAGGGTATAAAAATAGCTGAAACGGCACAAAGAAAAAAGTAAAATAAGTATACTCATGATGACAGAGAAACTGAGGAAAAAATTCAAAATTTTGAGGCCTGTAGGAGATTTCATGCCTACTAGATAGATACCAGAGCATTGGTGGATGTGGAATGTCGTAAATTATGTAACTTCTCGAGTAAACATATATGCAAGTGCAGTTCATCTTGTCTGTTCATCGTGCACTTTTCTGCTTAGGTCCGTCGATCTCAACTGCTCGGCTCCTGTGTACATGCAGTTATAAAACTCTATCTATTCTCTTCGCATTCGACAAATGCGATTCCCCGTTCTGCATGTTTGTTTTCTACATTTTAAATGTAAGTTAGTTGTATGCTTTGGATATACATACTCGCCTTTGTGATGTGAAAAGAAATAGATACGTCCCGTTTGATTGGTGGGTGGATCTCCTGTGATCTGAGATTAGAGAAGGATCATCAAGTAAATCTGGTGTATCATACCGTATCGTGGAATCCATGGCGGTTTCCATATAACCTACGCCTATAGACGCAAATCTTTTAGGAATGTGACGCGTTACATCTGGTGAGACACTGCGACCTTTGCTCCATTATGGGTCGAATGTAGCTTGTTGAAATTGTTGAGCGTCTTAGGTGTCGCATGGACTGGCTTCGCAGCCTAGTTCGGAATATGTGAAGGATATCGTTTCGGTGCATAAATAAAGAGGGGGGAAAAAAGGGCCACTCTGTATGCGAGTAGATTTTTTCAGTTCCCCTCGCTACACCAGATGAACTTTGCAGAGCAAACTAGACTTATGTTAAGATGTGAACATTTTTCTTGATGGGTAGCTAGGCCCTACGTGAAATGGTAAGAGTCGTCAGATCTGATTTTGATTGCCGCGTAATATTTGACGAGACTCGAAAGCCTTCGAAAACTCTTGAAGCTTGTGAAAAGTGTACTTCTTTTTTGTCAAAGTAAAAAAAGTGTAATTCAATTAAAGGGATAATGATATAAAAAGCCGTTGAACTTTGGCCTAACGTGTAATGTAATTTCTGAACTTTTAATTTGTTCAATATAGTCTTTAAATTTTAGCTCAATGTGCAATGTCGTTTCTAAATTTTTAATTTGTTCAATGTGGTTCAAGTTAATTTCTGGATTATATGAAAATATTCGATATTATCATTCTATTAATTCAAGTTCAGGAATAACATTGAATATTTTTATGTAGTTCAGAAATTAGATTGAACACGTATAAAAAATTCAAGGACAACATCAAATAAATTGAAATTTTAGATACGATATCGCACATTGAGTTAAAATTCATAAATCACATTTCACATTGGGCAAAAGTTCATTGATCATTGGTGTCATTTTCTCTCAATTAAATGACGGTTTCATAGGCAGGTACGATCTTAATGAAGATCCCAATTTGTCACAGTGTCAATACATCCTCCATTTCTCCATATTTTGAGAGCAGAAGGACGAACAGTGGCATGTACTTTTGGGATAACACTGCTTTGTCGTCCCTAGTCAAACGGCAGGTGTGATGTGTCAATTTAGAGCTTATTGGTACGGTACAAGTTCACTCCCAGCGCGCAATTTGCGGCATAAATTCGGACACAACCATAGTTGGAGCAGTAAATGGGCTTGAGTATGTTCCTTTAGCTGAAATTGAAAGAAAGAAAATGCTTAGAAGTGAAGGCTGATGTGATCATAAGATGAGATAATGCGGATAAGTTTTTTTAAGGAAAAATGATATAAATGATTAATAAACTTTAGTTTAATGAGTAATGTCGTCACAGAAATTATTAATTTATTTAACGTGGTCCCTAAATTTAGTCAAATGTGCAATGTTGTCCCTAAATTTTTTATCTGTTTAATGTGATCTTTGAACTATCGGTAAAGGTTCAATCTAGTCCTTAAACTATAGGAAAATATTTATCATCATCCTTTCGTTAATTCAAGTTAACGGAATCTGATGTGTGGCTTTCAATCAGTCATGTTTGAACAGTGGAACAAAAAAACAGTTACACGTGAATTGCCCACATATGATATGCATCTCAAATCTGGAAAAAAAAAATTCTGCGTGGGTTATTTAAAGTCCCTAATTTGTTTCTTTCATTTTCTAAAGTAGATGGATAAAAGGATAGACGTACTGACTTATCACTCTTAAGCATTTAACAATTAATAAATGTCATCAAATAACGTCACATTTGTCATTTGAACAACTAGAAGGACCGCATTAGAAACGAAATTGCCCATTTAAATCAAAAGTTTGGGGATCATTTGTGTTATTATCTCTTATTTTAAAGTGTTAAAAAGATGGGGCAGCCTCTTCCCATTCTTATTTCAGTACAGAAAGCGAAGCTAATGATTTGCATCTCAGGCCGATGGTGTTTAATCAAATCACAACCCTACTGCTACGACAGTATCATTACCGTGTTTCACAAAGTGAACTATACTTTGGTGGTCACGCTCATTGAAGGAGAACACATGCGTATTTTGAGAGAGAAAGAGATGTAAAAGAAGGAAGCATGCATCAGAAATTTCTGGGTCATACAACATGACTGGCTTACTATACAAAACCGAGTCATCTAAACAATGGTGTTTATGAAAGTGAAAAATTTCAACAAACCCGCCGAAAAGAAACTATTATGAGAAGCCCCCACGCCGTGCACTTTGAGAAAAGAGCACCCGGCAAAACTCTTTGTTATGATTACCAAAAGAAGAGGACATCCACAGACCAAAAGCAATCTTACCCCACTGAGAAAAAGGTCATCGGCCGTCCATCACTCCCTTCATTCGCAAGCATCCTCCTCCTAACTCTAATTGCATATATAAAGCGTTCGGCTGATGCAATAGAATTTACCAGGACAATGGCTGCTGCTACCGGACCAGTTGCCGTAGGCACTCGAGGCACGATCGCAACCCTCGTCAGGAAGGAAGTCGAGTATTTCCATGGCCTCGAACGAGAAAGCTCGAGCCTGGCACGGGAGCAGGCCTCGGGCAGGGACTCCGGGACAAGCTTCGGGTTCCTCCGTGTCGCTTGGGGAAGAAAGAAACGCAAAGGAGTCAGCGCGTTCCACCCGAGCATCTGCTCCGTAGCACGGGTCGTGGATAGCTACCGGACGAATGGGAATCGCGGGTTCAATTATGCTCTTCTCGAGGACGAGTTCGAGAATGTGAACATGTAGACGATAGACGACGATCTGCAAGTTTAAGGAGGACATTCGTCCAAAGTCATTTTCTTTCAGACTCCTTCAGCCTTTTGGTGTCAATAAATACAGACGCTTGCGCTTTCTTTTTCCTGTTCAATTCATGTGGTTGCTTGACTCCTCTCTATGTTCCTTTTGCCCAGATACATGCCAAGCATTTACCCTCAATTTACCCAGATTTCCTCCCGATAAAGAAATTTCATTTTCCCTTGCATAAGCAGAAAGTATAGCTAGGGCATTTGCTGACACAATACACTGAATCGGCTTTCTCAATATTGCGAACGTAGACATTGCCTTTGAGCGGCAAAAGTCCATATCGTCTTACGGGTACAGAGTACATCGAAGCGACAATCAGTCTTCTCAGGATAAGGGTGTGTTTTTCGGCTAGGAAATTGTAAAAGTAGTTTTGACGGGATGCATTTACAGTTCGGTGAGAAAAGCATGCTGCATCTCTAGCAATCAAGCAACATGAGCAACAAACAATGAATGGAGATTAACTACATTGGCACCTTTGCTAGCAGCAAAACAGTCATCCGATCTCTGATTTACCAAAGCGGTACTCAGAATGCACTTAATTCCGGCAAATGTGGTCGAAAACTATCCACTAAAAAGATTTAACATTCCCTCATTAACATGCCACAAAAGCCTTAGGCAACATTGGTTATCCTTCAAGACAAGGCGACTTCAAATGGATGGATGGACGAATTTAGAAGGTTCGGGCGATAACAATCACATGTCGGATCGACACAAACAGCAAACAGCGCATATCAAACTTCCAGATTGATGCTACATACAGCACATTGTTCCATTGGTAAAACTTACCATGGAAATCCCCCGCGCTACCCTGACACAAAAGATAACCGCAGTGAATTACCAACCGGAGAGTAAGCATCATAAGACTCGCTATAGGCGGCTCAAAAGGGAGGCTGCTGCTACTTGAAACTGCACCAAGAGAGAGGTAAGATATCTTCCCAAAGTTGGTTCACCTTCTAATGTGCTTTTAGTCTGTTCCTTGAGAATAAACAGAACTTCATGAATGATAAGAGGATGTCGGACGGAATTCCGATACCCTCAATACTTTAGGCAGCCGTTTCATTTGACAATTACCGAAGTCGATCAATCTAAAAAGGTCACATGGAAGTATCAATTTCTTCCATGACTAGGGGAAAAAGATAAAACCGCCTTCTATGATACAAATGTCTGTCCATTTCAGATCGAGCCGCGCTCTTATTGAACCAAAAGAAAACAGCAAAGTAATCTCATCTACCTTACTGAGGTAAACCAGCTTCCACTTCATCCCACAAATCTGTATTCCTAGAGAACTTCTCCTTGACCTGTGCAATAAGCTCCCTAGCCTCGCCGACCTTATCGATACTCACCAGCCCGTTAACCAGCGACTTCATCGTTCCGAAATTCGGCACCCAACCCTTCTCCATACTCTCCTTACACACCCGCAAGGCGGTGTCGAAATCCCCTCCCTTGCAGAGATAGTGAATGAAGGTGAAATAACAATCGCTGTTGGGCCGACACCCGCCGTTCACCATGCTCTCGAACATCTTCTTCGCTTCTTCGAACCTCTCCTCGTTGCAGAACCCGTGTATCAAATGGGCGTACGTCTCCGAATTCGGCTTCATCCCCCTCGCCAACATCCCGTCGAGCAGCACCTTCGCCTCGTCCGACTTCCTAAGCTTACACAAGCTCCGGATCCTGATGTTGTAGATACCAATCCCCCGAGAGACCTCGTGCTTCTGCATCAATTCCAAAACCTTCCCGACATCTTCGTACTTCTCCTCCTTGTAGAACCCGGCCAGCATGTTCCCGAACGTGGTCGCGTTCGGCCTGACCCCCTTCCTATCCATCTCGGCGATCGCCGAGTAGGCCGAGCTCGTCGACCCGGACTCGGAGAACGCCTTGATCACGGTATTGAAGGTCTCCAGATCGGGCGCCACGCCATAAACCCTAGGGAACTCCACGAAGATCCTCTTCGTCTCCTTATAGTCCTTGGCCACGATCGAAGCGAACAGGAGCGCGTTGAGCGACTTGACGGTGCGGCGGATGCCCAGCCCCTCGACCTGCTCGAACGTGGCGATCGCGTCGGCGATCATGCCGGCCTGCCCGTAGAGCACGGTGGCGTGGCACATGAAGCGCTCGTTCCGCAGGTCCGGCCGCGCCTTGGACTCCTCGAGGAAGCGCCGGACGCCGTCGAGGTGGCGCGACTCGGCGAGCTTCGAGATGGCGACGGAGAAGGCGACGCGGTCGAGGTGGGACTGCGGGGTGAGGGAGGCGGCGCGGCAGATGTCGAGGATGCGCTCCGGGTTCTTCTCGGCCTTCAGAAGGGAGAGGGCCGCCCGGGTCTTCTCCTTCGACGAGAGAGGGGCGTTGGAGTCCGGCGACAGGATCGACGACGGCGACGGCGACGGCGAGGAGAAGCGGCGGCGGAGGAGCAGGTGCGGCGAGATCGGCCGGAGTCGAGCGAGCGGCGACATTTGCGGCGGCGGCGGCGGCGGCGGCGGTCGGCGCTTCGGCTGCGAGAGCGACGTTTATAGAGAGAGAGAGAGTGTGTATGTTGCAGAGCTGAGAGAGTGAGTGTGAGGAAGATGAAGAAGACGAGAGAGCTAGGGTTTATGCTCGTGGAGTCAATTGAATACCAAATCAAACTTTGGGGACCAAAATGGAATACGTGGAAAGTGTTGGGTGAGATATGCAACTTTCGTGTAATTGGAGGACCGTGATGTGTATCAGTACAGTAGGGGGATTCGAGAAAGCTCATCCGTCAGATCGGAGTGGAGAGCAGGGGATCGGACGGCTGTTATTAGTTAGAATAAAAAAAAAGGAAAAAAGAGAAGATCCGGATGGAGGGGATTTGAACCCGACGTGAATCGAACACGCAACCTTCTGATCTGGAGTCAGACGCGCTACCATTGCGCCACGGATCCGGCGTTGTAACTTCCTGCTGAATATAAATATTTATACAATATTAAAAATGCCCCGGGCAGATATTAAAAAATATATAAAAAAATTAATAATAATGCAAAATAGAGATTATTTTCTAAAAGCCCACTTCTCTATTCAAAATGCCCCTTTGGAAATATAAAAGTTGTCTGCCTTTGAAGCATCTCGCTTTCTCAAAATATGAAATTATTTTTTTTGTAATTTTATTAAAACATGTCGACATGAGTTTTTACTATTTTTAATATCTTAATCAGCATATTCAGAACCTTTGTTAATAAGACCCATTATAACTTTATACGACCCAAATTCCTGGACTTGGAAGTCGATGATCCGGACATGGGCAAGTGGGGTTCGAGACCCGGCCTCGATGGACTCGGGCACGGGCGCCGAGGAACTAGCCCCGGCGTCCCAAGTCCGGCCTCGATATACCCAGGCGCAGCCTCAATGAACTCAGGCCCGACTTTGATGGACCAGGGCTCGGGCGCCAGGGAACCCGGGGCGCCGGGCTGCCAAAGGACAAGAAAGTAAAATGAGAACGTCGAAGGACGGCAGAAACGGGGGGAAAGAAAATCCGTGGGGACGTGATGATGAAAAGGTTCTTTCCCCCCTCCCCCCACAGCACACAGACCAAAACCGCCAAAACCGCCCAATCCCCAACGTCATCCTCAGGACCAGGAGCGGCCGTGAGGGAACTCCCGGGTCACCGCCCCGTCAGAATAGCGCGGGTCGGACGCCGCGCCCCCCTGCGTTTGACCCCCACGGCACACTCCCCCGTGTGCACGAATCTTCCGCGGCATCTCCGTCGTCTTCGCAAACTCCCAGGACGGCAAGATCCCCCGCACGTGCCAGTTCTCAATCCATATAAGCAAAATGACCCAAACGATTTTTATACTATAATAATCTAATGTGCAATATAATCCCCCGACTTATAATTTGTTCGTCGTCGTTCCCGAGCTTTAATCCAATCTGCATTATCGTGTTTAGGTCTTTAATTTGTTCAATGTGATGCATGTTCAAACTAGTCCATGGATCATAAAAAAATATTCAATACCGTCCTTGAACTTAAATTAATGAAAGAATAGCATTGGTTATTTTCACATAGTATTGGACTAGTTTGAACATTTACTAAAATTTTAGGAGCCACATCGAACAAATTTAAAAGTTCATTGATGGTGTTGCACACATTGGATTAAAGTTCAAGGATCAAATTGAATAAATTTAAAATTTAAGGATCACATAATACATTAAATCAAAGTTCGTGAATTATTTATGTCGTTATTCTATATATTTTTTTTGGGGGGCCGAAGACATTTCTTGATAACATTAATAAACTTGCAAAAGGAACTTAAAGGTATAGCTGTGTTATCTAAAAAAATGAAATCGAATAATGGTGAAATTGAGGATTGACGAACCTGAATTTGCAAGATTATCACGAGATTTACCGGGATTCGACGAGCTCTTAAAAATTCATGTTCCATCCATTAGTCAGTATCACACTACTGGTGTCCATGTCACAGTAATACACGCAATCTCTCCTCGCTCGATCACGAGGTCTGCCGTGCATTTCAATCTTTAAAAGCTTTTCCGATCCAAAATAATATTAATAAAAAAATCCTTAAAAACTTGTCAACTTCGTGTACTTCGTGAGTGCATCAATATACTATTATCGAGGTACGTACATTTGCATGAACCAAATACACCTGCCAAATTTCTCTCACTTCAATTTTTTCACGAACTTCTCACCTCCCTCCCCCCCTCTCTCTCTCCCCTTGTGCGTGACCGCCGGTGAGATTAGCAAAGTTCCCTCACTGAAGACTACTCTCTCTCTATCTCTATCTCTGGTTCCTTCCTTCCCTCGTTTCTGTTTTTGTATCGAGCACTTCCTTCGAGGAGAGGAAGCGATGGCGAGGATGGTGGGAGCAGCGCCGCCGCCTCCTCCTCCTACAATGGCGGCGCTCGGCCTCGCCGTCGCCTCGGATTGGTGGGACGACATCAACGGATCGACCCGGTGGCAGGACGCGATGTTCTACTCCCTCTGCGCCGCCTACGCTCTCGTCGCCTCCGTCGCTCTGGTCTCTCCCTCGCCCCCTCCCTCTCTCTCTCTCTCTCTCTCGCATCGCTACTTGTGTGCGTGCTCGTACTGTGGTTGGTTGGGTAGGGTAGTTTCGGGCTCGCCGTCGTCTCAGAAGTAGAGTGCGCGCGCGCGTTCTTGCTCTGGATCGCAAACTCCGGGGTGTGCCGGGGGTCGTTTGTTGGGATCGAGGTTGCTTCTTCGAGCTTATTCGGTTCAGAATTAGTAGGATTGTATTGGGTTGGATTGGGTCTGTTGGGTCATTGACATTGTATCGAATGACATCAAGTTCACTCGTGTGCCGAGGCGGTTACGCTGCCGGTCGGTTTAGTGGAAAAGCTAATTTGGTTGGTCAACTCTGTTCGGTCGAACGTAAGGATCGCTTTCCTACTCTTTCCGTTTTGGGGAAAAAGCCGCAGTCTTTTAGTGTTCTGAGGATATCTTGGTGCCTAATTGTTCCGAAACTGATTTCCGTTGGAATAGGCTGGGTTTTTCTAAGAACCCCTTTTTTTTACGCTCGGTGATGTACCCGTCTTGGTAATTTCCTTTGCATTCGAATCCCGCTGCGTTGTTGTGAGTGGTGCCGTGGTTTTGCTTGTGATTGTGCAGATTCAACTGGTTAGGATCGAGTTGAGAGTGCCCGAATACGGTTGGACGACCCAAAAGGTTTTCCATCTCATGAACTTTGTAGTCAATGGAGGTAATGTTTCTGAATGTTGGTAGAGATTTAGGCTTTTGCTTTTTACTCCGTTCGGTTTGGAATGTTCGGATGCTTACTTTGCCTTTATTTTCAGTTCGTGCTCTCGTATTTGCATTCCATAAGCAAGTATTCGTGTTGCATCCAAAGGTTAGTCCTCCAGGGTTCCCAAGCTGTTAGTTTCCGATCTGCGATCTCATCTGTTTTATTTTCTACTTTATCACATCATACTGCGTTAATTTTAATAAATCTCAATAAGGCAGTCAATTTGAGAACTTTTGTTTCTTTAAGTTCTTTATTTCCTTACTGTTGGAAAGCAATTAAATTATATAAATCTGGCCTTGTATTTGTTGAATTTTATCTTCCTTTGTTATGAAATCACATTGGCTCGTAAATCTGCACCGATCTGGCTTGCTCTCCGTAAGCTTAAAGAAAATAAAAATCTTTGAATCATGAACAGTTTAGAAGAGTTAGAACAGAGCTGAAAAAAGAGTGTTCCTCAATTACCATGTCGTGTAAACTTGAATTCATATTCAGATAAGGGAAATGTAATACTACTATTGCTAGCATTTACTACTGAGAACTATCGTTGGCCATCTTGCTGTCTGAATCGTTTGAGCCATCAACTAGACTAAAGAATTCGTAGATTTCCGTATTATTCCTTGTGAATTGGTCTTATTAATTCGAAGAGTGACGAACAAATGAGTCTGTATCACTGCGACCTTATGATTCTGATGCAAGATTCTGATGCAAAAGATCGTGATATTTAGATGCTTCTTATGGATCATACATATTGAATAAGTTGCATCACCAGCCTTTTATGTAGTCTTTTCATGTGGAGGTTCTACATCGTGAAGCTAACCCGTAAATAAGATCAGACATCTAGTTGTAAAGTACGTTTGGGGTTGTAAATCTCCCTTAATTTCATTGGCATCCTCGCTAACGTTTTCAAATTGTGTTGATTTTCTATGCAACATGTAAACTGCTTGTTAGAATACTAGTATCTCTATTTTCTGTGAAAATTTTGTTGCTTATCGAGTTAACGTATGTGGACCAGGTGTTAACTTTGGTTCTCTTGGATCTTCCTGGACTCCTGTTTTTCTCTACTTACACTCTCTTAGTTCTGTTTTGGGCCGAGATATATCACCAGGTGATTAAACATAGCTTTGTTCGAGTAATGTTAGATCTGCTTCCTGTGAGGAATATATATAATTCTGTTCTAGCTAACTTTAAGTTATGAGAATTTGACCTCTGGGCATCTATTGCCGAGCAGGCGAGAAGTTTACCATCAGATAAGCTGAAGATATCTTATATATCTATAAATGGTGCTATGTACTTTATACAGGTATATCTCTCACAGAACGATCTTCTGTTACTAATCAAATATTTGATAAGATTTAGATTTGTCTTTCTTTTTCCTTGCTTTTCTATTTTGACATTTTATGTTATAAATAGACTCAATGAATTAAGGCTTGTCATATTTAGGCAAATTTGGTGCTGCGCTTTCGAATGTAAAAAATAGATAGCACAATATCAATGTGAAATTTACCCTTGTATCATATCTGTGTAGGGCACATGGCTTTCATAAATATCCTTTTAAACTTTCCCAATTTGCTCATTTGCTTGTCTAGCATTCACGTTAATGTAAAGCTTCAAAATGGTTAGCCCGGCTGCTTGTAGTTTCAAATTACTGATGATGGAGTCAAGTGAATTTCTTAATTTCAGCTCTCAAAGTCTTATCAATTCTCCATACCCAAGTCAGAGGAAGCAAGACCCAGATTCCTGAATTAAGTTACACTGTTACAGCCCTTATGCATGAAATGAGAAACTAGGCTTGCTGATTGTAGATAAATTCATCAAGGACCAAATACCAATAATAAAGTGACCATAACAAGGTATCTGCATTGTTATGAAGTTGTGGTGTTATGTAGTCTGATCCTTAAGTTGACGGAATTTGTATATATCCTTGTTACCTTTTTAAATCATTCTACAAGACGGTTGTTAGCCTGTTGGCAAAAGTGCAGCATAAGTTAGCTCCTGGAAGGTACAGGTCAGATTTAGGTTGTAGGAAAATATATCATATTATTCGTCCCTCATGCGATTTGATGTAATTTTCACATCAGGTTTGCATCTGGATTTATCTGTGGATAGACGACAACAGTGTTGTGGAATTTATTGGGAAGATATTTATTGCAGGTGAGAATCCAATTTTACTTCCTAAGCTAAAAATATATTTCACTTTGTTACACTTCCTTGTAGCTATTTTAGTTTGTCATTCCACTAACTCCATTTTATACTTGATTCCTGCAGTTATCTCAATAATAGCTGCATTGGGTTTCTTATTATATGGAGGAAGGTGGGTTCAGCAGCACCTTTGATACTCACTGTGACCATTGCATCTAGGCCTTCATACACTGTTTACCCAATGCTATCTTATCTTCGTGGCTTTTTTTGTACATTGGCTAAATGATTCTGCTTATTATCATGACTTGCTTCAGATTATTTTCCATGCTAAGGCGTTTTCCTATTGAATCTAAAGGGAGGAGGAAAAAGCTTCATGAGGTATGCAGCCCTCCTTCTCTTGTTTAATTTTTCCTTATTTTTTCCTTCCGCTCATCATATTGTAGCAAGCTTTAGGCATAGCCTCTCATCATATTGTAGTGGGCTTTAGGCATTTTATCGGGTCTTTATGATCTCAGCATGTGTCTGTCTCAACATCTATTTTGCCAGAGAATCGGAGGATACAAATTGATAAGGGGGTCACTGCAAGTACTAGCTTAGTGTGAAGAACTTTTTGTGTATTGATCACAGCCATCTCCATTGCTGCCTATCTATATATTGCCTGAAAACCATGCTTGAAGTGTTATCCAGTATGATCATTATCGATCTATGCATCTATATGAGGTCTGTCAGCACTAAGGGCATGCCCTGCTGGGACATAGCTGATGTTTTGAACTCCTGACGTTATTTGTTCTGTACATCCATTTCTATTTGTGATCTGAAAGTGGCAAGTGGTAGCTGAACGGAAGTGGTAAAATGTGATAGGCTGCTGCTGTTTAACTAATAAAGTAATTGAGTGTATAGTGTACATGCTACTTGAGTCACCCACCCTTGGTGCCGCTGCAAAATATTTTGTTCACCTCTTGCTAACTGTCTTTGGATGAAGTGTCACAAAACCAGTGTGTTGAAGGAATTGGACATATGCAGTCATCTTCTAAGACAAGCCATTTGTTATACACATTGCATTAAAAAACTTGCCAAGAATGTGAAAAGGAGTCTTTGACTTCATTTTAATTATTTTTGACACCAGATCTGCATTCTCTTGCAGGTTGGATCTGTTACAGCTATATGCTTCACCTGTTTTATTATCAGGTGTACAGTGGTAAGCTCCAATTTTGGGATAGTCTTCCGTTCTGCTACTTACAGTTTCAAATCTGATGCACATCCTTACTAATATTCTTTTTTCCTGTTTAATTTACTAGACTTGACCTGGCCAAAAGAACAGAAAATACAATATACAACTATAATGGCTTCAAAATGCTATTAGCCTTTTCTTGCCTTTTCTAGTTGAAGCTTTGCATTTCTTTTAAGGTCTTGACGTGGAAAGGCCACTTCCCCTTTTGCTACTTAGCAATCATGAGAAGAAATGCAACAAAAGTTGTGCCTCAATGCATCCAATTACATCACTTTGTTGGTCAGATTAGCCGGCTCATATGGCTAGGCCCTCTGCCACTTTTGGTTCTACCTGCTGAGTATCGAACCCAGCAAACTCCCCTGAACCCATCCCCACCCTACCAAAAGGACCGAATTGCCTGTTGGTTTCTATTATGAGCATTAGTAAAGGCTACCCCCAGCAGAGAAGGCTGAGAGAACTTGGTGCAGACTATTAAGCAATGACTCTTGTTAACAGATATGCTAAGACAAGCACTCTTTTTGGGACAACAATTAATTCACATGATATCACAGCGCCGGTTAAGGGTTGGAATTTTGACACTCCTTACTGTTTATTGTGTTTTAATCTCTGGTTATCTTATCTCATCAGCATGATTATAATCCAAGTTCTGTGATTCACATGTAAGGTCCGACTTACGCGAGAAAGGGACTGTTAACCAGTATGCCGATAGGCAAGATTCATAAAAGTTCAAACTTTTGAGAAAAATAATCTATTTACAACTCTTTTTGCCAAGGGCAAGCCAATAAATACGGACACTTTAGCTGTTTTTATCTCTATCCAATGGTTAGCTGATAAGTTTTAGGATTTATTATGTAATACATAATGGCAATCAGTTTTTTCTTGCTAATATTCTCACTTATTAAATGTCTTCGAAACAAGATTACTCTTAGAAACGATATGGAACGGTTGGCAGGTCAAGCAATTGAACGGCTGGTTCCATTGCTTATGATGTCATCTAATCAAATGCTTTAATTGAAAAATAAGAAAGGGTAAATGACTAAATTGGCATATAGGTCAGTTGGACCGAGGTTGTTGAATGTGAATAGTAAAAATACATGAGCCTTGAGGCGTTTGAGTTGCGTCTACCATGGCCTTGTCATTGGCTTTTTGAAGCCATAGAAACAAAGAATAGACTAAAGTTGAGGCATTTGTAGGACAAAACATAACATGTTGATTTGAGATTGAACTCTCTTCTCCTGTGGGATGTCAGGGGATTGGAAAATCTGTAAGCCCCTGGCGAGCAGTCATAGTTGTTTCATTTGAGCTTTTGGCCCAATAACCATGTCTTCTTTGGTGCTTCTAATTTATTCAAAAATAAAGAGTTGACTATGATTGGATGTGAACATACTTTGGAAGTTGAGAAAGGTTGTCACTTGAAAGAACTGGGAGTTTGGACTCTTAGTTGAACTCAAACCCAGTTGGAGATTGTCATCAACTTGACTTTGCCAAAGTGCTTCAGAAGAGGATTCTTGATAGAGTAGTTTTGACAGCATAGAAATAAAGCGTGCTTATATTGTACTTATCACCAGGAACTACTGACTTTACCTCTGCTTAGAGTTAAATCTCACCAATTATCGACCCAGATTGGAGACTTTCTTGCCCTTGGACTACCACTTTGTCCTCTTGGTTGGGACGATGTCAATTTCTTCCCAACCTGTATGGTATGATGTCTGGGCTAGACAAGAACCTAAACTGTCAACTGAACATGGAGCAATCATTTGCATTTTGCCTTTGCTGATAATACCTTGACGTAATGATGCAATGCTTCTTACATGCAGGTTCTTCTATCAGCTTTTGATTCAGATGCATCACTCGATGTTTTGGATCATCCAATTTTGAATATGTTATACTACATGGTATTCTCTTAGCTTAGTTATGGTTGTTGCTCAAGTTGTCTGTGATTGTGTTGCCGTTTTTGAAATTGGTATTTGAACTTCTTTCCCTCTCGTGCCAGCTGGTTGAGATCCTGCCTTCTGCTTTAGTCCTCTTCATCCTACGCAAGCTGCCTCCTAAGAGGATATCGGCCCAACATCACCCTATCCGATAGCCATAGATCATTCTTGCTTGCTTAATTATTCTTCACCCGCTCAAGATGGGTTTTCATGCCTCATCCATTGGCTTTGAGTAAGTCGAGTGGAGCCGGAAAAGAATTCGGACATATCATTCTGAGATGGCACAGGACGCCAATGGTTTGCTCGTGCTTTGTACATTATGAAGCTTCCTCAAGTTTGCCAAAGGGGACAGAATCATTGTTGATATCATTGTTGATTTCTGCGGGCTGTGTGACTTGTAGAATCGGTTCTTGATACCTTTCACATGCCTATTGTGTCAATGTCTGTGAAAGGAGAAGCTCCTGCTATTTTCAGGTGCTAGGTGTCAATTCTTTTTTCGGAGTTTTCAATGTCTTGTTGTGCTCATGAGTAGTGATTGGAAATGATATCTTAGTTTCTTCCCCATTTTTTCTTTCAGAACACTTTCTTAGATCCTGTTGTAATGTTAGGGCTTTGTTTTAGAAGTTGTATTCGGTTGGAATCGTCATTTATCCCTTGAAGAAATTGCAGATTGCAGTACCGCATGGCTTGTGGTTCCTTGTTGCTATTTGTTAAAGTTCATTTGCATTCGAACTGTCCAACTCTAGAGCCAGAAACAGACGATCTATCATTCCTAACGAAAAAACAGCAAGTTCATTTCTCATTTTTTTCTGTCAGATACAGAACAAAGACTCCTATGATTCCTCCTTACCTTTTGACATTTGAAGCTTCAGTGAAAAAAGTTCTGGTTTTATATGGTTCTCCGCGGCAAATCGCCATAGAGGACTGGGTAAATTGGGTGGACACCATTTGACTTTTGGTTGAAATGCAGGTTGGTATCTGCTGTTATTTGGAATTTGTATAATCAACCGCCGTTATCGTCCTCCAGGGGCCAAAATTGCTAATCGAACGTTGGTGATGCTAAATTTAACCTGCCGATTGTGAGATTTTGATGCCTACTGTCATTTAGAAATTTGTATTCTAACATTGCAGTAGATAGTCTACAAGTTTGGAGCCTTGCTGGTCTTTATCTGGGGCTATAAACGGACTAGACGCCATCGACATAATTGCTCTCTACCAGGAAATCTAAGTCTCAAAGGTCTTGAGAACAATGAGAAGTGCATAGAGATTTTCAGATCACAGCGAAATAAAACATCTCTTGCACAAGTTACTTCAAGACAATCTCCCAAGATCGATGATCGCCTGCAACTGCAACGACTACACAGCACGAAACTGACTCAATTCTTTTGATATAAACATTTTGGTTCTGCTGGCAAGAAAAGGAAAAGAGAAACAAAGATTAAGAGATGAAAATTTTAGAAAATCTTCCCTCTCTTCTATAGGAGAAGATAAAATGAGATGACCCTGATGGTTGCTTTGATTTTGTTTAGCAGTCTGTTCTGCGATGTTGACGAAGGAATACAAAACCCATAAAGAAAAAACACAAGTCTGCCATTGCCTCACATCAGTTGTAGTAGAATTCAGAAGCCACCAGGCAGTTTATCTAAGCAAGTATCAAGTCTAGCGAGCCATGTGAGAGAGAGAGAGAGAGAGTCCAAACTTTGTGTGAAGCTAAACAAAAAATCATTCCTGCTCTGGTGTTTGAACAAGAATGCTATATTCACTCCAACTTAAGGACTCAACTTCAAAACTGCACAACTTCAAAATCCGAATAGCATATATCAGGTTAAGCTTATAAGCAGATGAGGGTTAATTACAAGCACCAAAGCATGCGCAGGAGTGTTTTTCTACAGTAAGCGACCAGGATTGTTCCGCCACCTTTGTAATTTTTGGCTTCAGATCAACAGTAGAATAAGCTGAACCTTAAAACCTTCTTGTCTCGGCTATCCATGCCATCAATCTTGGTGAACTTCCTCAGGAGGAGGGGCGGCGAATCTCACGGCTGCTGGCCGTGCGTCGACAACAGCCTCATCAGGAAATAGGGCTCTGATAAATGATGGGGTTCTTAGGGGCCGACGACGAGTCATCCGCGGGTACACATCTTCAAGAAAGTAGTAGGCATGACCAGCTATCATTCCCTGCATCATAATATTTCATATTGAGCATAAGGACCAGCACAACAGAAAATTATCCTGGAACTGTAATTAGATAATACAAACCACGACAATAGATTGCACAAGAGTGCTATTTCCACAGCCTTATATGTTTTAGCCAAAAAGGGTGAAGTAATAACGCCGCCCATCAATAATCTACTGTGATCTTGGTAAAAAGGCAGTGGAATATTGACAAATATCATTATTTTAACGCCGGCCACCAGACGGGAGCTTTAGCAGACTAATGGGACTGTTTATGGGTGTTTGCTATTCATGATAAGATCGTTATTTCAAGCCAAAGGATGTGAAGCACACTCGGAGTTGCTTGATCTCAGATTGTTAAGTTAGGTTGATTCTAGTAGATCTTTACTCCTGAAGAGGGGGGGATGATTCTGCATCGTTCAAGAAACTATAACACTATTGACTAAGAGCCTCGTTTTTATCTTTCACTCTGCAAAAGTTACAGCTAAGTATATGTGCAAAGTAAAGCCAAAACAAGAGCTCCTCCAAGCAGAACATGGACATTAACCATCATGTCTCGCTCAGCTCAGCCTCATAGAAATTCAATTCTCAGACTGCATCCATCCAAGCACTCGACAGCATCAAATATTACAGAAACAGAGTCTTACCAATAAATCCACCCAAGCACTTGCACCTACAAGGACTGAGAATCCCAGAAGAACCTGCATATAGAAAACACAAACTCAATTGCACGTGCATCCAATTCTCCAAGTGAATGAAATATGCTGAATGAGAAATTTGAGGAGTTCATAAATAAATATTACAAGTGCTCAAGATAAATGCCTATTTTTTTTATAACAAAAGAAATAAACTCCAAGCCTGGTGGGGAACAACTGGATAAGCAAGCTAAAACCCCAGATGTCGCTTTCTTTTATTGACTGAGCAACTAGGAACAGATATAAAACCTGATTAATCATGTCTCATGCAACAAAACCAACAAGCAATGTCCTATCCCACTTTCTCGGAACAGTTTCTAGGAGTGAAAAATAAGGATTTTACTTACCCATGGTAGGTAAGCTGCAGTAAATGTAAAGAGACCCAAGAAACTCATATGGATAAAAGGATTTTGCTTGCTCCACACATAAACCTGCACAAAACACAAAAAGCAAAAGCACGCATTAGGACATTATCAGTCCACTTAAGTCATGATTGGTAATTGCACAAAGAGAGCAAAACTCACCATCATGAAAGTCAGTGAGTTGCTAAGAAATATAATTTTTGCAAATGATTCTGATACATAAGGTAACATTCCTCCAATAAGAACGATTCCAGTTAACACAGTGGCGCCAAATAAGAGCATGTAAAAGAAATCAGCTGTCTTTCCCCTAAAAGAATTCTCTTCAAGAAGCTTGCAGTACCGAGCAAGAAAGAACATGTGGAATAAGAAGTCCAGATCTGCAATCAAATAGGAACAAAGAGGTAAAGCTTAAATTAGCGGAGTTGCAGCTAATTGTGGGCATAAGTAAATCTCAGATTATTTGAGAACTGTTCAGATGTTCCGTGCTGAAGGCCATTGCTCTCAAGAATCTTCTCAAAAGCATTGACATTTAGGAGACAGAGGAAAACCAAAATGACAAGCAACCCCTTTGCCCAATCAAGCTGTCTGTCCAACTTGCAAAATCAAAACTTGAATTTATAATACCCTGTGAATAATGAATGTATGTCCACTTTCAAGGATGATCCCATAGGGAAGGGTAAACCTAATTCCTTTTCAGGGTTCTTTTTTTCTGCTAAAGGCAGTCGGTAGCACATTCATAGGAGGCACACATACACTGATGAACAGAATAGATCATGCATGGATAGAGCATGGTGCAGGTTAAATAGTTCATCTATTTTTCCTTCAAGAAACTGGGTAAACCATGCCTACTGACTGAGAGTTTGTAGATTAAAAGATACGCAAGTTACTCGAGCGTATCATGAGGTAATGAAGCTCCAAGATAGAGGACATTTTCTCTAAGGAATCCATTTCAATAGTACGTGAATCAAGATAATGACGATGATTATGATGACGTGAACATGAAATTTTTAGACTGAAAGCTTTACTCCAAGTAACATCATTAACTGTGTAAGTACTTTTGTATCATCGTAACAGTGCCAATTCACCCACATCTTCTAACATATGCGGACATGAGCTCAGGACTTTACCCATCTTGCGGAAGTACAAGAAATTGGTGACGAGGCGCCATAACTGATATTGCTTGAACACAAGCCTCGGATTCAAGTAGAGGTTATAAGGTGATATTATCTGCACAACCCGAAAAAGCAAAACTGCCATCAAACGCAAAATCAAGTTGCCAATCCGGAACACAACTAGTTGGCACGGGCAGAATTGTAAGACAGAGATTGACAATTTAAGAGTAAATACAAGATTTTGACTCCAAAAAGCCCCACAACCAAACCTCCTTCACAACCCAAGGTACCATTATTCACTCACCGAACAGCCGGCACTTCGCATAGAATCAATCGATCAAATTACCAAACTCCCAACCACACATTCGAGCAACAGATACAAAAAAAAAAACCCACCGAAACTTCACGGACGAAAAATCTTCAAAACGCAACAAACCCACCAAAGATCAAGCTCCAATCCGTCGACCCAGTTGCAAGAAACCCACAATTAACAAACAATTCACCGAATAACCAATCACCCCCGAACCCATCGCGACACACGAGAGAAAACAAGAAGCAGCCAAATACAAAATCTTTCACTCGACAGCAAGAACAGAGGGGGGCATCAGCCGAGAGGCGGGACCTACCTCGAGGGAGCAACCGATGGTGGTGACGATGGCGGCGGTGAGGTAGGAGCGAGTGATGATGGGCATCTGCTTGTACCATTCTTCCACTGCCTGAGCCATTCTTTCCCCCCCACACCCTCCAAACCAAACCAAACCAAACCGACAAACCAAAAAGAAAACAACAACCCACCCACTACCTTATTCTCCCCGAACTCCAACCAACGACCGATGACCAGCTCGACGGTTCTTGATTCCCTGGGTCTGCGCGAAGCACTCGCAAGAGTCGACGGGAGAGAGAGAGAGAGGGAGAGAGAAGGGGATCGAAATCAAGAAAACGAAACTCAATCCGTACGTGATTCCGGCTTTTTCTTTTTCTTTTTCTTCTTATTTTTATTAATATTTTTTTTTATTTTTTCTTATTTTTCGTATGGACGTGGTAAAAGCTTCGGCTTTTGTTTTTTTTCCTCGTACTTTCCGATGAACGAAGGAGGGGAAAATGACGAGCATTCAGCGAATTGAACCCGCGCGTGACGCGCACGGGCCAATAGGCCGATTTTTCCCATCTGGGGAGAGTTCCTTAATTTTTGTAAATTTTCCATCTTAATTTTTTTTTTCCGAAGCCCTTCCGATGGATGTTCCCGTCGTTAAATAAAGGGAAAACGACATAAAGGATCCCTGAACGTTGGCCTAATATTGAAATAAGGAGCGTGCAAAATGGATTGCCCAAATCAGGAACCGCTCGGACCGGATCGGATCGAATCAACCGGTTGGGTCCGTTTCCCGGGAGTATCGATCCGGTTCCCGGTTCCTAAAAGTAGAACCGGTGTTCGGGCGGTCCCGTTCCCGATTCCAAGGAGGAATAGACCAAATCAAATTGACTACGTATACTTTTTTTTCTTATTTTTTTATTTCTTCAAAAAAATTAGTAAAATGTAAAGTAAACCCAAAGTGAACTTTATTGGCATAAATTCATTGACAAAATTTAGTAAAATGTGAACTGAACCCTAAGTGAACTTCATTGATATAAATTAGCAAAATGTTAACCAAACCCTAAAGGACCAGTTTCATTGGATCAAAATCGGAATTGGGAATCGATCACCCCTAATATACAATATCGCCCATGAACTTTTGAATTGTTCGAATTGGTCCTTGAATTTTAGCTTAATGTGCAATATCATCCCTAAACTTTTAATTTGTTCAATGTTTGGTCCTTAAACTTTTGGTACGCATTTAATTTAATCTCCAGACTATGTGAAAATGTGTAATATTGTCATTTCATTAATTCAAGTTCAGAGACGACATAGATAGTCTAAGAACTAGATTGAACACGTGTCAAAAGTTTATGGACCATATCGAATAAATTAAAAGCTCAGGGACGACACTACATATTAGGATAAAGTTCATGGATTACATTGAACAAATAAAAATTCAGGGACGACATTACACATTAGGTTAAAGTTCAGGGACCATCAGTGTAATCATTATCCCTTAAATAAATTTCTTTTCTTTCCTCAAATATACTTTCTAATAATTAAATCTGCGTTTTCTCGATACTTCTTCCATATTTTCATATTTGGCAGAAAGTAATCGAAGCATTTTTCAACAAAATAACAAGTGTGCTGTCCATAAAAGATATTGGATCTTAAAGAGAGAGATTATGATGGAAGATCCGAACTAGTCTCAAAAATTTAATTCGAATCATTTTAGGATAGGAAAGTATTGGAGATCTAAAGTTATCCGAACTACTTCTGAATTATGATGTGATTTACAAACCTTATGTATAAAAAGATATATGTGATTCTTTTTTTTTTGCCTATATCTATACTATATATAAAGCGAACTTTTAATTAGGTGTCCACCCTGCAAATAACTATAATAACCCTTCAATAAATCAAAGAGACGATATATTATTATGAATTTTATGGTGAAAATACACGTTGTATGTGACCAATTCCACCACAAGTTAGTCCACTACAAGTTGCATTAAATCACCATTCACCACTACTTCAACAATTTCACATTCATAAATTGCATGTCTTTCTTCTTTAATGTGCTCATGCAACAACAATGTAAAAAAAAACCCCGCTCTCCCATGAATAAAAATAACTTTTAGGTCATATCTAACTTTATAAGAGAAGCAATTTCACACAAAATGTACACAAAAAAATAATTGTCTGCACATAGCGCATGCATCGAAGCTAGTTTCGTTCGTAAAGTGAGTATAAATTGGGTATAATATCCTAAAAAACCTTCAATTTTAGCTTTTATTCCAATTTTACCTTTTGTCTCAAATTATACCATAAACTTTTTTTGATACTATAAAAAACCCTCAACTTTAGATTCAGTCCTAAATTTATCCTAAACCTTTTTTTGTCTTATGAAAAACCCTCAACTTTAGGTCTTGTCCCAATTTTACCGTCTACTCCCAGTTTTACCCTAAAATTTTTACAGTCTCATAAAAAACCGCAAACTTTTACTTGAGTCACAAAAGCCCCCATTAACCCTTCGTGCCGAGAGATGGAAAACTCCCAAGCACGAGCTATTCAAGTGTTCCAAGCGTGAGCTCTCCGATTACGAGAGATGGAACATTCCCAAGCACGAGAGATCGACAAGCGCAAAATCCTAGGAGCGATTTTAACGGAGAGTTAATTGAGAGCAGATTTAGGACTCAAGTAAAAGTTGGTGAAAAAATTAGAGTAAAATTGAAACTGGACTTAAGGCTGAGATTTTTTTACGAGATAAAATAATTTATGGTAGAATTGGTACTGGACCTAAAGTTGAGGATTTTTTATGAAATAAAAAAGTTTAAGGTAGAATTGAGACATGATCTAGAGTTTGGGGTTTTTTATGGAACAAAAAAAGTTTATGGTAGAATTGAGACATGACCTAAAGTTAGAGATTTTTTACGAGACAAAAGGTAGAATTGTGACAAAAGTTAAAATTTGAAGTTTTTTAGGGTATTAGGCCGTATAAATTGTAGATGAAGATTTAGTTTCCTTATCCATGAAATAGCAACCATAGATTAATGGAGTCGATTTACTCTTTCTCCCTAATTAACTGTCTAACTTTTCATAACCATGAAATTGTCTTTATTAGCACCAAGTAGGGCGAAAATGACCATTTCTTGATGGTTTTGGAAAGCTAAAAACGTAGGCGAGCTTGGACATTGAGGCTATCCTACCCTTTGCTAGGATGAGTAGATTCTTTTCCTAGCAATATAGGATCAAACCTATGGTTAGGATGTATTGCTTGGTCTTCTATTTCCCCAGTTCCAGTGCAAACTATTCTCTCATGATTTGTTTCTAGAATTGATGAGCATGATGTACTAGAAGAAATTTCATATGAAATTCTTAATTTTATAACTCTTATTAAATTTAATTTCTAATTCTCCATCTTCAAATTCGATAATCTTTTCGATTTCTTGATTATGATGAGGAAAATCCTATTTATACGGGGAGACCGGACATCTTCAACCTTGTCCTTCCCACACAGTTCATAGCACTCCTAATAAGTCCATTAAGATTACACCATTAATATACGTGATCCACTGGTAGCGTCCTCTTACCTATACTAGAAGATACGACTCGCAAAAGACACCGCGAAGTTTCGTCTAGGGGGAAAATTCCAAATAAGGATCTAAAGTACCCTCATTTTCTCAAATAAGGATTTGAAATGGATCTTGTTTCAAATAAGGGCACGAAAATATGTCAATCTCAAAAAAGGGCCTAATCTTACTGGCTAGGGCATTTCTGTGCTTTATTTTGTTTCTTTTTTTTCTTTCCTTTTCGCCGGTAGTTGATCTTAGGCGATGGCTAGCCACCAGCAATACCCGGAGAGGGCCGAGCAAGGCCACCCTCAAAAGCCACAGGCGAGGGCCGGTTTCACTTGGGCGACCCTCTCCGGCCACAAGCAAGGCCGGCTTTGCCTGGGCGACCCGTCACTAAACACTTCGTGTCCTTTTTCAAAACAAGATCCATCTCATATTTGAGAGAAAGTGAAGGCAATGCCCCTATATGGAATCTTCCCTCGTCTTAGTGATCCATCTCTCTCTCTCTCTGTTTTATTGCTGTTTTCATTAGTTATCCAGAAACGTACATAGAAGAATAGAAAGAGTCTTGAAAGAAAAGGAAAAATCATCCCGGCTTTAGAAATCTCTTAGCGGTGGCTTAATTGACGTGCTAGCGAAGTTTGCAGTGATAGACATAGCAATTTCTCGATCTTTAGATCAGTAGAAGATATATTGGACAGCTATATTTTGATTTGACATTTTGTAACGGATAAAGATATTTTTTTGTAACCAAGCATGGATAAGGGGTTCGGATCTTATAAACTACTTTATAAAAAAAAAATCAAACCTTGTAATATATTTCTCTTTCCACATGTGTATGCATAATTTCCCATTCTATCTCAACAAATACTTTTGGGAAAATGACATAAATGGTCTTTGAACTTAGGTTCAATGTGCGATGTGATCCCTAAACTTTAGCACAGCGTGCGATGTCATCCTTGGAATTTTAATTTGTTCGACGTGATTCCTAAACTAATATTACATATTCAATTTAGTCTATCGATTAGATAATCCAGAAACTAGATTGGCTATCGGGATATAATAATCGACGGAGTTGATTAAACAGTTACTGTAAAAGTTTAGAGACGACATTACACGTTAGGCTAAATTTAAGAGACACATCAAATAAATTAAAAGTTCAGAAATCGTATTACACATCCGGCATAAGTTCACGGACCTAATTTTAGCCGATTTCTTTACATCGATTAATGACACTCAACCACCCTCCCTAATGAAAAGGGCACTTGGGAGTTGGGCTTCGCGCCACATCGGGCCGGGCCCACCCGAAATCATCTGGAGAGGGTACGTGGCGCGCACGCGACAGCCCCTCCGCATTTTCAGGCATATTCTTTAATTTTCTCGAAAAAAGAAAAGAAAAAATAAAAAAAAAAACAGAAACAAACGGAAGCCACCACAATAAATTTGAAATTTATAAAAAACGCAAAATTGCTTTTCACTTTCGTCTCCTTCCTCGCCTTCTCTCTCAGCCACAACCACCCACCATGGCGTCCCTGCTCGCCAACGGCATCTCCTCCCGCTTCGCCGCCGCCGCCGCCCCCCCGCCGCAGCCCTCCGACCCGCCAAGATTCGCCAAAGGGTACGCCGCCGCCGGCCTCCTCCTCCGGCACCCGTCCCCGAGGCCGTCGACGGCCGGTCGGCGGCGGCGCCGCGGCGGCGGCGGCTGCTTCCGGGTCCGAGCCGACGTGGGCTACGAGACGACGAGGCGGCCCGACTCAGGTAACCCCCCCTCCACCTCCGCCACCGCCACCGCCACCGCCACCGCCTCCAGCTACGACGAGAAAATCGCCCAGATCCTGAGCTTCAACGATTACAACAAGAAGTACGGGTTCAACGTGGACATAGACTCGTTCTCCATCCCCAAGGGGCTGTCCAGGGAGACCGTGCGCCTGATCTCCGAGCTCAAGGGGGAGCCCGAATGGATGCTCGAGTTCAGGCTGAGCGCCTACGACAGGTTCTTGAAGATGAAGGAGCCCAAGTGGTCGGACAACGCGTACCCGACCATAAACTTCCAGGACATGTGTTACTACTCGGCACCCAAGAAGAAACCCACCTTGAACAGCCTGGACGAGGCCGACCCGGAATTGGTCAAGTACTTCGACAGGTTGGGTATCCCTCTGAACGAGAGGAACCGGCTCGCGAACGTCGCGGTCGACGCGGTTCTCGACAGCGTCTCCATCGCGACCACGCACAGGGAGACGCTGAAGAAGGCCGGCGTGATCTTCTGTTCGATATCCGAGGCGATTAAGGAATACCCGGATCTTGTCAGGAAGTATCTGGGGAAGGTCGTGCCTAGCGAGGATAACTTCTATGCTGCTCTGAATGCTGCGGTGTTTAGTGATGGGTCGTTTTGTTACATACCGAAGGACACGAAGTGCCCGATGCAGATTTCGACTTATTTCAGGATAAACGCGATGGAGACCGGGCAATTCGAGAGGACCCTGATAGTGGCGGAAGACCGGAGTTTTGTGGAATATCTGGAGGGGTGCACCGCGCCGTCTTATGATCGGAATCAGCTACACGCCGCCGTGGTGGAGTTGTATTGTGCCGAGGGCGCGGAGATCAAGTACTCCACGGTGCAGAACTGGTACGCCGGGGATGAGGAAGGGAATGGAGGGATCTACAATTTTGTCACAAAGAGGGGCCTTTGCGCAGGAAATCGCTCGAAGATATCTTGGACGCAGGTGGAGACGGGGTCTGCCATTACTTGGAAGTACCCAAGTGTAGTTTTGGAGGGTGATGATACTGTGGGTGAGTTCTATTCTGTAGCATTGACTAATAATCATCAGCAGGCAGATACAGGAACAAAGATGATACACAAGGGGAAGAATACCAGGAGTAGAATTATTTCGAAGGGTATTTCGACTGGATTCTCGAGAAATTGCTATAGGGGGCTTGTTCAGGTCCAGTCGAAGGCGGAAAATGCTCGAAATTCTTCGCAATGTGATTCCATGCTTATTGGTGACAAAGCTGCTGCCAACACCTATCCGTATATCCAGGTAAAGACATTTCCGACTATTCTGTTGAACAGCTTGGTTACTGATTATGCTAGTACTAGTTAGTCATCCTATGCAGTATGGTATGTCATTATCATGTTGATGACTTCACTGGGATCTGAGTGGCTATTTTCCTGAAGTACATTGATGTCATTGACCAAGTTCTTGTGAGTTCATTCTATTAGTTTTCCGGTTTATCAATTAAGGAAAAGCTTTATAGGAAAGACATCTAATAAGAATGCGGTTCATCGACAATGAAGGTAACAGTTTCAGTGTCTAATGTGTGGTCGAAAATGATTCTATTTCCTTAAAAAGTTATTGAGATTGTTCATCTGGTAGACATGTGGTAGAGGGTCCTGACTCCTAATTGTCAATACCAATGGTGATGAGAGCACTACGTTGATTGTGGGCCATGGGCCACCAATTGATGGCATTGGTGGTAGCATGCAGCCAATATTTTGGGAATCACTGGCTACGGGTGGTGGCAATAACAGGGTTTCAGCCACTCTCAGTGAGAGTGGTGGAGCATTAAGCTGAAAGTGTTCTGGAAAAAAGAAATCTCTCTTTATAGCAAAAAAACTACTTTCACAAGCCGACTTTTTAACCTGTGCAAAACAATCAACGAGAAAATTGTATTCTTCTGATTTTGAGGTTAGAAATGGGACCTTTTACCTTTAGTTTGTTCGTTTAGGTGAATATCTTGGACATTTGATTTTGATACCCTTTGGGCTGTCCAAGATGACTTTCTGTTATTACCCTGATGAGGCCGCTGTATAAATCTCTGGCATTAATGGCATTTGCATCGAAACAATCTTGTGTTTTCTTTTTTATTTTGCCTTTGTAATCTATTTGGAATGGATTGGATTAGACTTTGCCTAGATGCCCAAACCACAAGGGCGATAAATATGACTATAAAATCCAAGTAGTGACCGTATAACAGTAGGATTGCCTATATAAGGCAACTTTTAAATGGTCATTTCTTTACTTGATTCACTTCCTTCCCTGGAAACTGAGGTTTCCCTTCCGACAATCCAACTGAATATTTGACTTGTGGAGATACATCAGGAGATATTTTTTTTATCCCAGGGCTTTACCATATTGGATAAACAGCTTTGGATTTTAAGAGCTCATGGTGCAGTTATTGATAGTCTTGTCTGTCTATTGTCAGCACTAGTGGAAATGTGGCAACTGATTATTTAGTCTCTGTAATATCAGTTAACTAAACAGTATTCTTATAGATATTTGGTGAATATGTTCCTTTTACTTTCTTGGTGCCTCACCATACTGTTAAAGAACTCGTCAGATGCTTACTTTGACTCGGCACGTGCTGCTTGGATGATTCTTTGGTGTTGCATTTTGTTTGCCAGGCTTTTTAGCTTCTCTCACTGTATTTGCAATGAAATAGTTAATGATTGGTGGATCGCCAGTGTTTTGAAGGCGCCAGTAACTGATTACTATTATATAAAACTGCTGCAACAATTGAGGCACTTCGAAAAGTTCATCCTGGAGAGTGCTTTTCGGAATTAATTTTGAATGTAGGCTGCTATGGAGGACTTCAAAATGGTGTTTTCACCTATCTTTATGTTTTCTTGATCTTATCCGGTTATACCTTTTAATGCAGAACCTTTATATATCTGTTAAACGTGTTCTCGTTTAGAACATGCTCAAAGTAGTTTTATTTTTGCCAGAAACTGAGCATCGTCCTGCGATTAGGACTAGTTTTGTTTGACCAGGGAATTTCTTTCCCCCTTTTGTTCAAAGTGCATAAACATCTGCACACATTTAAAGCGTATCCATTTGTCTTATTGGCTGCCTTGAATGCATAAACGTTTGTTTTCCATCTGTCAGGTTAAAAATCCCACGGCTCGCATCGAGCATGAGGCGAGTACCTCGAAGATTGGCGAGGACCAGCTATTCTTCTTCCAGCAGAGGGGAATCGACTACGAGAAAGCCATGGCCGCCATGATCTCCGGGTTCTGCCGCGACGTGTTCAACGAGCTCCCCGATGAGTTCGGTGCCGAGGTGCACCAACTCATGAGCTTGAAGCTTGAGGGATCGGTGGGTTAGGCGGTGGCAAAGTTCTTGTCTTGTAAATTTTGGCTGTAACTGTTACTTACATATAGACTGTGCATGTAAAAGTCACCTATGTGATCCTCTGTGAGCTTCTGGCAAGCTTCTTTGAACAAGGGTTAATAATGTAAATGCACCATCTAAGGAGCACTGTCACCATAATTTTGAATCAAAATGGTTTTCCAAAGTTGTTGGGTCTTTTTCTTTTGTTTCTTTGTTCTTGGTGAACTTAGGTTGCCAGAGTTACAGGCATTTTACTGGTGCTTGGACATGTGCAAAAAAGGCCAGAGATTTCTCATTGATCTCTCTGTTTTCCCCCCTTTGTATGCACATGTCAGAGCTACACGAGAGAAAAAGCTACTGACCTATATGAAGATGTATCAAAGGAGGAAGAAGGCTGATTAATGCAAGGATGCGCTGTCTATTTGCAACACATAAAACACACGTCTCTACTCTATCCCCTAATCTTGTTTGATTCAATTATTTTGGCCAGGTTCAAAAATTTTAGTTGTTTTGACTAAATTTAACACTGGATAATTTTCTTTTTTATTATTTGAAGATGTTTTAAATGTTGACTTTGATAGCATTTGAAACCAACATTTGCAGGATAATCGCAGGATAATCGCAGGATGAAACTAGTCCTAATTGCAGGACGATGCTCAGTTTCTGGCAAAAATAAAACTACTTTGAGCATGTTCTAAACGAGAACACGTTTAACAGATATATATAAGGCTTCTGCATTAAAGGGTATAACCGGATAAGATCAAGAAAACATAAAGATAGGTGAAAACACCATTTTGAAGTCCTCCATAGCAGCCTACATTCAAAATTAATTCCGAAAAGCACTCTCCAGGATGAACTTTTCGAAGTGCCTCAATTGTTGCAGCAGTTTTATATAATAGTAATCAGTTACTGGCGCCTTCAAAACACTGGCGATCCACCAATCATTAACTATTTCATTGCAAATACAGTGAGAGAAGCTAAAAAGCCTGGCAAACAAAATGCAACACCAAAGAATCATCCAAGCAGTACGTGCTGAGTCAAAGTAAGCATCTGACGAGTTCTTTAACAGTATGGTGAGGCACCAAGAAAGTAAAAGGAACATATTCACCAAATATCTATAAGAATACTGTTTAGTTAACTGATATTACAGAGACTAAATAATCAGTTGCCACATTTCCACTAGTGCTGACAATAGACAGACAAGACTATCAATAACTGCACCATGAGCTCTTAAAATCCAAAGCTGTTTATCCAATATGGTAAAGCCCTGGATAAAAAAAATATCTCCTAATGTATCTCCACAAGTCAAATATTCAGTTCAGGGCAGTATTGGATTGTCGGAAGGGAAACCTCAGTTTCCGGGGAAGGAAGTGAATCAAGTAAAGAAATGACCATTTAAAAGTTGCCTTATATAGGCAATCCTACTGTTATACGGTCACTACTTGGATTTTATAGTCATATTTATCGCCCTTGTGGTTTGGGCATCTAGGCAAAGTCTAATCCAATCCATTCCAAATAAATTACAAAGGCAAAATAAAAAAGAAAACACAAGATTGTTTCGATGCAAATGCCATTAATGCCAGAGATTTATACAGCGGCCTCATCAGGGTAATAACAGAAAGTCATCTTGGACAGCCCAAAGGGTATCAAAATCAAATGTCCAAGATATTCACCTAAACGAACAAACTAAAGGTAAAAGGTCCCATTTCTAACCTCAAAATCAGAAGAATACAATTTTCTCATTGATTGTTTTGCACAGGTTAAAAAGTCGGTTTGTGAAAGTAGTTTTTTTGCTATAAAGAGAGATTTCTTTTTTCCAGAACACTTTCAGCTTAATGCTCCACCACTCTCACTGACTTTGGCTGAAACCCTGTTATTGCCACCACCCGTAGGCAGTGATTCCCAAAATATTGGCTGCATGCTGCCACCAATGCCATCAACTGGTGGCCCATGGCCCACAATCAACGTAGTGCTCTCATCACCATTGGTATTGACAATTAGGAGTCAGAAGTCTCTACCGCATGTCTACCAGATGGACAATCTCAATAACTTTTTAAGGAAATAGAACCATTTTCGACCACACATTAGACACTGAAACTGTTACCTTCATCGTCGATGAACTATTCCCAGACCAAAGCACTTTTCCTACGGACACAATCTCGAAACAAACACACTCTTAATGTCATCTGACAACCCCACCATTCAGTCTTTACAACAAGGACGGCACCAACCAGTATGGAAGGTGCCCTGACTGAACATTAAAAATAGAACGAAGTATGCGAACCGCATTCTTATTAGATGTCTTTCCTATAAAGCTTTTCCTTAATTGATAAACCGGAAAACTAATAGAATGAACTCACAAGAACTTGGTCAATGACATCAATGTACTTCAGAAAAATAGCCACTCAGATCCCAGTGAAGTCATCAACACGATAATGACATACCATACTGCATAGAATGACTAACTAGTACTAGCATAATCAGTAACCAAGCTGTTCAACAGAATAGTCAGAAATGTCTTTACCTGCATATACGGATAGGTGTTGGCAGCAGCTTTGTCGCCAATGAGCATGGAATCACATTGCGAAGAATTTCGAGCATTTTCCGCCTTCGACTGGACCTGAGCAAGCCCCCTATAGCAATTTCTAGAGAATCCAGCCGAAATACCCTTCGAAATAATTCTACTCCTGGTATTCTTCCCCTTGTGTATCATCTTTGTTCCTGTATCTGCCTGCTGATGATTATTAGTCAATGCCACAGAATAGAACTCACCCACAGTATCATCACCCTCCAAAACTACACTTGGGTACTTCCAAGTAATGGCAGACCCTGTCTCCACCTGCGTCCAAGATATCTTCGAGCGATTTCCTGCGCAAAGGCCCTATTTGTGACAAAATTGTAGATCCCTCCATTCCCTTCCTCATCCCGGCGTACCAGTTCTGCACCGTGGAGTACTTGATCTCCGCACCCTCGGCACAATACAACACCACGGCGGCGAAGTGAACACAGAAGTGAAAATTATCTTAGCTGCGACTGTAATTATATATGATAGATTTTTTGAGTATGGGGAAAATTTTATTTTAAATTAGAATATATAAGAGATTAATGTAAGAGCGGTGCTATTTCCTCGCTCTGGCTCCGTTCGTTTCGCGGAAAATATTGTGTTTTTGGAAAATATTTTCCCAAAAATCATTTTCCTAGAAAATGTTTTTCGGAAACACAATTTTCCGGTGTTCGGCTGAAATATGAAAAAGTTTCGGAAAATATTTTCCGGTGTTCGGCAACGATCGCCGCCGGCTGTGTTCTTTTTCCTTCTTCTTCTCCGGCAGGTTGCCGACCACGGCCGACATCCGTCGACCAGCCAGAGGCGAGCTCGAGCATTGCCACAGGCCGGCGAGGCCCCAGCTCGCCCGGCCGGCGACCTGGGCGAGGTCGAGCTCGCCCGAGGTCGCCGGATCCCGCGACCTCGCCCAAGCTCGACCTCGCCCAGGTCGCCGACGCGTCCGGGCGAGGCCCGAGCTCGCACGGCCGGCGAGCTCGGGCCTCGCCAGATCCGGCGACCTGAACCTCGCCCGAGGTCGCTGGCCGTGCGAGCTCGGGCCTCGCCGGACGTCGGCGAACCTCGCCCAAGGTCATCGGCGAGGCTCTGGCGAGGCCGAGCTCGCCGGTCGCTGGCCGCCGACTGGCAAGAAGCAGAAGCAACAAAAAAAAAAATAGGGAAGAAGAAGCTTCGGACTTCCGGAAAATGACTTCCTCAAAATTGTGAAGGGCTTGGGGGTGGGTTTGGAAAATATTTTCCCACGGAAAACATTTTCCGCCTCCGAACACCGGAAAACGCGAAAAATATTTTCCGGAAAAATATTTTTCCGAAAACAAACACAGCCTAAAAGACTAAATCCACCCCATTTATATTGAAAAGACAAAACTGCCATCAATCTTTCAATTAAAGTTTTAGGAAATGGCTTCACTCTTTCTTTCTTTTTTCTTATCTATTTTTATTTAAATAGTTACCATAATTAAGCATTTCACAAGTTTTGTTTTTTAGCCTATTAAAAAAAGTGAATTCTTAGACATTCCTATAACGTTTACATGATCCGTGTAAAATTATCTTACTGATACTAAGAAGAAAAGACATTCTTTGATATAGTATAAAGCCGAAAGGTCTCTTCTTTATCATTGATCTTATAATAGCCTATTTATTTTTTGTCCCTCTCATATCAAAAGCTCACTTTCTTGGTGAACTTTTTATTAATTTTATTAGTTTAAAATATATATCAAGTCTCTTTATCTACTAAATCAAAAAATTTATATTTTTTCCTTATTATATTGGCGAGATAGTTTTATACAGAGCATGTAATATGTTTAAAAGAAAATCTAGGACTACATTAAAAAATCATACACAACGAGATATCTTGATATATATATATATATATATATATATATATATATTTTGTAAACAATTCATGGATGATATTAATTTTCATCAATCCAAAATAATGAAATTTCACCGGCATTTTCAAAAAAAAAATTCTTACTTTATGTAATGTTTTAATTTTAATTAAATTTCATCTACTTTACAATTTATCCATAAATTTAATCGACAACATAGAAAAGAAGTAGATGTTTTTTTTTTGGAAATTTTATTTTTCGACAAAACAAATATTTATGGAAGTAATAACTTACAATAAAAAAAGACATCTTGCCTTTACTATACATGGAAAAGCTACGATGAGCAAAACTAAAAATATGAAATTAGTAAGGGTTAATATAATGAAAAATCCAAGCTGATATATTTATGGCAAATTCATTCAAAACTAATTTTTTTAGGGAAAAAATCACCAAAAACCCCAAACTTTGCCACCTGTGACACATTTATCCCGAACTTGTTTTTTGTAAAACCAAAAACCCCAAACTTTGCTTTTGGTGACACATTTACCCCAATGTATTTAGTCCATGGACATTTTCGTCTTTTTTGCTTTTTCTTTTTTTTTTTCCTTTCCTGCGAGGGCCCCCCTCGCCGGCGTCGGGCGAGCGAGGGCGGCCCTCACCCGATCTGGCGAGGGCGACCCTCGCTGGCGTTGGACGAGGGTCTCCCTAGCCTGGGCGAGCGAGGGCGGCCCTCACCCAACTCAGGCGAGGGAGACCCTCTCCGGCGTCGGGTGAGGGTCGACCTCGCCTGAGTCGGGCAAGGGCCGCCCTCGCTCGCCTAGGCGAGGACGACCCTCGCTCGACGCCCTCGCCGGAAAGGAAAAAAAAAAAGAAAAAGCAAAAAAGACGAAATTGTCCATGGACTAAATACATTGGGGTAAATGTATCACAAAAAGCAAAGTTTGGGATTTTTGGTGTCACAAAAAAAGTTCGGGGTAAATGTGTCACGGGTGGCAAAGTTTGGGGTTTTTTGTGGTTTTTTCCCATTTTTTTATTACCAAAAACTTTACACTTATACACCTGTGACAAATTCACCCTCCGTTAGTTTCCGTTAAATTTCACCATTAGAGTGCTGAATTGGATAACAAGCGGGATTTTTTTTTTGTCAAAAGAGATTTCTATGCATTACCAAAATGATATATGATACAATCCAAAGGAAATCTCAAAAGTCACCATAACAAGACATGCCTTAAAAACTCCAAAACAAACCAAAAATCAGAAATCAAGGTACATCATCAAAGCATGGTTGACAAAGATAATCGCATGCCTATCCTTCGAGAATATATCTGCGACTGCATCCAAGCAACAGGATTGGTGGCCGATCACCGAATCATATATCTTCATCAGTGTTGAGCACATGGCGTGATCTTCATCTGTAGTTACGGTTTGCCTTTCGGCGGTGTGCGCCAAGGTTCGGCGTCCCCAACACCATTACCGTACGGAGACAACATAAACATGTTAAACAAGCTCAGATCTGACACCTGTAAGAACAATCGGCAGTTGATAGATGTACCAGTTTGTGATTCTATCATTCATTTGTCATAAGTATATTAATTTGTGATTTTTCGTGATATTAATCAAATTAAACGGAAATTAATGGAGCCTTAATTTATCACAAATATACCAGTTTGGAGTTTTTGGTTTGCAAAAAAATTAGATTTGGAGTAAATTTATCATAAATATATCAATCTAGGGTTTTTAATGTCCAAAAAATCAATTTGGGGTAAATTTGTTTCTATAGCAATTTGGGGTTTTGTTTTGTCATCTGCTTCCGCTGGGGCTTTAGGCGTTTTCCTTACTGGTACTTCCTCGACTGCAACCCGTTCGACGAATTGTCTGAAACAATGGGGCGCAAGACTACGAAGAAGTCGGCGACCTTCCGGTTGATGTCCCGCGACTCCTCCGCCGACGACGCTCCCGGCGACGACCGCATCTTCGTCCGCGTCGACAACAATCCCTGCTCGATCGGTACCTCGGCGGACGCCGGCAACGACGACGGCGATGACGATCCGATGTCGATGATCGCGGACGCGCCCGGCGACTGCGACGACGGCGGTGGTGGCAGCAGCGACGATGGCGCTATGTCGACGTCGCGGTTGCCGGACCATATCAGGAGGGAGATTCTGGAGCTCGGGTTTCCTGACGATGGGTATAATTACTTGTGGCATTTGAGGGAGATTAGGAATAAAGGCGGCGGTTCTGCTTTTTATCAGAATCCTAAGGCCAGGCTTGATCTGGTTCCGAAAGATGTCAAGGTTGGTCTCCTTGATTTTGTGGTATTCTCTGTTTTGTTTGCAAATCTTAGTGTTCTTGTTTAAGGTTAATGTAAATGTGCAGCATTTGAGATGGTGGGTGTTCTGCTAGAATGATTTTCGACCAGAAGAAGAGTCAAAACCTGACCTTGAGCGGCCTCCCCTGTCTTATCCTTAGCCTAGAAACTTCCCTAATCTCAGTGTTTGGGATATGCTTCATGAGGACCAACTATATTCAACTTACTTGATTTCGGGCTTACGATGCTTCGCGTGCACAAGTTCATAAAGCAGAAGGTGATCCTCACGATAAATCGATTTATAGTGTTGCAGCCAATAGTGTTAATGTGAGAGTACAGAAAGCCATTGATCCTGAAGTCGCTGCATTACTCGATGATAGTGACCTCTCGCGGTTTGGCTCTGAAGTTGAGGACTTGGAAGAAGATTTTGTTGTTTGAGCAAACCATCTTGAAGGCGAGGACGGTATTGTGGAGGAAAATTTGCAATATTCCGGGATGCCTGAAGTGATGGGGAGAGTCATTAATGGATCAGACACTCCTGCTGGTCAAGAGAGACAAATTGACAATGGCTTTCCTCATGAAATAAGAAGTCGGTTTGTGGAAAAAATGACGACTTTGACGACGAGAAGCCACAAGAACGTCGTCTGCTGGATGAGCAATTTGATCTTGTAAGTTTTTTTAATTTTCCCTCATGCCAGTATATGCTTTCTAGATTTTGATAATTGGTTTGATAAGTGGATGAGCTGATAAAACTGTCTCTCCGACAAGTTTGTGAAAAAGAACGAATTGGTTTAATGCATAAACACCGACAGTCGAAATGACATGCTTTCAGCTCTTAGCTTGCGGATATTAGATTCACAGATTCTGCTGTCGCTTCCCTTTTCGGTGAATGATGGTGAATCCTCCTTTTAGTCTGCTGCCTGACTGCAGGATAATGGCAGAGGCGGATATAATTTGTTGGATATCACTTGACATTTTGTGCTTTGTTGTTAAAAGTGCACTTGATGGGCTGACAATCCATTACCCTAGTTGGACTGCCTTACTGATTTTTAGCTACGGTCTCTCTCTCTCTAACCATTGTGGTTGGATTTGGTTACACCTTTTCTCCCCTTTTTAGAAGAGTATATTGCTGGTATGGTCTGTGTAACAAGATTCCTGCCATCTTCTAAGACCTAGCCTTGAGGTGATTTTCTGCATGCACTTGTTAGGAGATTTTGAAATTGTGTGGTTGGGCTGCTTTTGCTTAAAAAAAAAAAGAGTATTGGTTGGACCTTATCATCCTAATCCATGAGGTTCTTCTTCGACTCAGAGCACATTAACGCTACCGTATACTGTCCGAGTCCTTGTGATGTTGGTGTCTTTGACTCTATTTCTGTGAGTACTTATACTGGTCTGAATGGATGTTGAGCATACCTTGTGATAAAATTGTCCGCTGAATTTGTGGGAAAAGTCTGAAGATAAGTTCAGATGAAACTAGTTGCTTTTTTGGTTCATAAGATGCTGGAAATTGTTGGAAATTGTGCATTTTGGCCTGAGTTGTAGCCTCATCAGACATGGGAATCGACAGTAACTCAGACAAGTTCTTTTTATTACTCTTTGTCTCCTCCGTGCTCGTTTCGCCTTCTTAAATGCTGAAATTTCTCTAGTGGTAGCGGAATTCCCATGAGCTAGTACTATTCAGCTGATAGTTGAACTGATTTAAATCCGTTTCTTTCACTGATATCTGATGTTTTTCTCTTTTATTGTTTGAAGCTTGAACGTCAGGAGTATGGATCTGAGGATATTGAGGATGATGGTTATGGTGGTTATATGGCTGAAGAAGATGAATCCCTTGCTCTGAAACTCAAACAGGCGTTTGATGACAAAGTTGTGGATGACTTGGAAATTGATGACAATTATAGAGTTCCAGCTGATTTATTGAAGGAAAATGAAGTGAAAAGCAAACAGCTACAGGATTTTGCTGCAGATTTGATCCGTCGTTGTGTGGAATATGCAGACAAGTATGAAAATGAGAATGACGACAAAGAAGTAGTTATTTTTGAAGAAAGTAGTGATGAATCTGAGGTGTGGGACTGTGAAACTATGGTCTCTACATATTCGAATCTTGATAATCACCCAGGCAAAATTGAACCACCTGAGGTAGCCAGAAAGAAGATATTGGCCGGTATAATTTCTGTTGCTTTAGGTGCGAATCCGTTAATTCCCCTCAACGGAAAAGAAAAAACTTCCTGTTGACTATTTGCCTTGGAGCATGAAATCTTCAGCGGAAAAGATTCAGGGTGGCAGTGTGTCAAGGAATGAGCAGCCTAGGAGGAAACAAGTTCAAGAGTCAAAGGAAGAGAAGAAAGAGCGCAAGGTAAGTACCCACTTCTTCTTTGTTTTTCTTATCGACAATTTTTTTTTAAGCCATTTGAGTTTCATCCCTTTGTGCAACATTGTTGCTTTGACTAGAGGGAGAGGACTTCTGTATGGTGTAATTCAATTTCTGGCCCTTAAGAGAGAGAGTGGTTCCTTCAATTGTATCCTATCGTTTAAGATGTTCATCTGAATATAAATGCAGGCTGCTGTGAAGGGAGGAAAGGCGGGAAGCACATTGCATGAAAAAGGAAATGAAGGGGCTTTACAGGTGTGAAGCGCAGCGGCCGCAAGAAGTGGCTGCCATCACTGGGCCGTCTTCCATTCCTCTCGTGTAGTTAAGTTGGAGTGTTTCCACCTGTTGGACGGGGTCGAGTCTGATGGGGCGAAGAGCTGAAGGTTTGCATACCCTCTTTTCTCCAAGGGATGGTGTGGCTACTGGAATCGATAGGCTGTAATGCTAGGGTATTTAAGTTTTACTTATTTACACATTGGAACATTGTAGTGTAGCTGCACAGGAAAAGCATGGTGGTTGTGGTGTATGCCTCCTGAACGTGGATGAGAATAGAGGGTAGAAAAATATTTTGTTTCAATTATTTATGTTATTTCATACCATAGTCAAAAGTTTTCAATGCGACTATACTATTTTTTTATTATGAAAATGTAACGATTCTTATCGGAATGTCTCAATTTGTGTCCGGAGTCGTGTTTTTACTAATGCCGCAACAGGAAGCGACAGACCGAGTAGCTTCCTCGTTTATTGCAACACCCAGATCATGAAGCATGGAAGAAACGGTCGTGTCGAAGAAGCTGAGTTCGTCTTCTAACGGATGCCCTTGAAGAATACCATTTCTTGGACTGCCATGCTCACCGTGTATGCAGACAATGGGCGGATTCGTAAAGTCCAGCAGATGTTCGACGAAATGCCCGAGAGATACTGCTTCGTATAATGCTATGATCACTGCCTTGCATTCGCAACAATTGGAATGTTGATAAAGCTTGTAAGTTGTTCGCCGAGATTCCTGACCGCAATACGGTCTCTTACGGTGCCATGATTACAGGGTTTGTTTGGGCAGGGAAGGTAGACGAAGCGAAAGAACTTTACCTTTCGATGCCGGTCAAGTGGCGAGATCCCGTGTGCTCGAACGCATTGATAAGTGGGTATTTGAAGTTGGAGGCAACTCGAAAAGATGCGGTTTGGGTTTTTGAGGGTATAGCACAAAGAGATGTCATTTCCTGGAGCTCTATGCTGGACGGATATTGCAAGAATGTTGGTGTTGGTGCTGCCGGAGAGTTCTTCGCCAAGATGCCGGAGCGAAATGTTGTATCTTAGACTGCTATGACTAATGGGTATATGAAGATAGGGCATTTCGAATGCAGTTCTGATCTTTTTCTGATATGAGAAAGGAAGGAACGGTAAGGGCGAATCCTACGACACTTACTGTTTTGCTTGAAGCTTCTGGTGACTTTGGGAGGTGCCCAAGAAGGCATTTGGATGCGCGGATCAGTGTTTCAACTTGGACTTGAATTTGATTTGTTTATAGGAAATTCCATTATCAAAATGTACTCTAGTTTTGGCTGTGTAGATGATGCTAAAAGGAATGAAGTCACATGGAATAGTTTCATCTCTGCTTATGTCCAGAATGATAGTATTGAAGAAGCCTATCGTCTATTTGCAAAGATGCCGAGGAGGGATGCATGCAGTCTCCTGGACAACCATTATTTCAGGATTTTTTGGAAATGGAATGATCGATAGACATCGCCTGCAAAAGATGACATTGCCTGGACGGCCATGACGACTGGTTTTGTGAAGAATGGCGAATTTGAGGAGGCATTCCATTGGTACAATTGAAATGCTTCAGAAAGCAATTGAGCAGCTCGTGCTAGGGGCTTCTGCTGGTTTGGCAACGCTGAATTATGGTGTGCAGATTCATGTTCAAGCTGTGAAGATGGACCTGGAGCCATGTCCTTTCTATGCAGAACTCATTCATATTGATGTACTCAAAGTGTGGAAGCGTTCCTGCTCAAAATGGATTTGGTACAGAAGCTCTCAGATTATTCAAAAAGATGCAGAGTGCAAGCCATGAGCCCAATGGAGTTGCATTTCTTGCCATTCTCTATGCATGCACTCATGTGGAAGCATGATTTTTCTGACCATGTTAGGTTACTAACCCTCGTTCTGAGTTGTTTACCAATCTTTATTTATCGCCCAATCGATTAGTATATAGCTAAAAGTTGGTAAGTTAATATGGAAATCACTTATTTGCCTAATATATAAAAATAGTCGATAATTTCATAAAAGCAAAGTTAACAAACAAGGCCAAAGTCATAGTTGATTTTTTTTTACCAAGGGTATTTCGACACTTACCTACATTTATTGAAATTTTATCAGCATGGAAACAAAATTCATATTTCTGGGTACAAAATATACAATCCTTCTTGCTATGCGACCCTTCAAATTATGATTTGCCCATTATTAGAAATAGTTCGATATTATTTATCGCATATCGATCCACAGGTTTTCAAATTTTTAAACCTAAAATTTGTCATTGAAAGTGGTTTTGGGTTTTTACACTATATAGAGAAAATAAATCCCACTTAGAACACATGAGATCATTATAGGACATAAAACAATTTACCCCAATCCAACTAGGGGAAAAATATCATGATACTTACACATTTTCCTCTTAAAATGTGTACTTACAACTTTATGTTTCCAATAAAACCTATTATTTATTTGAATCAATAAAATCCATAAATTCAAAATTAATTGCTGAATTTGTCATCCTTCTAAAAGATGACTTGGCTTATTTTTTTTTATTATTTTGTTTTGATGAAGTGTAGGTGCTAAATGATGGAATCAATCTATATACTGGTGAATATAAAAAAACCAGAAACTTTGCGCACAAGATTCCAAACGGGTTAGGTGTGCATCATTCTTATCCAACCGCCCACGGGTCTTGTAGCATCTTTCAAATCATGCCTAAGCTAAAATGTCTCCACTCGAACACCAAATTAGACACCTTTTTACTTCCCGTATCAAATACCCTCCCCGCATTTCGAAATTTGCAATCACCATATTCGATTTTTATAATAGATTTCAAATTATAACTCTCACCTGCACGTAATTTTTGATTTGTTTAATAACCCAATGTGTAATGTCTTTCCTTAACTTTAAATTTGTTCAATATAATTCCTGAACTTTTGATGCATGTTCAAACTAGTTCCTAAACTTTAGAAAAATGTTAAATGTTGTTCGTGAAATTGAATTAATGAAATAACAACACCGAACAATTTCATATAAACATATACAAAAAATCTGAGGGGCACGTTGAATAAATTGAAAGTTCAATAACCACATTGCACATTGGGCTAAAGTTTAGGGACCACATTGAATAAATTAAAAGTTTAGAGATCACGTTATCTGTTAGGTCAAAATTCACGAACCATTTATGTGGTTATCTCTTTTATTTTTCGAAAGTACACCACATCCGAAAAAACCGAACACCCTCCCACACAGGCTCTCCTCCTCTGCTCGTGGCTGAGCGTGCCTTTGACGACACTTAGAAATTAAAAGTCAAAGAGGCTGAGGCATGCATTTTTCACGTTGCGTTTTCAAGTCGCCTTCTTTATTTTTTTTTAAATAGGAAAATAAAAAAAAAAGCAGCTGCTCGAAATCTTCACTGGTTAATTACTAAAAAATAAGAAGAAAAAAAAATAGGGAGAGACCTTCAACAAACCACTCGAAAGCTCGTAATTTACGAATACATTATTTCTATTTCTTCTAGACTTATTCGGTGAAGGCTTTTCTAGTTAATGGAAGCCAAGAAAAAAATTAGAAAAAAGTCAACTTTGTTCATTGCTTTTTTGTTATTGTGGCGCATGATTGGGAAAATTATCAAAAAAGTCACGAACATATTGCATTTGTGCCAATTCAGTTCTAAACTTTTCAATTAACTAATTTAATCCTAAACATTTTGACAAGTTTGCCAATTTAGTCATTTCGGGCAATTTTTGCTATAAATCATCAGCCAACGAGGGCCTTGTGATCCTCGTGCAGTGGCTGGCGAGGGTCGGCCAGCAACCCTTGCAGGACTTCTTGGAAAAAAAAGGAAAAGAAAGGAAAAAAAGAAAAAATTATAAAGAAATTTCAGAATTTTTTTAAAAAAAATTATAAAAATTATCAACGTTTGCGCTAATCGTCCTACGTGGCCTTGTTAGCATCCACGTCAACAATTTACAACCAAAATTGATTGAAATGACTAAATTGATAAATTGTTGAAAAGTTTAGTACTGAACCGATATAAATGCAATAGATTTAAGACTTTTTAGTAATCTGCTCACATATCTCATTCCCCGAGTTAAACAGCAATTTATGTATTTATTTATTTATGCATTTATTTTGAACTTGAGAGTATCTCCAACATTTAAATATGCTTGTCTATTCTATCGTTTTCGGATGGTTGACGAATGAAGCGAACCTCTCAATGATTTGCTTATTTTAATGTCAAACGTTTAGTTGTCGACCTTGTGGACATGCACGCGTGCTATTGCCCCCCCTTTATACGTCACTTCTAATCTCTCTTTTTTCTCTTCAAACACTTCGATTAGACTAATGTCGTGTTGATGCGTGCACTCTGAAATGACAAGCATGCCTCGTTCGTATTGCCTTTACCTTAGCATCGTCGTCGGTTTGAACTTTCTAGTGAATATGAGTCTAACAAGGTAAATTAATAAACACAAACTTCAATTCATTTTGATGAATAATATTGCGATTGGAAAATCTTCAATTGATTAAACGACCGACATAAAATGTTACGGGAGAATAGACTCATTTTAAACGAGTCTATGAAGTCGATCATAGAGAAAAGAGCGGTGCCGACTCGATTAGGATTTTGTTAGCAGAGATGGAGCACGAATGTCTCGTATATTGATATTTGGCCTTGATCTATCCCTTCTCTACCCTGTGAATAGCTATACCTAAACTCTTTATTTTTCGACGTGAAGCTTAGTTAGGACGGGGCAACTGGCGCAGGTGCGTGAATTAGCTCTTTCCCTCGAAGGTTAGTGAAACTAAGGTCGTGACCTTATGATCCTCTAACGTGTTGGGACCAACATCAGGAACCATACTAATTTCTCTAGCCTGCCTAAGCTCAATTCTAGGACTTTTTATTTGTTATCTAATGATGGGTTTGTCGTAGTTCCAATGAACAAAACATTTGTCCCTACTCGATATACTTTATGATATAGCTTAAATGAATAGATCGAATTAGTAATCAAATGTTGTCGAGATGATGCAGGTTTGTATAGGTGTAACTGCAGGCGGCCCGGGCCAAATGCCTCCTTGCTTAGTTGATATCGGACCACGTTGACTATCCCAAGGATTTGGCACTTCACATGGACTAGTTGACAAGCGCACTCATAAAAAAAGATTACTCTAATTTGCGTTGAAAAAAGAAATGTGCGGAGTCATGCCTTATTGGCGACGTGGGCGATCATATCAATCGCGTTAAAAGATACGTACGAGCAGCTTGTATATACGTAAATTTCTTATTAGGATATACAGTGAAAATCTCACAATTTCTTGAAAATATTTTCTCTCGGATGGAACTTTTTTAGGGCAATGGCATGCCCCATGCCTGCCATTTGACTTTGCTTCCAACTCTACTGGTTCGACATAATTCACTAAAAAAAAAGGACATTACAAACGCAAATATATAAATAAATCAAATTGAGTGCCGTCTTGGTCCGGCCTGGTTCAATTTCCACTTAGGGGTGTCTTACAGCTGGAGACTATTGGATTCATAGTTTCCTCAGCATTACATGCATGCTATTCCAATTCAATATAATATGTGTCATTGACAATATTGCATAAGTTCATTTTAATCCTATGATTCCATGTGTTTATATTGTTAGTAAATGTGAATGACTATGATCGATATCTTAAACCCGATCCGCAAAATTGAAATATCAAGCAATGCGACGGATTGCATGCGAGCATTTGAATAAATGATTTATATGTATTAACACCCAAGTAAGAGTTTGCTTTATCTACAAAGATAACGACTTTTTAGATCGGTTTTCTTAGTATACCTCGTGTCACTCTTTATCGGGAAAAATTAGACCCATTGAAGAAACTCAGAAGAAGAAAAAGAGTAAATATTGATGAACATCATAATGTCTTTGAAGTGGAGTCTCCATTGATTCATCCGATCAACATCAATTTTATCTTATGATTAAACTTTAGGTCAAATCTTAGCACCCAAATGATGTAAGATTTTCAGGCCAAGTTTAGTTGTTTTTTCTCCACTTATTTAATGATTTATCCTAACGAACGTGAGTGCACATGCATTGGGCCTTCATCAACTGATGCAATGTTTACCTCCTACACTATAAAAACCAGCTGGTTTCCCACCCCTGGTTTCAAACTCCTCCAAAACACACTCCCTTCATCTTCAACCTCTTCATTGCCAATTCAACCAACAAGCTTGATTACAGGGATCGACAATGGCTCTTTCGAAGAAGCCGTATGCATACACAAGGATGGATTTCGAGGACCCGGAAGAGAAGAAGCACCGGAAAGCGCAGTTCCTGATCTACAAAGTGCTGGAGCGAGCCGATGCTCGGAGGAGGCCCTCGCTCCTGAGAGTGAAGTTGTGCAGGTTGAAGGTGAAGATCGGGCGGCAGTTGAAGAAGTCGAGGAAGAGGATGGGGCTGATGATTTCGAAAGCGAGACTCGCCATTTATAAGCAGCTCATGAGTCAATTGAGGAGCTTGGAAGCTCTCGTCTGGCCTTGTAAAGACCAAGTTATTGATCAGCCTCCACCCTTTAAAACTCTTTCTTGCAAAACTACCACGTAGTAGTATCCTTTCGTTTTGGTGTCTCATATTGTGTAGAATCTTGGGGTGGTGTTTGCTCAATTTACCTTTCTTTGCAGAAGGAAAAAAGGAAGGGGATTGTATATTACATATAAATCATACCAACAAGGATGTTTCGTTTCTTGTTTGAACTTTTTGAGATCATGAGCTCATCAAACTCAATTCAAATCTTGATTTTCTGCTTAAGATTTTCTTGGTGGTTGAGAAATGAATTGAAGTACGTGACCCCAAGAGACAAATAGTCAAACGATTAGGTGCCGAAGAGAAGCAGAAATAACCAAACTAATTTGAATAGTTCCCCACACTATGAAAATCAAACTACTTAGCACGCGAATAAATCGGTTTATTAACTTCTAGGATTGGTGAATCCTTCGATATGTCGGAATCGAATGAGATTGATCATAATAGCTTAGAATGTGTGATTGAGTCGCGGCGACTTTGCTTCAGAAGGATCGATTTCATCTTCGGTAGGAGGCTGTAATCGATATAGAAAGAACATGGGGTCAATCAAGGTAGTTTGCATCGTTTCAACGTGCCTGGAACATAGGTACTATATAATAAATATATGGTGTATATCAAGAAGTTATTACACGATTTATATATCATGTGGATCGATATCATTGGAACCATTGATTAAGTGAGTCCCGGAAAAGGGGACCCACATGATTAACGGTTTAGATGTACTTGGTCTACATGATCTAAACTATGTGACACTTTTTGAGTGGAGACAACATCTCTCAGAAATGCAAGTTAATGTCTTTTAAGACTCAAAATTCATATCGTAGTGGCTTCACGTCTGCCCTCGTCCTCAGCTCCAAGTCAAATTGCACGTCTGTTCTTAGTTGTCATCTTCCAAGGCAGATCACCATCTTTCCTTTTGTCCTTTTCCTTTGTGCCCCTCCATATGGTGGAAAGGGGAGAAGAAGCAAGGAGGGAAAATGGTTAACCCCCTAAAAATAATCTCGGAGAGGCTAGATCTGATCAATGAACGGGCAGTATCGAGTACCGGGTCTAGAAAAACTCTTTTCCAAGTCTGTCATTGATGAAATTAAAAATGACCCGGCGGACTGCTAGGCTCGAGAAGGGAATTGCTTACCCAGGCCTGCCCATTTGACCTTGTGCGCCGACCGAGCCCAACAAGCTGCCGAGCCCACATTTACATCTTATATGTGCCATATAAACGATAATGTTTTCATATTTCTTGCCGTCGCCGTGTGTCCTAATGACTCGATAGCATAGAAAAGATGCGAGGACGAATATGTGAAACACAACATTATAGGACTAAAACGGACTAAACCTGCCACCTCAATTTTCTCAACACAACGCAGTATTCTAACACGAATATCTCTCAGTACATCTAGATAGAGATCTTGTGATATTGCTAGTACCAGAGCTTCGAGATCAAATCTGGAAAAAGTCGCATCGAATCGAAGGAAGCTAGAGATTGGATCGTAATGTTAAGTGTAAGATATGCAGGATGACCGTCTCTTTTGTTAGTGTCCAATCTTCAAGTTCATTGTCTGATCTTTGAAGACAGAGTAGTTGAAACACCTCTATTCTCTCTTCCGTCGTAATGCACAATATGTTACATGCACGACCAGAGCGATATATGAGGCACGGACCTACCATTTCTGAGCCATAGGTCCGTCGAAAAACACCTACCGATATCGCCTCCTCATGCAATCACCTGCAACTCCCACCATCATCTCCACTCTTAATATATGTCTCGAGTTTTTAGCCCAATATATGAAACCCGACCCACTTTAAAGTATGTCAAAGCCCGAATATGAAAGTACGAGATTTCTTGGACGCTCGGATTTGCCGTTGTTTCCAAGTTCAAATTGGACACTTATTCATGTGCAAGTTATCTTGGTGAAGTCAGTTTCAATGTGGGTTCGTGGCATATGTATACTTTTCTTTTTGGGTCGAAGGCATATATATACTCCAAGAATGGTTTTTGTTTTTAAGTTGTTCTATAGTCGCACAAAAGGACGTTCACAAGCCGTTTGAATATTCGGAGCTGTTTCTTCGTGGATTTCACTCGGTGATTTGTGCAATACATCCAATTGAGATCGCTTGTTTTGCTGAAGTCGTGAGTGTTTGGATGCCGTGAAGTATTTCTTAGTTGTTTATTTTATCGGGCAATTACATGAGGCTAAACACTGTGGATTTAGGGATGATAAACATTTGAGTGGATGAGCGATTGTGACTTTGTAGTTCTTTACTTAATTACCGAATTTCTTGCGATTGGCTCTCCTTGAGGAATAGGTATTGATACTTGGACCAAACAAGTAAATATCTCTTGTTTCTTATCCTTGCTTGTCGATATCTCTAGTAATATCATTAATTCGGGTTAGATTGAATTGTAAGATCTATCAATCCCATGTAATTTCACAACATCCACCCTCAACCTAGTTATATAAATTTCATTTATAATGTTAGGTCAATCCAACAAAAAATCTCTTCTTTTTGAAGAACCTACACATTGTATTTGAGATGAATATGTATTCCGAAAATTCAACTTATATAGAGATAAACAGTTCGAGAGAAACGTTTGTTCTATATATTAAAATGACTACCCAAATTATATCCTAAACCTTTACATTCTTCCTCTCATATGAAAATCGACTGCTCAACCTTTTTATTCCAAATCTTGAACTATTAGAAAAAGACAAGGTTTTTTAATTTTAAATGTTAGCATAACCAATCAAACCGATGTGAAGGAAGATTTTACAACACTATGATTAACCCTTTCTAGTTACAATTATAAGTTCTAAAATGCAAATAATATCTCCCAATTATATTATGTACAACATTAACACATATAGAATGTAAAAGTACACTTTCACAAACCAACCATAACCTAGTATTAGAGCAAATTATGAAACTATTTCTAGAAGAATCATGACATATTGGGAAAAAAAAACCTAAATCTATGACTTGTCCAATGTACACACAAAGAAATGTACACACAAAGAACAAAAGAATAGAAAAAAAAAATGTACACACAAAGAACAAAAGAATGAGAAAAGGATGAGAAAACTTCTTTTAGATGACCTCCGGAATACTTTGCAAAGCCGGTCTCCATGAACGATGACCACCGTACTTCGCGAAACCCGACTGATGACGATCGAATGTGTTCTTGTTAATCAGAAGAGGCAGGAGTTGCTCTAGAGATAGTCCTTGAGCCTCGGTTATCTGCACCAACTTCTCTAGCTCCTTCTTACTGATCTTGATCTTGATCTCTCTCCCGTGTGAAGACGAAGAAACTCTCTCTCCATCAGCATCATTGAGAACACTCTTGCTTTCTCCGCCGTCATTAAGCAGCGAGTTCCAATCATCACCAGCCCAGATCATGGATGAAGAGGATGAAGATTCAGCTCTGCAACAGTTTCCCATTCTTGAAATATCAGCGTCTTTCTGGTGAGAGAAGATTGAAGCTACGTTGAACAAGTTGTCGTTGCTTGTGTTTTGTTGAGTGTGTGGGTTTATGAACATATATGTGTGTGTTTGGGTGGCGAAGGAGAAGAAGACGAGGTCAGGATTCATGACTGGGCTAGAGAGAGAGAGGATAAAGATGGAGAAGCAGTAAGCAATCTAGAGAGAAAGAGAGAGAGAGAGAGAGAGAGAGAGAGAGAGAGGTGACACGTAGGACGTGGGGACCCACCTGGGATGACATTTTTGACTGACTAATCGTATATCTTCTCGGGCTTGAGCATGACCAGAATGAAATGACATGGTGACAACTTCAACGGCTCAGCTACTAAACAAGCTTCAAGCTCAAGCCCCCCTTTGTATTTGTTCAGAAACTATATAATAAAAATTAATAATATATTTGCATACTATTTTCTAGATAGCTAGACAAGCTTTATGTGGAATCAGCCTTCAGCCTAGAGGATGACCATATTGAGGAATGATCCCAAAATTTGAAGAAAATCAAGTGATGTTATTACAATGGGAAAGAGCTCGAATCTAGAAGTTGACTTGAGATCAAATGAGGAAGTTTCCACCAAACCTTGTGATTATTTGACATAATCTAGGCAATAGTGTGTTTGATTCTTGGACATAGTCTATACTTAGCGTCAATTTACCCCGTCAAATAAATCGTATGTTGACTTATCACGCATCCAATGATTATCGATAATCTCATCTTACTAAACCACATACAAAACTCCAGTTCTCAAATTTAGAAAATTCCTTGGTCGCTCTCTTGCAATCTAATTGGCCTGGAGTCGCCATCGCTCTCTACCCCCAACCATCGGTGTTAATGTTGGCCCTTGTCCGCTTGGCTTTGCTCCCTAGATCTCTCTTCATGGTTGTTGTTGCCACCTTGGCCTTGTTGCCTTCCATGATGTTGAACTCGACCTCAATCGTGGTGAGATCTCGTCATCGTTGAGGTCAAGTTGAGTGACATTGAGGTATTGTGGCTTCGTTCGATGGTGATGAGTTCCTACAATTGACACAGAGAGAGACAGTGTCCTCGGTCCTTAGAACTTATCTCTAGCTCAATCCGCCAACAGATAGGCACCACACCCAATTACTATAAAAGTTTAAATTATTAGATAAAGATGTGACTTAGGCTTCGTTCGTTTCACGGAAAATAACTTCCAGGAAAACGTTTTCCTAGTTTTCCAGTGTTCGTTTCATGAAAAATAACTTCCCATGGAAAATATTTTTCAGAAAATGGACAAAACACCTTCACTTTTGAAAAGAGAAAAACATTTTCCCCCCTCCTTCTTTCACCATTCATTTTAAATATTTTAATTTTTTTTTCCTTCTCTTTTCTATCTTCTTCTCTGGCCGGTCACCGGCCATGGCGGCGGCTAGCGACTGGCCACAAGAGAGCTCGAGCCTCGCCGCAGGCCGGTGAGACTTGAGCTCGCCAGATTCCAGTGAGGTCAAGCCTCGTTGGCCTATAGCGAGGCCGATCTCGCCCGAGGCTGATGAGGTCGAGCCTCACCAGATCTAGTGAGCTGGGCTAGGCTCGAGCCTTGCCCAAGGTCGCCAAAGCCTCGCCCGAGGTCGCCAGAGCCTTGCTGACGTCTAGCGACCTCGGGGGAGGCTCGTCTAGCTCACCGGATCTGGCGAGGCCCGAGCTCGCCCGACTGGCCTTAGGCGAGCTCGACCGCGCCGGATTAGGCGAGCTAAAGCCTCACCACAGGCCGGCGAGGCTTGACCTTGCCGAAATTTGGCGAGCTTGAGCCTTGTTGGCCTGTAGCGAGGCTCGAGCTGGCCGGTCGCTGGCCGCCGCTGTGGCCGGCGATCGGCGACCTGCTGAGGAAGAAGAAGAAGAAAGGAACAAAAAAAAAAATTAAAAATATTTTTTAAAAATAAAAATAAAAAATTATTAAAAGTAGTGCAAGTAAGAAAATATTTTCCATAACGAACAACGGAAAATATTTTCTGAAACTTTTTTAGATTTCAGCTGAACACCGGAAAATTGTGTCATTCCTGGAAAACATTTTCCAGGAAAATGACTTCCTTGAAAACATTTTCCAACAACGTAATATTTTTCGCGAAACGAACGAAACTTTAATATTTAAATATTCTAACACTCTTCCTCATGTGTATACTAAACTTTGTCTAAAAATTAAAGCATGGAAATATGTTATACGAGCAATAAATATGAAGCTGGAAAGATTTGAATTTAGTACCTACTGATCCTAAACCATATAAAATTTTGTGGAACCACAGTTATACTCTAAAAGTTCAAGTTATTAGATGCATACACAGTTTAATGCTAACAGACATATGCATATGTTCACTCTTTTCACTCAATTTTTTTTCCCCGGATTTATTGGTCTCAAAATTTAAGAGACCTCCCCAATCTTGATAATCATGTCTGACTTTCTGTCTAAAACGTCCTTATCATATGCAAACTTTTCCCAACCTAGAATAGAATCCTCAAGCTACCTTCACAATTAAACCAAATATCGCATCGAGTGTATTTCTGTTTCATTTAATCCGTTGCCAATAATCAAGCTTATAAATTGTCGGTATATAGGCATTGTGGTGTCATTCATAGTATGATCTTTGATACTTAATCAAATTTAAGTTGGAAAATAAAATTCTCACATTAGACACTTATTTAAAACAAAATCTACACCTTAGAGTCTTTCGATAAAGTATTCATTTATTATATGTATTTCTTTCTTTATAATATTAATATGTTATCTGTTATATATTGACTTTATAGAAAATATGGACCAAGCCCCCAAAGGAGGCTCATTCCAAGTGGCTCAAGCCAAGCCGAATCAGCACGGCTTGAAAAATCAATTGGAGGTGTGAAATGCCAAAGAAATGGCATCTTTATTTATTTATTTATTATTTTTTGGAGTTTTGACACAAAGTGAATGTGAACTTGAATATGTGAAGGCATCTTTGACACATACTTGAATTTTCTTTTTCTTTTTTTCCACTATAATTATGTGTTTATTTTATGATAAAAAAAAAGAGTGCCTGATGAATATCTCATCAAGTTCGTCAATCCGTCCTTGTCGAAGATCAATGAGCGACCCGTTTCGTTTTTCAATGCCAGGTTTTTCTTTAGGGTTAATATTACGAAAAACCCCAAATTGGTACGCCTGTGACAAATTTACCTAAAATTAATTTTTTGACTACTAAAAATTCCAAACTGATATACATGTGACAATTTTAACCCAAACTAATTTTTTGATCACAAAAAACTCCAAACTGATACATTTGTGACAAATTTACCCTCCGTTAATTTCAGTTAAATTAGATTAATGTAAATAAAAATCACAAACTGGTACACCTATGATAAATGGAGGGTAAAACCCAAAACTGGTATATCTGTCAACTACCGGGTGTCATTTAACAAAGCAATTTAATAGTAAAATTTAACGGAAACTACCGCAGAATAAAATTATCACAGGTGTACCAGTTTAGGATTTTTGGTGGTCAAAAAATTAGTTTGGGGTAAAATTATCACAGATGTACTAGTTTAGGGTTTTTCATGGTATTAACTCTTTTCTTTATTGGTGAATTTCATATAGATCGAGCTGCATACATAAACTATCAATCAATTTCGCGACCATCAATTTTCTACATTATCGCTGCTAAAATTGGGATTTGATGTTACTATCACTATCGTAATCAACAAAATGAACTTTTTTTCAGTAATCGAAATTGTTAATACTCAATTCCTTCTTTAAACGTGTCAAATTAAATTCACGTGGAAAAATTTATCTATCCTATCAAAATGTCAAGATCGGGTAGTCGGGTTTTTTTAATATTTATTTTTAAATTCTTTTGCTAGTAATCGTAGACACAGAATGAATGAAGCCCACGGGAAGTGTAAGAATGCTGTGATTCAAGCCCCTAGAAAAATTGATGGAATTAGGTGAACAACCATATGTCATGTTCGATCTAAGTCAAGGAGAGTGAATTAAGCCATGAAGCATCATACATTGATTACATACCACCATTCAAACCTCGACATTGAATATGTAAATGATGATGGAACTCTTCAGGGAAAGAACAAAAGATGGCCAGTTACGCAAGAGGTTGAAAGGGAGGAGGGAAATTTTCACAGAGAAGATACTGAAAACCATCTTCATTTCACATCCTTACGGCTTTGCATTCTCTAGTTTTGGTAACACATGTTTGTGTCGAGGATCAGATTTCAGGACTTTGAAAGACCAAACTATCCCTATTTGAAGGACAATCGTATTTCAATCCTGCACATGCCCTAACACCCCCATTCACGAACAATCCCTATTCTTCTCGCCACCACGTTTTTCTCTGAGCCGCCTCCACGTCGTCCTCGTCCCTGGTGACATTGCCATCTCCCCCAGCTTCCCTTCTAGACAAGAGCTCCCTCATGTTTCGGATATCTGCTGAAATCCCTAATTTTAGCTCAGTTTTGCCCTAAGATTTTGGTGATTTAGGGGAGAGAGAGAATGAGCAGATTCAATTTTTCCATAATTCTCAATCTTAGTTCATTTTCTAGTAGATCTGGCTTCCCCACACGAATTTCATTTAAAAAGCCATTTATGTTGCCACGTCGGACAAATCGCTTGCCACGTGTGGTTCCATGTCAGCAAATTAACGAGGACATTGGACAGAAACTAACGGAAGGTAGATGGTCACGGGTATCCTAGTTTGAGATTTTTGCGATACAAAAATTAGTTTGAGGTAGATGTATCACGGGTGTACCAGTTTGGGATTTGTGGTGGTATTATCCCTTAATTTTTTTTAACTTTTCAAGATTTTTATTTATGTTGCGCCTAGTTGGCACCGCAAAATTCGTCAAGTGTAACCCTAAAACATCAAAAGAAAAAATGTCATGTGAGCATTTGCCATCATTTAAATTGGACAAAGATAACAAAGTTACTTGATAGTACAAATCGAACAAGTTTTAGGATATGATGGTGTAAATTGAAAGTTTTAGGGTGCAATTACATTTTCATAACAAGTTTTTGAACTTTCTATGTATCAAAGGAGGAGGAAGAAGAATATTAATACAATATATACTATCTATTTATCATACATAAAAAACGCATCTCTTTCATTTTCTT